CAAACCCACACACAAACATGCATGCACATTCAAGCACACACCGACACACAAACGCATTCCCAAACACAAACATACACTCACATACAAACACACTCACAACCACACACCCACATACAAACACATTTCCAAACACTTAACATGCATTCACACACCCATACACGAACACAACCCCACACACCAACTCATCCACAAACACACACACAAATACACATAAACATACAGGTATACAGTACACTCTACCACACATACAAGTCCTTCCACACACAAGCACACATTTGCCCACCCACAAATACACACTCCTCCCCCACACACAAATCTCCACACCCCCCCCAACATACTGTATACACACACGAACTTTCACAACAAAAGATATCCGGTTTACACTGGGACAGCCCCGCTTGATATATCTAGAACAGAATTTGGGATGATAACCTGAGCTCACTCATTAATGCATGTTCTGAATGTCCCGTCGTCATTTTCTGTAGTGTGGGAGACTTGTAGTGTAGTGACGAACCCTTCCTTATGTCACTCTGTAAAACATTCCGTACCTCTTAAAAATTAAAGATTCAGTTTCAGGCATTAAATGTGTAGAATGACAAAAAAAAATCAGCGCTAGCCGAACACATCTACAACACTTATCACGAGTTTCTTATTCCGGTCAATTTTGGACAATTTGGGCTGGGGTAAACATAATTTTCATGATTATCTTGTCAATATAATTATTTTTGTATTTTATCTAGTGTTGTAGCACGATCATCTGAAGATTAACCCCTATCTTATTTCACCTCATGATTAACCACGCTAACCTAATCTGACCCAATCTAACCTAACCTCCCCAGGTAGCAGTTAGTCCATGGACCAGATCTCAATAATTGTATTTCCGTTGCACCTCCCTGGCAACGTTGGTTTGATGGTCCCAGAGGGTTCCTTGGCCACATACGACAATATTTTCATTTATCTTTCACACAACCTACAAAGCAGTTTTAACAGTGCATTGTGTGAAAGGGGGAAGCCTAGTGTAACTTTTCAGCATAACACGCAAAGCCACTGAGGGTCACCACTTGTTCATTTTATAATCTTAGTACAGTATTTACAGTATGTTTAACTGGAGAGATCGCTTAACCTTTCATATTACACATACTAAAACTGTCTGGCCTTTTTTTTTATTATTCTAAATGTTGACTATTTTTTACTATCAAAAAATATCTTTAATTTTCAATTTACACTGGCCATATCTGCTTTATGAAGTTGCTGTCACATTTTTGGGCCATTCAAGTTTTGTACAACTATTCAGTGTCATCGATGGAAGCACTATGAAGTTTTGTCCACTTTTCTTCAAACAACCCGTCATAACTCACATACAGTATATACATTTCTTTATTTACCACTTACTTTACCTTCCTCCTACTCCTTGCATTTTCAGGGCCTGTGGCCTTTTTCTCTACATATAACATAAGAACATAAGAATGGAGGAAACTGCAGCGGGCCTATTGGCCCATACTGGGCAGTCCCGTTTACACCCAACCCCTATTGCTCATATGAGCATCCAACCTATGTTTGAAGCAATTCAGCGTATTCGAGTTAATGATGATATTTGGTAACTTGTTCCATTCATCCACTACTCAGTTTCCAAACCAGTGTTTACCCATTTCACGCCTAAATCTAAATTTGTCTAATTTAAAACTATTGTTACGAGTTCGCTCCTGGTTGGATAGTTTGAGTACCTTTGTAATGTCCCCTTTGTTTAGCCCTGCCTTCCACTTATACACCTCTATCAGGTCGCCCCTCGCTCTACGTCTCTCAAGGGAGTAAGATGCTTTTAACCTGTCTCTATACTCAAGGTTCCTAATGCCCGGGATTAGTCTTGTCATGCTCCTCTGAATTCTTTCCAAGGATTCTATATCCATTCTGTAATACGGTGACCAGAACTGAACTGCGTAATCCAGGTGTGGTCTCACAAGAGCAAGATACAGTTTTAGGATGACCTCGCTAGTCTTGTAACTAACACTCCTTTGTATGAACCCAAGTACTTTATTAGCCTTGTTACGAGCAAAAACACATTGTTTACTTGGCTTAAGGTTCCTACTTATCATTACTCCTAAATCTCTCTCGCAGTCGGATTTCTCTATGGCATCGTTGTTCATCTGGAATCTGGTTTCCCTGTTTACATCTCCTATACTGAGTACTTTACATTTGTCGACGTTGAATTTCATCTGCCATTTTTCAGACCATTCGAAAAATTTGTTTAGATCTTCCTGTAGTTTTGCCGAGTCCTCGTCAGATTTGATAACACGTCCTATTTTAGTGTCATCAGCAAATTTACTTATGTTGCTGTCAATGCCGATATCTATGTCGTTTATGTATATAATAAATAATAATGGTCCAAGTACTTAGCCTTGGGGAACTCCACTTGTGACGTTGCTCCAATGGGACTTAGTGCCGTTAATGCTCACTCGCTGTTTCCTGTCCTGTAATCACGCCCTAATCCATTTAAGGATGTCACCTTTGATGCCATGAGCTTCTACCTTTCTAATTAGTCTTTCGTGGGGGACTCTGTCGAAGGCTTTGCTAAAGTTGAGATATACCACATCATAATTGTGCCCCTCGTCCACCGATTCGAAAACTGATGAAAAGAATGTTAATAGATTAGTTAGGCAAGAACGTCCGCTTGTGAAGCCATGCTGGGAATCATTGATCAATCGGTGCTTCTCCAGGTGATTTCGAATAGAGTTTGAAATGATTGCTTCCAGTAATATGCCTACTATTGATGTTAGACTGATTGTGCATGGCAGCTCCTGTCGGGAGTTACAACCACCCTCTATCGTCCATGAATCTATCTCACCTCATTTTAAAACTTTCCAGCGTCCCAGCACTTACTACAAAGTTGCTAAGCTTGTTCCACTAATCTACCACCCTATTTGTGAACCAGTTTCTTCCTATCTCCCTCCTAAACCTAACTTATCCAACTTAAATCTGTTGCTATACCAGTCCTATCCTGCTCGGATATTATAAGAATTTTCTCTATATCTCCTTTATTGATTCTCAGCATCATACATATGCAGCTTGCGGAATGAGTAGGTTGTGTACTAGAACATCAGTATGGTCAACTCGTAGAAGCAACACACAAAGCATATTACCCCCTCCTCACACAACGAAATTATACATAGTTCGTTCGTTGTTAGGGGATTTTGGTCCACTAGTCGTCCTATGAATTCTATACCTTACAAGGCCACGATTGGGGTTGCCAGGTCATGATTGTGAAGGTAGCGGAAGTGCAGGACGGTTGGGGGACTCACTCACCGTACCTATACTGTGTTTTTCTCCAAAGTCGTTGAAAGACGCGCGCCCATTGCATTGCCTTTCAGAATCCGTTAAGCATAACTTTTTAACTTACTATACTGTATTTAACTTTAACATATACGTAATGATACTTTACCTACCTTTATATTATTTAACACTGTTTTACTTAAACCTACTTTATCACACCTTAATTGTATTTTCCCTTGCCTTATTCATTTAACCTTTACCTTATTTTAACTTATCTCACTTTATCTCACTTTAATTTACTTTACCCAGGTTGTTTATATTGCTTTTCTCAATCTAACTTTTCTTTGATGCAATGTAGTGTCTAAGCTTGGATGTAGCGTTTAAGCTTGGATGTAGTATTTATAAGCTTGAGTGTAGTATTTATAGGTTTGCTTGTAGTGCTTGTAAGCTTCGTGGTAGTGTTTATAAACTTGGGTGTAGTGTTTATAAGCTTGAATGTAGTGTTTATAAGCTTGATTGTAGTATTTATAAGCTTGGGGTAGTGTTTATAAGCTTGATTGTAGTGTTTAAGCTAGAGTGTAGTGTTTAAGGTAGAGTGCAGTGTCCATGACTCAACCATCCCCTCCCTTTATGGATTTTTTCACGGAACATCTCTTCGCACTGCGTAGTAGGAAAAAATAGAAATGTCGCTACATCCTTTGACCTTCAGTTGATCACGTGTCCCCCAGCTGACTCGAGTTGTACTGATATTGTGGTAACTGGCAACTCTTTCAACATTCATAAGTGAGTGGAAACTAACATTGTGTGTATTTCTTATTGTAATAATATACGCCACTGTGTTTTCCAAAGCCAACCGAACAATACTCAGATTCACAAGGATACATTTGTTAAACATTCCTCCCACCATAACCTAACCGGTGATGTGATACGGATTCCGAATAACATCAGTACGACAGTGATGACAAACGATATATGACGCTGTAAGTGCACTGAGAACCTACCTACCTACCTACCGTGACTACATGGATCTTCTTGCCTCACATGGGGAAGAAAATTCAACGTAGGCAACCAATGATAATATAGAATTCTAGATCATGAACACGTTGGGAAAGTTTAATGCGAAGCAGCAAGTGATCCTGCCGGTCTCGTGCCTCGCAACTATCACCAAGAATTTTTTTATTGTCTACAACTTTCGCCGCTATTCTTATGGCGGGGGAGGGGTGTAAGAGTGAGGGAGTTACAGGTCATAATGGTTTTATTTGTAAAGTAATTGATCAAGTGAAATAGATGCAAAGTATTCATGCACTGTACAGTAAAATAATTATAATGTGCTGCAGGTAACTACAAGGGCATATATCACGAAATTGTTTTACTTTCTTTGTATTTGTTTCCTACTGTATACTATATAAATCACGTGTAAATAATAATAATAATAATTAACGGTTTATTGAAAAAGTTCTGCACACCCGAAGGCTGAAAATATACATTGGACATAAATGACTTATTACATACATTAGTGGTTTAACAAAAGCTTTCATTAGAGAAAGGAAAAGGAACAAACAGTGAACATACAGATTAATGTTTACAGTGGAAGTTACTACACGTAGTGTTGGAAAGTTTCATGACGACGTTCAAACATATTCGTCTTGCATTATCATTGACATCATAATTATTTTTAAAGAAATGATAGGTGTGTGTCACACATTCGCTGATTCTTATTTTTCATGTTACAGTCATCATGGAAGAGTCAACGAGGCAGTGTGAGCGGCTACTTCCTCGCCTCCCGCAAAATGCACTGGGTTCCCGTAAGTGCTCTATGTTACTTCTCTATTGTATAATCATAGAAATGGAAGTTGTTGGCTTAATATTTTTCCATTTGTTTAGTAATTGATAAAGTTAATATTTACCAATTTGTGTTTTTACAAATACCAAATATTTTGTTATTTATTCATGAAACTATTTTTTGGAAAATTTTAGAACAAATTAACTGGATCATATTATATGAAGTTACTATGTGTAGAGCAGCATTCCAGTAGTTGACAAATTGCTGCCATAGGCCATTACCTTTATCATTCGTATTTTTGTTGCTTTATCAGTTACCTATGCAAAAACAATAATTAACCCCTCAACCCCGACAGGTGGGAGCGTCACTGTTTGCCAGTAACATAGGTTCTGGTCACTTCATCGGCCTGGCGGGGTCTGGTGCTGCCGCCGGCATCGGCGTTGCAGGGTTCGAGCAGAGTGTGAGTATTACTGCACTACGTATGTCTTATACAATTGCTCCAGAAAATATTTTGGCACTGGAGTGTACGTATCTATTTTCAGTCTGATATCAATATCTAACACTGCAAGTACTGTTTTTTTTCAGTAGCTTTACTGTACAGTTGATTACATTAACAAATTAAAACTAATTAAATTGTTCATTATTTGAATAACTATTTATATACCCCAATAGTTGTGCATTTTGATTTTTGAGTAAACAATAGTAACAATCAATTTAGTTATTTTTTGTTCTTGTTATTTATATATACCTTTAGGGTAGGGGGCCCCCAAGCTGATCTGTGCATCAGGCCCCTATTAAGCTTAATCCGGCCCTGATTTAATGGCATATATAGCTAAATATTTTTATCCTTAGAATCTGGGGGCCCCTAAGAGTCTGGGGGCCTGAGGCCAGTGCCTCAAGTGCCTCATGGTTAATCCGGCCCTGACAATATGTTTGTTATCCTCAGGCTGTGTACATCCTGATGTTGCTTGGATGGTTATTTGTGCCAGTGTACATGAGTTCTGGAGTGTACACAATGCCGGAGTACTTGAGGGAGAGGTTTGGAGGCCAGAGGATCCGCATATATTTGTCCTTTCTGGCGCTGCTTCTCTACATCTTCACTAAGATCTCAGTTAGTAATTTAATATATGTATTTTTATCCTCCAACCGTAGAATATTTTGGGGTGGAAGGAGCACATATGATAACCGTTGTTCAACCATCCATCCTTCTTCATTAATTAGTTTCCATACAAATACTTGAGTTTTGTTGGTCACTGATCGGCCTGTTAGACACTTGGGTAGATGGTCACTTCTCTGTTGTGAACTGTTCGAAAGTACAGTACAATGTACTGGGTTTGGACATCCACTGACACCAGAATATATCTGAGCCAGCACCAGTGTGCATGTTGGTCAACTTGGTCTTCAATGAGCTCACACTCGGTGCTATGACATTCGGTATTATTTCACTTGTCTTTAAACGAATCTCGGGAATGTTAAAGTTGCAATCAGTAATTTTGGAGGGGGGAGGGTGCCTTATCTCAGAAACTATTGATTTACTCCACAAATAAAGGTCAAATTCGCTTATAACACATCAAAACCATCGGAAAACCATTGTTTCAACTACGATTTAGTACAGCGGTAACAAGTAACTATTTACCCAACATTCTCGGGTAGATTAATCCGATTATTCCAAGAACTCACAACTCTCACACCAAAAAAGTTTACCTGATAATTTAATGAAATTGTCTTATTCAACCGCAAGGTATTGTACATAGGAAAGGTAGCACCATGTCGGCTCAGTGACAATCCCAATAGGCAACTTCTTTTCACTTGTCCCCGCCCAGTCGCCCACGCAGGCGTCAGATTCAACAACATCAAACATGCCGAGTACCTGCTCAATTCTTGGGAGTTTATCACAAATTCGTAACAGGGGTGATGTAACTTACATCGCTTTCCGAAGGATAAAGAAATGAGAAGTTGGATTCACGTGTACAAGAGGAAAGACTTCTATAAATGCGGAAAATCCCCAAATATGCAGCTTGCATTTGGGAAGTTGAATTATAAACTGCTTGGACTACCAGTTCCAAGAGAACCTTTAACTAACGTTAAGGATTAAGAATTAAACAATACCAACATCACAAATACCATGTTCAAAAGGTAAGCTTATATTACTTCAACTACAACGTAAAAATATGAGTGTTATAACACAATGTATAGTCTCGTTCAAGATTCCTCGAACACTGCTGGAGACGGCTGGCAACTCAAGGTCGTAGTAAAAATATTAAATACATGTAAAAGTGATAGGTGGTTACTTAGTTCACAGTTGCTTAATTTAATGGTAGGGCTTTGTTGTTTCGTATTATATTATAGTATAATTATACTATACTATACTTTGAGTTGCCAGCTGTGTCCAGCAGTGTTCGAAGAATCTTGAACGAGGCTGTACCATACTGTTTGTTTGAAATTAAACTGACCCCAAAACAATTTAGAATAGCTTTTTTATATTGTTAAAAAAACAAGAACAGCAAAACACTATACACTGCTTCTTTTGAAGGAGTGTCAGTTTTACTTTCTTTGGTAAAGGTTTACGAAACCGTTATCACCAGAAGGAAATGTGCGATTTGATTTACATTTTTTGTACACACTATTAGCATGATATTAAACACAGAAATGGAAACAATTCATAGAACCTAATAGAGCCTGACCTAACATACCCATAGGTTCGGTAAGTTAGGTTAAGTTTTTTAGGTTCTATGTATTGTATTAATTTACCTTAACATTGAGGTTGATATACAGTACATCAGCAATGGCGAGGAGGAATTCGTGGAAGCGTTCACCATAATTTAGGAAACGTCTCTTGAAGAGGGATTCAGTGAGATAAACAACAAAAATGGTGCTGGGAGGAGAATTGTGAAGCGGGATATATGTAGTAAATAAGAAATAAAATACTTAAAATTATACTAGAAAATTTTCGTTTCTTTTAATATAATTAAAATCATCAAAACAATAAGTATAGCAAAAATAAAGAAAATCAACAAACAACTTCTAGTAATAACGGTTTTGTAAACATTTACCCAAAAGTGCTAAATTAGTAAATTAGTGAAATCTAAATAATACACTATATCAAATAAAACCCCATGAGTAAATTACTACTGTTAAAATATAATGAACGGTCCGACTAATTACCCAAATATAGCCGGAATGAAGTCAAATAATGGTCCTACATGAATAAATCGGACTGCTAATCACTTCTCGACACGTATTTGGTGTCAGAAAGTCACAAAAAATTGGAAAACTTAATTTAATCTGAGTTGTGTTGTGTTAGGTTAGGTTAGGTTAGGTTAGGTTAGGTTAGGTACATGCACTTGATCTATTAACTCAGATTAAATTAAGTTTACCAATTTTTTGTGACTTCGTGACACCAAATACTAGTCGAGGTTAGGTTAGGTTAGGTACATGCACTCGATCTATTAACTCAGATTAAATTAAGTTTACCAATTTTTTGTGACTTTGTGACACCAAATACTAGTCGAGAAGTGATTGGCAGTCCGATTTATTCATCTAGGACCATTATTTGACTTCATTGCGACTACATTTGGGTACATTTGGGTAATTAGTCGGACCCTATAATGAAAGCTGTTTATGCAACCCACTTTTATTTCCCTAGTCACACTGAAAGAAATTGTCCACATATAAGTAGACACTATGAAAATTGTTAGTAGAACTTCAATACAATTGTAATGACGGCTAATATTGATGACTAATCTGCCAACACATTATTTATTTTTATGTTTATATTCATATTATATTGTCATCAGTGAGATCTGATATGATAATCAATTTTTGGAAACTTCTTCATTTGGTAGATATATAATTAGGCGACTAGGTGCACACTACTTTGTCTTTCTCGGTGGTAATGCAACCGAGAAGGAACATCCCCGCCAATCACATTAACGGCTTTGATCGACGCCAGTGTATGGCTATGAGTGCTCTCATGTCCACAAAAAAACGTAAACTGACCTCCATATAATAGTAAGTTCCTTGTTTAATATGTTGGGTGGTCTGAGGGGTGGAGCCCCATGGCTAGGAAGTTAGGTAAGATTATGTAGGTTTCTTTGGTTAGGCTGGTGAAGTCTTCTGTGGGGTATGAGATGTTTGGCTCACACTCAGGATGGAATGGAGAAAGGAAACTCACAATGTGCTCTCTGTATACATGTTGTATTGGATGTACAATGCAGGTTGGTGCTGGGAAGGCAGCATGGTTACAAGCGTGATGTAGAGAGAGCTGGTTGGTGAGGACGCTCAGAGAAGGACAGCTTGTGGGTCGCCATGCTCGCCAGCGGGAGAGAGGACCGCCAGGCAGGCGGAGGAGCGAGGGCCGCCAGGCAGCGGCGGAGGAGGAGGTGTTGCTGGCTGCGGCTGTAGGTAGAAAGAGAGAGATCACCACGAGGTCAGGTCTTAAATAGCGGGGGTAGGCGTGGCTTAGCAGTTGACCCCCGCTCCGTGATGTATGGCGGCGCTGGTTGACCTAGACCACGAGGCATACACTGGGGAATTGGTGGGGTCGGCTAGGCAGCGACAAACAGCGTTTGTAGGGGAGAATTCCACTACAATACTCCCCCTTCCCTCCAGGCGGTGTAGGAGACTTGTTGTCTGCAGAGTTGCTTAGCACATGTGAGGCAGAACGGGCGGTGCATGCCTCATGTGAGACAACGGCGATGGCGTGGATAAGCCGGTCGCTGGGGACAACTGTCTATATACACACTATCCGTGGGAGAAGAGAGGGAGAAAAAGGGTGTGTGGAGGCGATGAATGTTATGCTTCCCTCACGGCAGGTACAGAGTCGTCAGATGCGCCTGCTGGGGTGTGTGGGCCTGGGTCAGGAGCAGGGGCTGTGTCAGCAGAAGCGGATGAGGGCTCGTGACAGCAGCTGGGTCCACGACAGCAGCAGGGTGCAGGACATTAGCAGGGAGTACCTGAGGGAGAAAAGAGGGGTGTGTGGGTCCGCACTCAGGAACAGAGGCCGCATCAGGGGCGGCAGGGGTTACTGCTGGGCCGGGGTCGGCGTCTGAGGCAGGACGGGTGTGCTGGGGTCGGTAGGACGTGGTGCTTGGGGGCAGGAAAAGGAGCTGGTGTCTGCTAGGAGAAACAGTGCTGCTCTAGGGTGTCTAACCTGCGGTGTAGAGACAGTAGCTGTAGAGCCGATGAAAGCTGCTTCTGTGTGGATAAGCCAGTCTTCCATGTTGCTTGAAGACTGGGAGCGTGATCAGTTTCTCCTCCATCCTGTGTGAGTGCGAATCTCCGGGAGTCACCATTTGTGGGGTATGAAATTGTTTGGTGTTCACTCAGGATGGAATGGAGAAAGGAAACTCACAATGTGCTCTCTCTATACATGTTGTATTGGATGTACAATGCAGCTTGGTGCTGGGAAGGCAGCATGGTTACAAGTGTGATGTAGAGAGCTGGTTGGTGAGGACGCTCAGAGAAGGACAGCTTGTGGGTCGCCATGCTCGCCAGCGGGAGAGAGGACCGCCAGGCAGGCGGAGGAGCGAGGGCCGCCAGGCAGCGGCGGAGGAGGAGGTGTTGCTGGCTGCGGCTGTAGGTAGAAAGAGAGTGATCACCACGAGGTCAGGTCTTAAATAGCGGGGGTAGGCGTGGCTTAGCAGTTGACCCCCGCTCCGTGGTGTATGGCGGCGCTGGTTGACCTAGACCACGAGGCATACACTGGGGAATTGGTGGGGTCGGCTAGGCAGCGACAAACAGCGTTTGTAGGGGAGAATTCCACTACACTTCTAACAATGCTTCTGCCAATTGTTTTCTTATCAAATATGGTTAGGTTAGGTTTAATTTAGAAATAATCACTTTTTAACACATTTGCCAAAACTATGTCAGTGTCCACTATAAAACACATTGAGATTGCAGCATTTGAAAAATAATTAATATATAAATTAAAAATCAGTGGCGGGTCAGTTGTCATTAATTACCGTAATGACAATTATTGAAGCTTAAATTTTGTCTCGGTATAATATGTGATCCCGGTGAGAGAGGGCTGGGCACAAGTGACGTCACGACCTTGAGTCATACATAAGCATTATTATGAGATCGTTTTTCTGATCCAAATTTAATGGTTAGAAACTTAATAAATTTGATTTTTTTTCATAAATATATACTGTAACTGTAATACAGTTGTACCCCACTTAACGCGGTCAATTGAACCCAGAGGGTCCCGCGTTAAGTGAAAACCGCGTTAAGTGAATAACAGAACATATGGGATTAATTCCAATAGAACCCAGCCCGACCCCCAAACTCCACTTTTTGACGACAAATAACTATGTTGTAGTAAAAATTCTATCTTAACTTTATGGTGGCATGAAAAACAAGTAATATAGAAGAGGTTAGGTTAGGAAAGATAAAGGTTAACATAGGAAAAATAAAGAATAGGTTAAAAAACGAAAATTTTTGAGGAACACTCACGGTAGTAGAAGAGATGGGTCGGCATACGGGGATGGAGGCTGGTTCCGAGGCAGAGGGCAGATTACTGCCCCTCAGGTGAATCACCATTACTAGGTGAATCAATATCACTGTCACTTACAGTTGTCATGGCTTCCCTGACAAATCCCTCAAAATCAACTTCACTATCACTATCACTGGCTTGGGCTGGCTGTGGTGGGTTGCGGGCGAAGAACTCGGTTATGCTTTGCTGACGGCTGGCTTTGATGTTGTCATGATACACCGTGATGTACGGCTCCATAGCCTGCACCAGTCGGGTATGGAAGACGTCATGGCGTTCATCGTCAGTGTCGCGGGAAACGATGGACTTAATTTTTTCTGTTAACTCTATGAGACACTTAATATCACTATGACTTAAACTAGGTTCTTCGGAGAATGACGCACCTTCTTCCTCCTCTTCACTGGCGGGTTCTTCTTCCAACATCTCGTCGGCAGTCACTTCAGGATCTCTGATCACCTCCATGATGTCTTCGTTGGTGGTCTCGGAGAAGCCTTCAGCTGTAATACTGAGCGCAGCTTCTCTGGCAAGGTCCACTGCTACTGCAACAGTCTGAACCTGACCAGTCACAGGTTCACTCCTCCTCTCACCTGGTATGCCATGCAACACATGTCTCCATGCGTGACGAATCGTAGCAATAGTCAGCAGATCCCATGCCTCCACCAAGAAGTCTACAGCTTGTTTGACGTTAAACTTCTTCCAAAATTGTTTGACGAGAAGTTCTTGAGTCGCCGCCTCTTGTTCCTTGTCCTCGTCGCTTTTACTCTCGCTGTCGGTGTCACCCAGCTTACGCAACTCATCCTTGGTGTTGGTAGAGTCGTTCAGGAGCTTGAATTTCTTTGCCGAGTATGCAGCTTTAACATTGCAGATTAACTCCTGGTCCATAGGCTGGATTAATGACGTAGTGTTGGGAGGAAGGAAGACCACTTTTACGTTGGGGTGACGATCCATAAGTAGGGGCGAGTGTCCAGGTGCGTTGTCAAGGAGCAACAAAATATTGAAAGGAACATTCTGTTGCTCGCAGAATTTCTGCACGTCAGGAACAAAACAGTTGTCAAACCAGAAGAGGGACAGAGAAGAGGACATCCACGCCTTACGTGCGGTTAGCCAGTGGACATTAAGCTTGTTCATGTCCATATTCTTGTAGGCGTGCGGCTTGCGGGCTTTGTGAATCACCGATAACTTTGGTTTACAGGTACCGGAGGCATTGGTGGTAAACAGGACGGTGATGCGTTCCTTCTGCATCTTCCGGCCCCTTACCTTGCTCGCAGACTGGACAACGAAGGTCTTGGAAGGTAACTTTTTCCAGAAAAGACCAGATTCGTCCATGTTAAACACCTGGTCGTCACTGTACTGTCCTTCCTCCATAATCTCACGTAAAAACGGAGGAAAATCTCTAGCCGCCGCACGGTCAGCACTCGCTTCCTCACCAACAATGCTGATGTTGGTGACCTTGTTCCTCCTCTTAAACCTATGCAGCCAACCATGGGAAGCATTGAAGGGTTTGGGCTCTGCAATTCCCAGTTTACGTGTCACTGCTGCGTATAGCTCACGTGCGTACTCCTGCACTGAGCGCGTGTCCACCGCCATGTTGCGTCGCGCCTGACGCACCAAATAACTCACCAGCAAAGTTTCCACTTTTGCCAGCACCCTGTTCTGGCAATACCTGATAGATGAAGCACCTGCAGACTTTGTGATCTTCATGTGCTCCTTTATCTTGGCTGCATCCTTCTTTATTGTACGAATCGTAGATTCGTTGACGCCATGCTGGCGCGCGAGATCAACTTGGCGTCTTCCTTTCTCCAAATCTTGAACAATTTGGTACTTCAGCTCGTAGCTTAATGAACGTCGTGTCTTCTTTGGTTTAGTGCCGCTGGGTCCAGGTAAGGAAAGGTTTCTCTCTGGGGGTGGTGGTCCGGCGGAAGCCATTTTACGGAACAATGGATGCGCGTTAACCCGGCGTGGCCTTGAGGGATGAAACTGCCGCGGCTAGGTCAAGCGTCGTCTCTCCTCCCTCCCTCCCTCCCCGGGGTAGTCACGTCATAATACTTTAAGCCAATTACAGCTAGCAGCAGAGGGGGGTAGGGCTGCATGGCCAATCACAGTCCGAGATGTCATATGACGTCAGTGATAACGCAACAAAGACACACACTGCGCAACCTTACCGCGCCGCTTGCCCAAGCGGAGGGAGGAGGAAGGAGAGGCAGGCAGGCAGGCAGGAGGGCGGGCGGGAGGGTGGCGCGTGGTCAAAATCTAAAAATAGCATCCGAGCCGGACACTCACCGCGTATATGATGAAAAATGCCGCGTTAAGTGAAAGTTCAGCTTTGGCAAGGCACCGCGTATATGCGAAAACGCGTTAAGCGGGGTAAAACTGTATACAATATATATTTGTTTGTTTCAAAATTGACATTCTGGGAGCTATACACTCCTTCATACAAATGTTTGCAGATGATGCCAAGTTATCCAGAGAAATTAAGAACCTAACAGACTGTGAAAAACTACAGAAAGATCTGTCAGCTTCAAGAGAGGTCAAAGAAATTGCTGCTAAGATTCAATGTCACGAAGTGGAAGAGGATGAACCTAAGTCAAAGCAACAGTAGGGAGGCATATCACATGTCCCATCAGGATGAAGAAACTGCATTAGCAGAGATCGAATGTGAAAAGGACCTAGGTGTGTATGTTGACAACAAACTAAAGTTCTTGGACCATTGTGAGTAAAAGGTGAATCGAGCAACTAAACTAGGAGGCCATCAAAGAAGGTCGCTCAGATATCTAGACTGTCCATCCCACGTAATGCTCTTCAAGAGTGAGGTGCTTCCCTGTCTGGAGTACTGTCACCCTGTCTGGTCCCCGAGATATGCTAGAGACTGTCAGTTGATTGAAAATGTCCAAAAGAGGGCCACCAGACTGGTGCCTGCACTACAGCACCTCAGTTACTCAGAGAGATTAGAACGCCTGCAAATGCATAGCTTATACTGTACTAGACGAGTAAGGGGTGACCTAACTGAAGTTTATAAACATCTCAGAGGGCACTACTCAGTTGAGTGCCCATGCCTGGAGCTGGCAAACGCCCACCTCACAAGGGGTCACAGCTCAAGGTCGAAGAAGCCACAAGTCCAGAAAACGTTGAGGGCAAACTTTTTCAGAGAGAGAAGTGTAAACTCTTGGAACAACCTGCCAGAGTGTGTTGTGACAGCACTTTCAAGACCAGACTTGACTAACACTGGAGCAGATGCAGTACAGATACATTCAGGAACCAGTACATGCCCAGTACTGTACATGCCAACAGTGCATAACAGAGACATGACCAACACCCAAGCGGCTAACGAGCCGATCAGTGGTGAAGAGGATAAAATTTAAAAAAAAGTAATATCATGAATATCTTGGTTGAGTTCAGTAATCAACACAGTCTAATCTTGTTTATGAGAGTTTTGGCCCACCCATATTTAACTTACAAATGCTGGAGGGAGCATTTAATATCTTCAGTGGTACAATAGTGTATTTGACAATCTTATTGGGAAGTTGTAGGTTTCTACCACAGAATTTTATCGATGACTTCTTGGCATAGATCAAACCTTCAGTGAGTAGAAGTTATTTACGTATGGTACTGTAGTTAGTTCATAACTCATATTGCTCTTATGGCTGATATGGATTAATACAAGCAAAGATGTAGCTATAAAATATCAATCTTGTACTACACAAGTACTGTACAGTACTGTACACATTTAAGTACAGTACATATACTGTATTAAGTACAGATATAGTAATTTCCATATACTGGCTAGTGATACATTAGTAACATTAGAAGCTTTAGTTTAAGACCAGGTTTTAATACAAAAGTACAGGTTCAGTTCAATATCATGAGATTTATGCTTTACTGTATGATATGAATACTGTACTGTACTACACTAATGTAGATATGTGAATCAAAGCTTCTCATCATGATGATAAACAGGGCACATGATACGGTAATTGAATTAACCAACTCCTTAATCATCTTGGTCATAAAGTATGAATGAAATTATAATGTATCAGTATCTTTAAAAGTCACTTCACTTGGTAGCAATCCATTGGCCTGTGACAGAAATCCTTCAGAGATAATAAATTTCTAAGTCAGGATATTATTGCTTTATAGATTTTTCATTTCCACTGCACACTGCACACCAATTATATTACCGTATACAGTATAACTTTGCTGTAAATTAAATTAGCTACCTTTAAATTATACTGATCATTCTTGCAAAGAAGAAATTTCAGTAATAAGAACATACTGTACCAAGTTGATTATCCTAACTGGATTATTTATTCCCTTAAAGCAAAAAGAGATCACACGTCCATCAGTGGGGCTCTTTTATCCAACTGGTTCTCAATAAAAATTGTTGTCCTCTTTCCCCAGGCTGACCTGTATGCTGGGGCTCTGTTCATCCAGCTGGCTCTTAACAAGAACACAACAGAGTGGCTGTATCTAAGCATCCTCTTCCTCTTGGCTGTGGCTGCCATCTTCACCATTGCCGGTGGACTTACGGCTGTGGTTTGGACTGATTTCGTACAGACCATTCTTATGATTGTTGGTGCCTTCATCCTTATGGTTATGTGTGAGTAACTACATGTTAGGTGTTCTGTTGAAGGATTGTTATAACCAGTTCTGAATTGAATTAGTGTCATGAGGTTCTGAATATGATCACAAATATATACTCAAACAGGACAACAAAATATGACTTACATTATAATGATTAGTGAAATACTGTACTGGTATGATTTTTTTTACTTAACCACTTTATGCAATGAAATTCAGGTACAGTGCTGTATCATTTTTTTACATCTACAATATGATTGAGCCAAGTACTGCAATTGTATGTACTGTACAGTAATAGTTTTCCACACCAGTTATTAAGAATTAATTTTTTCACCTGATGAAATAGAATGTGATGTCTGATGTCCAATTAAAAAAAATTTGGACACGCTCGGATATTTTATGTGTTGTAGTTTTCAGTTCAGCTTTTCGTGTTCATAACTTAAAGGTTTCATCCCTAAACCCTATAACTTCATTAATTTTCAACATACTGTGCAGTATCTTGGCTTCCTTCTCCTTAACCTACCTTCCTCTGGCACATCCCAAATTTATTGCACTAACTTTTTTTTTTACAATCTTTCACTTTCCATTCTCTCAGCAAGTTCATGCCCCGATACTTCTTTTATTTCTACATCTTTTAATTTCTGTATATACTGTACTATATTTATTTTCATTGTCTCATAGTGACCCCACATATTACATTCAATTATGCGATACAGTATCTATCGCTTCTTCCTCTTGCATCCAGAATAAAAAAAATTGCACCCCTACACTGTAGTTATTTTGAGTTATGGTAAGAAAAAAGAAATAATAAAAAATTTTGCTTTTAATTTTATTACATAACTTGTGTTAGGTAGTTTAACTTTTAATATACATACACGACTTATGTTTGACAGCATTCAATGCGGTGGGAGGGTTCGAGGCATTGGTGGAACAATTCCCGTATGCGACAGCCACCAACAGGTCGGTGGACTCCAACAACAACTCTTGTGGTGAGCCTCCAAGTGACTACATGAACCTTCTCAGGACCATTGAGCCTGGCAAGAGTGACTATCCTTGGACTGGCATGGTGTTTGGCCTCACCATTAACTCCATCTGGTATTGGTGTACTGATCAGGTGAGTTAGTGAACTCATTATTCAGTGAGAGCTACCATTTGAAAAAATTATCTGTCTGTCCTCACAGAATCGTTTGTCTTGATAGTGCTGAATCTGAGTGTCTCCTTACTGTTAGTAACTCGCAACATCTCTTTCTGTGTCCTAATTTCCAACCTGCCAACCTTCCAGTGCTGCTTTTTTGAGGATACCATTGTATATTGGCCTTAGAGAGAATTACAAGATGGACTGGTTAACAAAACAATTACAGTATGTAGTAAACTCTTAATTGATGGAAACTTTGGACTCGTTTTACAGCTTTGTCAAACACGTGTTCTTGTATTGCTAGGGAATGATAAAGATACCCCCTAAGTGCTGAGAACTGTAACACACTCCATTACTAAGGACTTCATAAACTTAGCACCCATCTCTGTGACATCATGTCAGTGCACATCAGGATCAGGTAGGTCTTGGACAACCCACTAATCACTGACATTTAATGCAAGTTATGCAAAAGGCCCAATATATATACCCCTCAATCCTGCACTATAGAGTGTAATGTTATTTCAGTTTTCAGGTGTGCTGGACTACAATAAACTGATCCATGTAACTGTCTTCTTAACTCAAACATATTACAGTTCTTCCTTACTCTAGGTTGCATTGACATACAGTAGTATACTATGTATGTATATGCCATATGCCACAAAACCTGGGGTATGTCACACAATTTACTTGGTATCAACAAACACCACTGAAAGGCTGATTGTCTTATCTTTTGTACCTATGGCCACTGTATTCTAGATTACTGTTCATGAAGCTGTTATAGCCTATTATAGCCTTGCAATCTAGTTCAGTATTTGATGGTTTAGATAAAGATATGATAACTACTTAACTCTCCCAGGTGATTGTTCAGCGGACATTGGCCAGCAAGAACATGACTCATGCCAAAGCAGGATGTATCCTGGCAGCCTATCTCAAGTTCTTGCCACTGTGGTTGCTGGTTTTCCCTGGAATGGCTGCCAGGGTGCTCTACAAAGACCGGGTGGCATGTGCCAGTCCTGAATTATGTAAGGCCATATGTGGCAGTCGTGGAGGATGTACTAATATTGCCTATGCTGAGTTGGTATTGAACCTTCTCCCAACAGGTGAGGTCATAATTATGATATACAGGGTATAAGAAATTTGACAGGCAACATGGTATTTGAATGGAGTGCTATGTTCCAGCCAATGTGTACCAGGTAAATGTTTATATTGTGTATGTGTCTTTCTCTTATTTTATTAAATAGCGAATATAAGTCAAATTGGGTTATGTTATATAGTATTGTGTGCTGCCACTTTTTTTTTTTCTGTAGATCATTTCACCTACACACTCCAATGGAGATAACACTGCTATCTGGACTGTTTAAAGAAAATTGGGTTTTGTTATAATGTTATTACTATGCTTCAACAATTAAGGTCTTAAATTGCATAGCAAAGTTATTAATACAGGTACACTATTACATCAACAATAAAAATTATGAAACGGAACTCTCTGGGTTGAAAATCAGTATATATAAGTCTAGTTGTCGACAACTGTTTTCACCGACAGGAATGTTATGTGCTGTAAAGTGATTCATGGAAGGTAACCACAGAATTTGTCTTATAAAGAGAAAACTGTATACAGTACAGTACTTTAAAGATATAAATAAGAGGGTAGGGATATCTTGTGAGTGGGAGCAACAGGTGGGGGGGTGTAGCGCAAGTGGGTGGCTCCCTCCACCAAGATCCCTTTAATACATCTTCATGCAATTTAGCCATAATTCTCATTATCATTTAGGTTTATTTCGTGCCTGAAAAAAGAATCCGACACTCAACACCACAAGTCGTTCCTTTACAAAAGGCAAACAGCTGATCGGCTTAGCTCCTTATCACCGATGCTTACCGCATTTCTTCAGCACTTAGTAAATTAGTATAGTACTGTAGTGTATTTATCATCACTTAATAAATAATATTGTAGTGTATTTATCAACACTTAATAAGTAATATTGTAGTGTCCAGTACTATGCGTCTGCATATACTCTGGTTTATTTATTAATCAGTTGTCTAGTGTACAAATAGTCAAATTGAGCCATCATGTATCACTTAAAGGTAGTAAATAACATTGTTTGGAAAGTATCTTCATACAATATTAAATATTATACAGTATGTTATATATGCGCGAATATCTTCCGATACAGTTTATCTTTTTATTTTCAAGTTAAATTACAAATTACATATTGTATTTTTTCTTTATTATTGAAGGTTTTATATTAATCATGATGAATCATACACCATAAGAGGCTGATCATAAGAGAATACTGTATAATATTGAAACAAATAAACCTGACAAATACGGCAATGCCTTGAAACCCCCACCTGCTTGCATATGCAGTGTTTTAACTCTTGTTAGGTCAACAGTAAATGTAACTGTGAGCAAGTGCTGTTCTTTTCATATTTTTTATTTTTTTTTATTTTTGTAATTTTACCCATTTCTTAAAACACTCTAGTATCCCTGTTAAAGATACTACTCACTCTACAAAAAAAGTTCACATAAATGAGTATAGGTAGCGAGGTGTGACATTGAGACCATACATATGAAGGCAAGACTCTGACTGTGACATAGTCTGCAACAGTGAGACACTTGCCACAAAACACCCACACACAGGCATTCAACCCATATACGAATACACAAACCGTCCAGACTCTTGCTGGATATTCCAGACTTTTTCTTTCTTTTTTTCGGGGTGAATAGAGGGGCAGTCTAGAGTTCCTCAGAGAGTTTGAAAAAGATGAATTCCAATATATTGAAGTCCAAGTTATGAGATTTTATTGTACAGTACTTCTTATAATTTCCAGTTATGTCTCGTAGGATGCTGATGACAATATTGGCTGTTTGTGCTGTGCCCACTTTTATCATCAATTTAGCCTCACCATTGTCATTCTCACTTCACCAATATTCTCTCTTCAGGTCTGTCAGGTTTAATGTTGGCAGTAATGATGGCAGCCCTCATGTCATCCCTCACCTCCATCTTCAATTCAGCATCTACCATCTTCACCATCGACGTGTGGATGTTGGTCAGGAAGAAAATATCAAGAAGGATGGGCATAGATGCCAAGCCCTCAGATGCGGAGCTGCTCATAGTGGGCCGTGTGTTTGTCGTCGTCTTGGTCTTCGTCTCTGTGATTTGGATTCCTGTGATTCAGTAAGTAAGGCAGGAAGTAGGAGTCATTGGGAACAGATTTTGATTCCTACGATTCAGACATAATGATAGATGTGGGCAGAGAAGAGAGATATGACTTGCGAACTTTAATGCATATCATATTGGAATACTACTGTACTGTACAATCCAAATTAAAAGTGTTAGTAACTATTTACTGTATAATCTCTTTTTCTGCTATTACTCTCTCTATAATTAGTCAATAGAATTAAACACTGATCCTGTATACTGTATATTCCTTGGTTATAAAGTAACAAAGAACTCACAAAATCTAGTATCCTTGGGTGACAGTTATCCATACTATGAATCTCATTAATGAAAATATGCAGGCAATATATTGTACAGTACAGGTATCTGAAAAAAAATAGTGAAGTAATGTAGTTCGATGTGCAACCAGCAACAAAGGAGGTTGTTGTCATGTAATCACTGTGGTAGGGAGTTCTGTTGGATTTTGTGCATAGCCTGCCAAAGAAGTCTTGAGCCTTGATTTCAGGCCTCTTATCCACTCCCATCACCACCTTCTCTTCCTGTCTTTTATCTGTTGATATATTATGGTTAATTCAAGTGGCACAAAATGTTGCCCATGACAAGCATAATGAGATGCTAAATGTTTTTCACTTATCTATACAAATGTTTGCCAGTGCACAAAATTTTTTATTTTAGCTTGAAATCTTATTGGGTGCACATTATTGGCTTCAGGCCTGGTTACAGGAATGGATATTGTGATTCAATATTGCAAAATGCTAGAGGCTGCATCTTGTTCATAATAATACTCAGGAAATATGCCTTATGTCCCAACGTGAAGATATTTTCCTAACAGAACTAACAGAAATTAGATGTGGGAAAGATCTGGGTGCTTGTGCTGGCAATGAAGCGAAGTTCCTTGCAAATAAATTACCATAGTTGGATTAATAGGAAAGTTTTTCCATTTCTGGCGATCAAGTACAGTGCCCGTGTCATGCGACAAATCTTCCGGTGCGATAAACCTTCCGGGCTCAGCAATTACTGATGTTCATTATCGACAACTAAGATGTATGATTGATTTGTGAGAGCTGAAAATATTAATAAATACGGTAACGGAAGGTTTTGAATGAATTTCCCATTATATCTTGGGCAAACTGACTACAGTATAAGGACGATATGAAACATACTCACTACCAAAGACAATGTAAGCACAAAGTGGGCAGTGCTTTGAAGTCGATGGAAATTGTGGGGTAAGAACACAAAAAATGAACCAATCAAACCCAAGGAATCCTGACCTATCCTGCTCTAACCTAACATTACAAAATCTTATCCTACTTAACCGATGGTGGAGGCTGATCATGTGTGCACCGCGTGAAGAAGTAAACAATAAACACTTAAGCGAACTGGAGAACCACCAAAGTTGTATGAAATTTACTAACTTTATAATTAAATTTAATACCCAAAACTAAGCATTTACCCCGGAAGGTTTTGCGCACGACACCGGCTATGCTGCCTCCTTGTGTACCAAAGGCTTTGTATACAGTGTACTATATTCATACTATCCCTAACAGGAAGTCATGCCTATGAGACCCCACTTTCTTTCACTAGCACTTTAAAGTCTACTACTAAGTCAGTATTGCAATCAGTATCTGGAATTAGAGAATGGCCATTCCACAAGAGGTCAAAGCCTTAAGTTGAGGGAGTTATCAGTACAGAAATCTGTCAAGAGCTAACTTTTTGGAATAAGAGTTGTAAAGTCTTGAATAACCTGCCGGCAAATATTGTGACAGGACAAGCATGAGCTCCGTTAAGGCCAGGTTTAACCAATACTGAAGCATATTCAGGTACAATTAGGAGCCCATACATGCCCAGTACTGTACTTGGCAACAATACTGTATATAACAAAGAATTGACCAACTCCCTGATCATCTAGTAAGTTGAAATATGGAGGTTGAGATGCAATAGAGTGGTAAAATAAAAATATTCCATGAAAGACACCAGAATCTCTGTAAGGAGAGGTACAAGTAGTGCATTATATTAATATTTCCCATGAATTTGAACATTATGTACTAAATTACAGCCAAGATTATGATGATAAATTCTCATGACTTCATAGTAGGGAAATAAAATTATGTCTTTCCTCCCCACAGGAAGACTGGCAACTCACAGCTGTTTGACTACATCCAGAGTATTTCATCCTTCCTTGCCCCACCTATATGTGCTGTCTACCTTTTGGCTATCTTCTGGAAGAGAACCAATGAGCCAGTTAGTACCACTAACATTATGCAACTGTGCCTCAAAGCTACCTAAGTTAATTTTTTTCCTTAATTTGAGAGCAGAAGAAATGCATCCAATTACTGTTTAATTGTACCCTGTAGTGTATTATTAGCCATTGTGACTGCATTTTGTTTTAGAGTTTAAGGGTTAACTCCATGTCCACTATTAATTTCATGATTATTGATGTTACTTTTCATTAAGTGGGTGAAAATTGATTAGTGATGTTACTTTTCATTAAGTGGGTGAAAATTGATTAGTGATGTTTCTTTTCATTAAGTGGGTGAAAATTGAAAAGGTATTTTTCATAAAGTAACAGCCATCGGAAATTATTCTCATTATGGAATCAGCAAGTCTACATAAGAGTTTGCCTTTATCATATGAATAGTTTACTTCCTTCCTACAACTGGAGCCCTCAGAAGAGTTAGCATTTAATGCAGAAGGTAAACAAATTGTATTACTCCATCAGCAGGGCATGTCACTCCAGTCTTTTGTTTAGTCATAACAGTGGCTTTCTTTTTTTTTCTGGCTGCTTGCTTACTGGATGTAGATATATTCTTCTGGCTACACTGCTTCACCTGGGAGCAGATAACGACATTTTAATTTTCTAACACGTGTAGAAGTTAGTGGCTAGGCCACAAGACCATGGTGTTTTCTCAAGGCAAAGCAGTTTTTCTAGAAAGGAATATGCCTCCTTATAGCTTCATAATGCAAGAGTTCATAAAGTCTGATAAAAATGTAGTTAGGTAATCAGCCACAGTTCCACCTGTTACAGTGGTTGGCACTTTTGTGAGATCTGGCAGCTCTGTGTTTATTTACATTGTAGTATAACTCCCAGAATGGCCCTAAGGAACCTCGCAATAGTAGCCAGTTCTACAGGTTAAAAATAGAACTTCATGGGCTCCAACCTGCTATTTGTTAGCCAGTGACAGTTTAGCTAGGCACTATGTCATTGTGAGTTGGATGGGTATAATGAAGTTTAGTTAAATAAAAATTTTATTTCTAATCTCTCTTCCAAGATGTCTGTATGGATCATTCATGGAGGCTCTGAGCAAATATGTGAAAGCTGGTCCTGCTACCACCACGCAACCTCACTCACACCACACTCCATGATAGAACCTTTCACTACCCATATTTATTCTACCATCTCTTATACTATGTTTGTTTGTTTCCTACCTTTAAAGGAAAACCGCTAGATTTATACTGAGTAAAAAATTTTAGCTACTCACTTATATTGGTAGTTAGGTTGTGGAGTAAATTAAGGATTTGGCCACAATCTATTATTCCTGATGTTTCATATCTGATTGTGTACATGCAACTTATCAGGGTATGTTTGTAAAAATATTTTTAACTGCATATGTCATATAGCCTCCACTACACTGTACAACTTTTGAAAAATAAGTGATCCTACATGGACTAAGATTTTTCATGGCAGCTCTCTCATTTAATATTATATTATTACTAATCATTCAAAAACTACTATGAGACTTAGGATATAAAATTAATATTTGGACCTTCTCATAATATTCGAACTTAATACTGTACAGTACATGGGTTCTGTAAAGGATGCCTGACTTTACAGTTTACTCAAACCAATCTATGTAATTATTTCAACCTGTTGTTAGCTGCATTCCCTGCCTGTTCCAACTACTTTAATCTTAATCCATGTCCACAGAGTGAGCCTTCACGACACCACCTATACAGCATATACAGTATAGTTCATTGTATGGTACAGTAGTGTATAGTCTATCAGATAATAAAATGATAGTGGCAAATCTGATTAGCCATCATTATAAACAGCATGTGACCTGAGCTTAAATACAGATAATTATTACTTCTTCCATTGTGGGGTGGGTCTCCATCCATGGTAAGGGTGACTTCACCAGGATTGAGTGGAAGTTTACTACTGCAAAAATTATGGATATTTTGCAAGAATTTCCTTCCTCTCACTTCAGGAATGGAACTATCCACTCCACAACCTAACTACCAATATACAGCATGTGTGTGTGGCAATAGATATTTACACAAGAGACTATCTAGACACTGTACATCTAAATTACTGGGTACAGTAACAGTTGTGATAATAATTTAAAATTTTCTCTCAGGGGGCTTTCTGGGGGCTGATGATTGGACTGGCCATTGGATTGCTGAGGTTTATCCTCGAGTTTTCTCAAGTCGCTCCTCCATGTGGCTCAAGTGAGTTTTTTTTTTCTAGCATTCCTGTGCCTCCTAATTCTTAAGATTTTTTAAGTGCTTTATTTCCTCTCTTTTTTCTTATACCTGTATTATTCTTAGCACTTATGGATTTTTTTCTGTTCATTCACTTGATAATTCTTTGTTCTACAACCTTCTCTCCCCCTGACTTACCACATCCTGTATCATATGTGCAATGTGCATGTTTCACAGTGTCTCAGTGCATCCAATAAGGGACAGTGTTTGAATAATGTCACAACAGCAAGCGTATCTTTTTTGGAGATGATAGAAATTTCGTTATTTAAAGAACAACTTGCTGTTTACAATGATTTTATTAATGAATAACTGTAAGAGAAAAGTTTGTTATCATGCTAGTGGAGTTAAACCACAAGGGGATGTAGGAAGGTAAGACAATTATTATAAAGCTATTAACTCTTAACAGAGCACTTATTCAAGATATTCTCCTGTGTGAGATGATACTTTCAGAACAACACAGAGGCATCTTAGATCTTGTAATGAACCAACCTGTATTACTCTATAGGATCCCCTACCTAGTTCTCGTCAAAAGGTTTATAAAATATTCCAGTAGAAGAGGTATTATCTTTAATATACAGTATACTGTACCTGTACTCTAAAATTTATTTAGATCAATCTTTAAAATTCTAGTGTGTGTATTATTAGTTGCTGTCCATCCAGCAGACAGGTGAACAAATTGTCCTTTTGCAGGTGACCCAGACCCAAGATCACACTTAATGAAGCTGTTGGTTGGCAATGTGCATTATCTCCATTTTAGCTGTATCCTCTTTATCATAACTGGGGCTTTCACCATTGGCATCTCCCTTGTGACTGCACCTATTCCTGAAGATTGTGTAAGTATTAGGGGTTTCTAACAGCAGAGAAAAGGTCAGTGGCTTTTCCCTTGGCCTTGTTATGACTGTTTAGTAGTTGAAGAATTTTGAGGATGGCCATTGTGGCCCCATAGTATATATCACAGGTGTACTGTAATTTCATTAAGCATGTGTGTGTGGTGTGAAAATTAGGAATTCGGTAAGCCAAACTAAGACTTACTATTACTTATTTAAATTCATCTTGCCACCAGCTGTACCGACTTACCTTCTGGACACGGAGAGACCCCCGGGTGAGGAGGTCCATTAAACTTATCCAAGATCTGGTCCAAGACACCCCTGACAACACTGTTGTTACTAATGGTACTGAGCAAATGATCATAGAAAATACTCAGCCAGGTATAGTTTTTTATTTGTTTAGTACTACAATACTGTACAGTATATATCCAAACTAGTTCAGTATGATAAAGGCTTGTAAGAATGGCCCTTTCTCTGGAATGTCAGTAAGAACTACTTATGATAAAAATAATTTGCAGCAGTAATAGTGTCCATCGTATATTGATGTGCTGTCATGTTTTTTATCGTTAAGCCGTAAGCGTATAGTAAAATTTGCCTCTTGGGGTTATTCTCTCAGAAACTTAATGACTATCTCTGTGCTCTTAACTAGTTTTCTTGTACTATTCATAGTTGCTAGTGTTCATTTTATTTGTAAGTTTTCTTTCATTCATTGGTACCATAATGTTGACAGAAGTGTCCAAATTGAAGCGGTACCTCAATGTGGTATGCGGTGTGTCGGGTAGTAGTAATGCAGGGGTAGAAAACCCACAACCACAGATGTCAGAGGATGAGAAGGCTGAGTCTGCTGCTGAATTCCTTAATGAACCTCCCTTCTGGAAAAAGTAAGTTTGAACTTATCTTTTTTTTTTTTAATATTATTAAAAGTAGACTTAGCATTAAACAATAAAACTGTAGGTGGTATAGTGGTAACACAGATATCTCTTGTCACTATATTATGGGTTTGAGTCCTGTTTGGCCCAGGATACATACAGTACATGGGAAGGATGTTATTCAGTGTGACTCCAATTTTCCCTTGTAGTACTAACACTGGAAAATAATAATAATGGATGCCCCTCGAGATTGAGAATGGCCTGCCCTAGGGCCACCTAGGCGTGAATTTGTTTAAGGTGTAGAAGTTGTTGCCAACACAACAACCACACCCTAAGTTAACAAGCTGCATGACCCAGTGTCAAGAAACAGTGCGAGAAGACCGGACAACTCGCCAACTGCACTGGCTAACCATTAAGCTGAAAAGTGACAAGGAGGTTATACATAAACATACTGGTGCACCTATCTACCCCATAGTTGTAAATGTAAGTTTGATAGAGTAACTACCTGTACTAACTTTATTAGTGTTTGCCAGCCATCATGTTTTTCAGCTTCATGCAAACTTTGTTGTAATAGTCTTATCTCATACATATTAAAATATATCAGCAATTGATTTTTTTAATGTGTTTTCTAGTCTGGGACAAAAGTATTTCCTTAACTTATCAAGATGGTGAAAGGTGAGGGGTTCTGTTAAGTAATTAGAAAATATTGGAAGAGTAAGTGATATGTGGGTGGCAATGACCTTACAGTTATACAGTACAAAACTTTATAATAATTACTTCTGTTTCTCCTACACAGCCTGGTGAACATCAATGCCATCATCTGCCTTACCCTCACTACATTTGTATGGGGCTTCTTTGCTTAGCTGCTGAGAGGAACCTTCTGCCCCTCCCTTGTTGTTATTAGATATAAAGACGATTTAACAGGCACTGAGTGGCTGTAAAGTATTTTTATTAATGTTTACAATTGTATTAATAAAGTGTCCTGTGAAAGACAGGGTGTCATTGATTATATATATACTGTATATATATATACAGTATAGTTTGCATTTACGCGGCTTTTGTTTATGCGTTTGGTCATTTACGCGGTGCCTTGCCAGAATGAAAATGTTTTAATTACACGGTAAATTTGGTCATTTACTTGGCAAGCGGCTGGAGAGGTCCAGACCGCCGCACCATTTTTTACCCACGCGGGAAGCGCCGTGGTGAGTGGTGCGCATTAGGCCGCTCTTACACTATCACTGACGTCATGTGACGTATCGGACTGTGATTGGGCCACGCATCCTTACCACCCACGCATTCCCTCCGCCGCTAGCTGTGATTGGTCTAATGTAACATGACGTGCCCTGCCACCAGAGGGTAGAAGTCGCTGACCTAGCAGGGCCTGTCTCATTGTTCTCAGTCCGCGTATGCAGTTCTCTCTTGTGCCCGCTATTCCCCTCACAACTCACAATGGCTTCCGCGGGACCCCCACCACCAGAGAAAAACATTGAATTACCTGGACCAAGCCATGATAATGTGAAGGAAATCATCGAGTTGGGGGAGAAACTTAAGCTCATCCTTGACAACGACCCAGACAAGCATCGGTGATAGTGATATTGACAGTGAGGATATGGACTTTGAGAGGTTTGTCTGGGAGGCTCTGCAAACCTCTGCGAGTAGTGAAAGTGAAAGTGATTCACCGGAGGGCAATTAATCTGCCCTCTGCCTCGGAACCAGCCGCCATCCACGTGTGCCGACCCAGCTTTTCTACTAACGTAAGTGTTAAAAAACCTAATATTATTGATATTTCTCTTAATTATTAATCGTTTGTGCATACCACCATAAAATTAAGATGTTATTTTTACTACAACGTACGTATTGTGTCGGAAAAAGTGGAGTTTGGGGGTCGGCCCAGTCTCTATTTCAATTAATCCCATATGTTGTTATTTCATTTACGCGGTACTCCACGGGTTCAATTGACCGCGTTGTTTCCCTTTTCCCGTGTGATTTTATCAAGATTTATCTTATCCATGTTTTCATTGTGGATCTACATGAAGTGTGTATATATATATATATATACTGTATATATATATATACTGTATATATATATATATATATATATATATATATATATATATATATATATATATATAACATATATATATGTATATATATATAGCTATATATATATATATATATATATATATATATATATATATATATATATATATATATATATATATATATATATATATATATATATATATATATATATATATATATATATATATATATATATATATATATATATATATATATATATACTGTATATATATATATATAAGATACACAGTAGACTCGCAACTTACGCATATTTTTCTTATGCAATTTCAACTACACGGATTACCCCTGGGGTTAGGTTACAATTTCCAATTTCAAACTCAATATTTTGAAAATGGGTCATAAGCCCGCCAAACGCAAGCCCGCCAAAGCTCCACCCCTGCCATCCCACCTCTCTGTCTTCAGTTACCGCATGGGTATTGTCGGAGTTACACCTGCCTCTCGTGTGTGTCAATTTAGTGCGCTTAAACCTCTCTCATACTCATTCATAATGCCCAAACACAGGTCAACCTTTCTTCATTTATTTTTTACCCATTTACATGCACACACTGTCCTAAGGGCAAAGCTGTGCTGTACATGTACTCAAATGTACTAAATAATTACTAAAATTTTTGTCTAGTGCAAATTAATCAGTATCTTACAAGAATCCCAGCAATGTAAGTTTTTTCTCCCAGATCAGTTCAGTGACATTTTATAAGAGAAAAACTTAGTCGTTAAAAGACAAATAAATAAATACCACGATACCTTTGGCGCCAACTGTCACAATACATCACCTCACCTCCCCCTCCATCCCTCCTTCTCCCCCATCTTCCCAGCCAGTTCTAGTGTATATGTACGTATGTATACTGTAGTGATTTAAGGGCAATTTAGGGGTAGCTTTACGCGAGGTTCCAGAAACGTAACCCTCACGTAAGTTGTGAGTCTACTGTACTGTATATATAAATACTGTATATATACATGTATATATATTTGCAGGGGTTAGGTTCCAAGGAATGGCGTGAGTAGGCTAAACCGCGAATAGCAACTTATACTACCTTAGTGCACTACTGTATGCCTAAACCAAACAACTGACCAGCCATGGCAGCACTCATCCCTTCTTTTAACTTATCTAATAATTCAACATACTTTTTCACTGACTTCTGCATTTTACATTTCACTCCACTAGGTATCACTAACACTGACACTAGGTGGTCTTTTAGGGATCATTTCACACAGAAACACTAAAGTTTTGAAAGTACAACACAAGATGCTGTTTGGGGTGACTCCTTGCGCTGCGGGAAAAGGCTCGCAAGCTAGCCACTATCTGCTTACCGTGAAATTCATTTACTGTCAAAATGGCAGCAAGAGGACACCCCTGTGTGTTATGCTGCAGAACCAAGAAAGATCATCCTCAATTTGTATACCATTCATTCCCAAAGGATAAAGAAAGGTAGGAGCACAGTTTTGAATTACATACATATGATATGACATGTTCATTTATCATTATATTTACAAACAATGTGAAAACTCCCTGCAGGCAAAGTAGAATCTGATTTCTAAATATTTACAGGTGCTTGCAATTGATACAAGAGCTGGGTTTGAGAAACTTAAAGGAAAGAGCCCAGACAGTATAAGCAAAAACACCAGATTATGCAGCCATCATTTTTTAGAAGGCAATTACACTGCAGGGAAGGCAACTTCTCAGCTTTGTAAATACAATCAGTCCTCGACTTACGACGGGGTTAGGGACTGACGACCAGATCAAGTCGAATTGGTCGTAAGTCGAAAATGCGAAAATAATACATAGAAATTCTAAAATGGGTGTCTCTTTTTCTTCTCAGCACCACAAGAACTCTCACTTTTATGCTTGCCAGCCATTTTAAAGGGAATTACAAACGAAATTTTGTCAGTACACAGCACGATCACTAACGTCGGTACTAGAAAATACATAATTTGAAAAATATTTTATACGACTGCGGCGGTCGTATGTCCAGGTGGTCGTAAGTCGAGGAGTACCTGTATGTATGTCCAGATATTAACCTAGGATTGTATTATAATATGTACAGTATGTCATGTACCAAATATTGCAAATAAATATGTTTGCATATGTAAATGTCCATAGACTTTATTTTATGATCCACATTTATATATTTATATATTTTTGTGGAAAATAAACCATAAAACTATTTATGTATATCCATCACTGCCAAAATACTGACTGTTACTGTACTTATGATCCTAAAAAACAATGTAATATTTTATATTCTAAAGCATAGAAATGAGTTGGCATTCAGTTGACTTAAATGAATACATGAAATAGGATATTTATATGATTCACACATTAAATATGCAAAAACATGTTCTAAACATGAATAAAAATTAAAAAGAGTTACAATTCTTCCAGTAGCTTATTATAACATAGCAAGGTGAATGACTAATTTATACATTTTATGTGTATTTTATGGAGAAAATATAAAATTGGTTACGTATATTAACATAACTTAAGCATATTTCATATGAAAAATTGACACGTTGGCAACCGTTAAATGATGCTCCGTATAGTGATGTGCGAGCTCATGGATTTAGACACACTACATGTGGTAGCACGTGTTAAATACCACACAATAGATGTGGTAGCACATGTTAAATACCACACACTACGTGTGGTAGCACATATTAAATACCACACACTACATGTGGTAACACATGTTAAATACCACACACTAGATATGGTAGCACATGTTAAATATCACACACCACATTTGGCAGCACATGTTATATACCACACACTACATGTTGCAGCACATGTTAAATACCACACACTAGATGTGGTAGGACATGTTAAATACCACACACTACATGTTGCAGCACATGTTAAATACCACACACTACATGTTGCAGCACATGTTAAATACAACACACACTAGATGTGGTAGGACATGTTAAATCCACACACTACATGTTAAAGGCAAGTTCTGATATGTGTGTGTGTGTGCATCAAGACCAATCTGCTGTAGATTTATTAGTTCACTGCACAATAATGCCAGTTGTATAATTCCCTGATAAATGTACCAGGAACTAAATGACGATACATTATTCTTAATAAAGTCCAGAACCTTGACGTATATGCACCAAATTATCCTCGTGAGCAAAATATAAATGGTACATTGTATACATTCTGAGTTGTTTATGTCTTGTTTCAGTGAAGATTGTTCTATTCTCTTCAGGTTTATCCATATGCAGTACAGGTACTACATATGCTATTGAAACCCCCAGTTGTTGGTACATTATAGATAAATCCCTTTGGTAAGTATTAAATTTTGAATTCTCACACAATACAGTGCAAAGAAAACTTACATTTTAGTTTATCATCTCTCGATAATGGTGCACAATTAAAAATATTAAACAAATTCAAGTTTATTAACCACTAAAATTGTAAAGGAATTATTAGGACTATATGCATGAAAAATATTGTTGCAATAAACATACATGTTTGATTTTGGGTACTGTGTATTTTAACTATTAGGCACTCACAAAATGAGTAACAATGTGAGAAATTAAGTTAAATATGGTAAAAACTTCCTGGGTAGGTGTTTCCCAGGGCTCCCCAAAAATTTCATGGTTTTTTTTTTTTCGAGACCCAATCGCATCCATGGCTCATCATGATGACTTGTGCTGAAGTGTGCATGTTGAATGCTCACCCATATTTGTGACAGCATTCACCAACATTTCTTGAACTCGTTTCTTTATTACGTCTGTACATGTATTGTATTTTCAAGTTTTAATGTCAACCATTTTAACTTTTATACCATTATCCTCTTCACCACTGATCGGCTCGTTAGCCACTTGGGCGATCGGTCACATCTCTGTTATGGACTGTTGGCAAGTAATGGGCATGAAGTGGCTCCTGAATGTATCTTAACCTGCTCCAGTGCTTATCAAGTCTGGTCTTGAAAGATTTCACAATCGGTGCCATCACAACACTGGCAGTGTTCCAAGAGTTCACAATTCTCACTCAGATAAAGTTACCCCTCACAGTTTTCTGGACTTGCGGGGCTTGGATGCTGATGCCAAAATAGCTGCTTTGCTATCATTAGAATCATCGAGGCTAAGAAACTGTTTTCAAATTAGACTAAAAGATATATATTTCTCCCATGCGTATTTCAATTGTACGCCTGGCAACGGGAGACAGGATCACTAGTTAAAGCATTGTCTGCAGTTGTAACTCCTCCGTCCCTGCCATATTTCACTGGATTTACTGTGATTTTTAGTGTTTACTGATATAATAGTGTGTTAATCATAGCATTGTAGCCAACTAAGACTCACCACTGTAACCACCAGGCCATTCGGCCAAGCTGAGAGATGTTTTTCAACTCTTATTTTCGGGTACATGTATGTAACTTTCTTCATTTATTTTTACTCAGTTACATTCATATTGTGAAAATAGTAAAAGAAATAATTGTCCTACGGGCATGCAGTATACATTTCTTTGCACACGATTTAGATCAGTGGTGTCAAACTCAAAACCTTTCAAGGGCCAATTCTTATTTTAGTTACCCTCTTCAGGGCCAACACAAGTGCTATACGTATCACATATTTACAGGATTGAAGTTTACAGCTTCACACATTGCCTTTCCTGGCTTACCAGGAATACCTCATTTGGGTTTGTCTGATCTTAAGTATGTAAAATTCATTTTACTAATTAACATGATTATATCTATTTTTTTCATAATTTCATGGGAAGATAAATTTTACCGTCATCCCAAGGGCCACATTTGGCTTGCGGGCCATGAGTTTGACACCCCTAATTTAGATGGCTTGGTGAGGGAGGGGAAGACTGGTCAGACTGTGGTCAGGATCTTGCTGCTGTGGATCATTGGCCTAGTCCTCTTAAACAGACTTTTTCCTGAGGCGGAAAATTTCCTTCCAGAATTTCAATGTGGCTTTAGACCATCATGTGGCACCATTGACATGATCTTTGCTGCCAGCAGAGAACAGTGTCGTGACCTGCATATGGCCTTCATCGACCTATGAAAGGCCTTGACTTGGTCAAGAGGGAAGCCCTCTGGTGGACACTCAGCTGTTTTGGCTGCCCACCATAATTCATCGCCATTGTGGGGCAACTCCACGAAGGCAGTGTCCTGCACAATAGCACCCAATCTGAGTTCTTCGCCATCCAAACGGGTAAAACAAGGAGGTGTACTGGCACCAACTCTCTTTTCCATTTTCTTGGCTGCCTTCCTTACTCGTGCCAGTGACAATTTTGCCGACGGGGTGGACATCCAGTACCGGATGAAGGGCCTTTTCAACAGAAGACAACTCCAGGCAGGAACAAAGGTGTTGGCAGCTTTCATTACTGAACTTCAGTATGCAGATGACCTCACCCTTGTCCCTCACACTGAACGCAACCTACAGGAGATCCTGAACATCTACGCAGATGCTTATGCACACTTCAGCCTTGAGGTGAATGTACGTAAGACTCGGATTCTCTTTCAGCTTGCCCCTAGTTCAGCCACACCTCCACCATCCATCCAGCTTAACCGTACTATCCTCTGTAATGTTACCCACTTTCAGTATCTCAGCTCCCACTTGTCCACCACCCCAGACATCGATGAAGAGATTCAACATCGGATCAGATGTGCATCTCCAGCCTTTGGCAGACTCTGTACCCGTTTCTTCAGCTGTAGGGAGCTGAAATTAACTACAAAGTTGCACATATATCAAGCAGTGGTCCTCCCCACCCTGCTATATGGCAGCGAGACATGGGTCACATACAGGAGGCACCTCAAGGCACTTGAAAACTTTCACCAACGTAGTCTACATTCCATCCTCAGAGTTCGCTGGGAAGACAAAAGAACAAATGCCAGTATTCTCGCTGACACCAACTGTAGGAGCATCAAGGCTACCATTATCCATAAACAATTACGTACATTGGACTGGCCATGTTACCCACATGGACGACAGTAGATTGCCAAAGCAGCTACTTTACAGTCACCTAATGAATAGTAAACGTAACGCTGACAGGCAACTAAAAAGGTACAGTATAAGGATAGTCTTAAGACAAACCTGAAAACGTGCCAAATCAACCCCCTTACCTGAGAGACAATTACTCCACACCACAATGCTTGGAGGAGCACCACACAAGGTGTCAATACTTTCAAGTTAACCTGACTGCATACCGAGGTAGACAAGCATCAACGCCGGAAAGACACCGCCTCTCCCGAACTAGATGTAGCACTGCTCGGTTGAATGTACATACCTGGAGCTGGCAACATCCACCCCACAAGGGGTCACAGCTCAAGGTTGAAGAAGCCACAAGTCCAGAAACTGTGAGGGTAAACTTTTTGGGAGAGAATTGTTAACTCTTGGGAAAATCTGCCAGTGTGTGTTATGATGGCATCGTTGGCTCATTCAAGGCCAGACTTGACCAACACTGGAGCAGGTTCCGATATATTCAGTCATCAGTGCATGCCCAGTACTTGCCAACAGTGTGTAACAGACGTGACCGACCACCTAAGTGGCTAACGAGCCGATCAGTGGTGAAAAAGATAAAAGTAACAAGGCACTGGTGTAATAGTTGAGGGGTACAAGACCACAAAATTCTGGTCATTCTGACTGCATCTGTTGCAGGAAAATGTTTTGAAAGGGTTAAAGCTGAAATCTGTTCTTAGTTCTGCAGGCAGACTGTTTCAACAGGTCTATAATACTCTGCACCCTGCAGGATAACTTACTGAGCTTGAGATCTTCACTCAGTGAGGCTGTGAGCATCCATAAATCCTAACAATGAGTTTGAATTGTATCAAAAAAGAATTGACTTGTAATATATAGTACAGAAGTACATGCCTACTATTATAGGGCCACAAGACCAAACATCTGACATTACACACAGTTCTTACTGCTAAAAGATTTAAGATATTCTAGATATTTGAAAGCCTATAACTGGCAACCCTTCTGTTTTGCCCGATTTTCTTTGCTCTACTGTATTGAAAACCCCAAGCAACAATTACTTATGCTTAGTTTACAATTTAAAACAGTACATTTAAACATTTACAGGGCAAGACTAAAAGATCCAGAAAACAGTCTCTTTTATTACAAAATTTATGAGCAAATCCAGAATGGCCTCAATTTAAGCAATGAACTTACAAAACTTACAAATAGCTTAAAAAAGTAAATTACGTCATAAAAGTTGAGAATACTATACAGTAAATGTACATTCCTGAAGACATCATTTCATGAACTGCTAGCTTTACCTGAACAACATCCACATGCCAAAGGTCTGGTTATCACCCCTCAAAAACTTGCATCTCTTCATGATTAATTTGTAGAATAATCACTGTGACAAAGAATTGTCTTTGGTCTATGAAAAAAGTATGTGAAAAAATCGATTAAAATACTAGTGTACATCTCAACCTTGCAAAAGCACAAGATATGTCTTCAAAATACCAATTAATACCTCCAGCCATACTATTATCAACACATGACTGTAGAGTTTGTTCAACTGCAACTATTATTTTAGTAGCAGCTATGTACTACAATATTAGGAAATTGACCAATATAATATAAAATTTAAGTTAAAAGAGAATCTTTACCTGATGAATAAAAACAATTACTATTATGCAAATTTGCAAGGTAAAAATAAAAAATAATAATACTACTGTACTATACTGTTTTGAGAAATTGGAACCATGCTAATATCTTACCTTTTCCATAACACTATCATTTTAAAATACTATACAATAATAATACTGACATTTGTATTTTCAACACTACTGTTCAAAGGTGTTACTTCTAAGATTCATTTTTTTTTAACTCTTTCAAGCGCTTTCTCACTACGTATTGGAGTTTAGGAGGAAAAAATTATACTGTTTTAAAACTGACAAGTTCTTGAACTTTATTGTAAATATATAATGATACTGCTATGTATCATTCACTCCAACTCCAAAAATTCAACTGGGTCTGCTTCACTGTCATACACAGGTATGTACAAAACCAGCCACTTCACTTATTGACCATTGGCATACCCTCAATGATATATATGCAAGGAAGTATGTACAAAACCTTTGAACAATTTCTTCTCTACTAACCATCTCCACCCTTTAAAGTGTCACATGCAGGGAGATACATAAAGTACTTTGACCAAACACTTCACTTTCTGATCATCTCAACTCCGTAAAGTGTCATATGCAGTGACCTTCATCAATTACACCCTCACGTGTCAATCATTCATCAATGCTAAAAACATATAATGAAAACTTCTGAATGTTCTTTAACTGTAAGTTGGACATATTTTCAAGCTCCTCCAATCAAATGAGCTTGAGCTTCCCAAATATTGTTGCCACTTCAACAACCATCATGTAACAATTATAATATTTTTGGATCCATAGTTGCTATTCTTTGTTCTTACTGCTCATACTCACAGAATTAGGTATCTCGTGTATACCCTAAGTATTGACATTAAGAAGGATATCATTTGTAGTCAGCCTTCAGCTCACCTGAATGGAAGAGCTGAATAAGGTAAATAATGTTATCGCCCAATAAGAGAATCCATAAGAGATCACCTAATAATCCTGATCACAAGGACAATAAATAAATATTTAAAAGCATAAAGGCAGTTATCTTGTCAACATTTGGTCATGTTGTAATCTAGTTTTAATTAAATTAATAAGAATGAGACCAATAAAAAAGGTACTGAGTAAGAAAATAAATTGGTTATAGACACCCTGAGTGATTGTATTAATGGTATCACACACTGAAGTAATATCTTAGTCATCGCCATAACTCCCCTCATATATACAGTATATATATTTACTCATGTGTAAAAATCACAAACTTCAGTCAAAAGTTTCTACAATATATCACAGTTAAACGTCTGAAAATCCAGTACCACCTCAAAATATTTCTAGAGTTGATATCACTCAAGATTTAGAGGATGACATCATATAATTGAAGTAAATGATCCTACCTGGTAACAGATACTCATTAAATACTTCAACATCTATATACCTGAGGTGAAGGTGAATACATCAGAGAAAATTTGTAACATTCCTGGGCCCAAATTCTCAAAGATTTGTATGCTGAATTTTCCTTTTAAATAAAAATGTAAGAATGTATTGTACCTAACTGATTGAATAATAATAAAGTGACGGTGAAAGAATGCATGAACTGGTCGACTTATGGAGAGAAATAAAATATCAATGAGATACTACTGTAACTACATCCATTTAATTTTAGTCAAGGAATAAAATTAAACATACAGAACTTGTGTAAATCCAGACCCTGGTTTTTACGTAGTAGTTAATAACTATACATCACCTAATACTATATGAAGTCTCTCATCAAGGTGTTTGCTTTCCTCACTCTACCTCGACTGCTGACGTCAATCTCATCGTCATCATCGTCATCATCATCATCGTCATCATCATCATCATCATCATCGTCATCATCATCATCGCTGTACCTCATTCTCTTTTGTGAAATTTTTTTTGGTGTGCTCTCATATTCAGAGTCACTGTAAAGTGAACGTTTCAGGTTACCTAAATTCTTCACAGATTTACCTTTTCCTTTCCCAAGAGGTGTTGGTCCTTTATATTCATCACTTTCTTCATCTGAACCCAATTCATCTTCAGTGTCATCATCATCATCGTCATCACCATCATCAAACTTAGAGGTGATAACCCTCCCAACAATCCGTCCCTTGTGCTTTACCTCGTTGACAATTACTTCATTTGATGCAAAATTGATTGGTTTATATGGTATAGGTGCCTGACCTACTCTGTTAACTGTGATAAACTCCTGGAACTGGCGCCTATCAGGTGTTCGCTTTTTGGCCACAGTCATCGATTTTTTCGCTGGTGTTTTTTTCTTTGGAACTGGCTTTTTTGATTTGCCATTCTTTGCTTTCTTTTTTACTGGCTTTTTCTTTTTTGTTGGTTTGGGCTTTTGTTTTGGCCTTTTCTTCTTTTTCTTTGACTTTTTGACCTCGTCATCACTTCCATCGTCGGTCTCTGATTCTGAGCTGGAGTCGTCATCTGTAACATCGGCATCATCAATAAAATCCTTATCAGCAATAAAATCTGTATCGTCTTCATCATCACCATCAAGAATAATCTTCCTCGCTCTCCTTACACCAGATGCAACACCTCTCTTCCTCCCTCTCTTTGCAGATGTCTCTTCTTCTACACTTTCCTCACTGCTGGATTCTAGATCTTCATCATCAAATTCCACCTCACTCTCATCTTTAGTGCGCTTGCTAGGTCCCGTTTTGCTCTTATTTATATTCGGTGGACGACCTATTCGTTTTTTTACTGTTTTTTTATTCCTGCTTAAATCACTACTATTACTGCTACTACTACTACTAGCGGATCGTCTTCTCTTATCATTACCTGGATTTTTACTGGGTTTTTGTTGAGCACTATCACCCTCAGGTGGACTAGAAGAATCACTACTCCCTTCACTGTCATCACTATCACTAACCTTCTTTGCTTTATCAATACTTTTTCTCTTTGCTAGAGCACCCATTTTCTTTTTTGCTAAACCATTCACACCATTTGATGCCTTTTTAGGTTTCTCATCAATATTCTCTTCACCTGAAGAACTTTTGAGCCTACTTTCAATACCATACAACTGGCCATTAGTTCTCTTTGCACTGGGCCCGGCATCATCACCACTACTGCTCTCACTGTTGCTGCTACTGCCACTTGTCAGCACGTTTTTCTTTTTTACCTTTGCCACACTTGTTGCAACTTTCACTTTTGAAGTCAAATCCTCCTCCTCACTTTCTTCATTGTACTGCACAGTAACCTTGCCTCTGTTTCTTGTGGCCACACCCTTCTTCTTGGCTTTAGCCACAGTCTTAGTAGGTCTATTTCTAGGACTGTACTCTTCGCCCGAGTCACTATCTTCATCCTCATCGTTCAAATGCTTCTTACGGGCAACCCTTCTAGATCTTCTCATTGTGTCCTTTCTGGATGCCTTCCCAAAAGTAGTTTCACCATCCTCATCATTGTATCCATCTTCAAGATTCATGTCATCATCAAAAGTAGTTAATAAAGAGTAATCTGTCTGATGTAGAGGAACAACTGGCCGCCCACAAGCTGTTAATGATGTTGCACTTTTCTTTGTGTCACCGCTGGCTTTAGATGGCACATCTGAAATATCAACATTTATTAACCCTCTGACTTACCATACTTAATTAAGTACTTAAAACTATCATACAGTTTTTAATCTGCTATTATACAACTATAACTTTTATCAGTCTACATTCAACATAACCATTGTGACATTAAAAACATGGCAGCTTATGCAAAATTACAAAAGTCAATACTCGACTTCATCCCTCAAGTAAATGTAATTAACACATAACAAAATCACAAGTTTTGAAACACAATGTTGATGAATTACAGTGAAATGATAAATTTATATTCAATATACCTATTATGATATAAAAGGGTAGAGTCCTTAAAACACAACTTGAGCAACTAACATCAACCACAAACACCCACTCCAACACCATGTTATTTTGACAGCCTAGGTTAGTTATCCCCTACACCTACTCAGAGTCATGTTAATAAACTGCAGTCAGTAATATTATCATCATTTTATGTCTAAAATACTTTAAATTTTCTACCATTTGACCAAAAATACATCATTCTCCAAACTGTAAGGGCGCACTTGTACATTTAGATGTTTTGCAAAACATTTGTTTACTACACATACTGTATACAATAATTGAAATCTTCTTGTCAAGGAAAGTTTAATTAAAGGAGATTTTTTTTATACATAAAATACATAGAAGAAGAAGAGAATGAGAAGAAAAGAGAGAGAAGAAAAGACAGCGAGAAAACTTGGAAAGCATTAATTTCTGACATCTTTGGATATCCATCTCTAATGCAAATACATACACTTCACAGGTCACTCTCTACTTGCAAACTCTTGTTGTAATTACCACAATCCATCAAACCAAACTCTTGACTAGAACTTTTCAATGAAATGCAAGACGTAACCATCCATCAGCATTTGTTGTGCACGCCTGTTGAATCTATCTTTGACACACTGAAACCTCGTCCTTAATTCTGAAACTATCTGCCACCTCTATTATGAGACTATCTGCCACCACCACCACCACTACAGTACTATGAAACTACCTGCCATCATTACAGTACAGATGCTCCTCTACTTAAGAACATTCAACTTAAAAACTTTCAGAGATACAAACATCATCACTGAGGGGCGTTATCTGCCAGAACAGGTGTCTTATGTGGATGAGACTGGATTATTTTGAAGAAAATTCCAGATAGAACAAACATTACCTAAATGGAGAAGAGCGAGCCAGGTTTTAAGGCTGTATTAAAGGGTATAGCTGTACTAAATATCCATAACCTTTTAATTTTTTACAATATGTTTGGTATCGACAAGAGTAAAGTTGGACTTACAAACAAGCCTCAAGAACGTAACTCGTTCGTAAGTAGAGGAGCACCTGTACTATGAATCTACATGCCACCACTATTATGAAACTATTAACCACCATTATTATGAAGCTACCCCTCACCATTACACTCTCCAACTCTACCTACATCCTACACTCTCGAGGTGTGAACTGTCATCAGTGCAGGAGGATGAGTAAATGTAAAATGAGCCAGAATGTTATGTCTAATGTGATCTGGAAAAATGAGGCAATATCATAGTTTTAAAGGATTCAGCATGAACCATTTTAGTCACAAAATAAATCACATTGCCAATGATGAAATGAAACCCACTCTTTAATATTAATGCCAAAGGTTGAACAAATAAAAATAAATCAAGAAATAGCTATTTTGAAAATAAATGAAATATTCAACAACCAGTTTTTCTGATACGATTCTTCATTCTTATTAAAAAACTCATTCTTTTGTAGTTCTCTTAAGGTTTTCTCTGAAGGAATTTTTTCCCAATCCCTTTCAAACACAATCAGTCTTATAGAATATCCTTTCACATTTCACAGAACCTTCAAACTTTGGCCAATGTCTACTGTTCATGTGCAGTCATCAAATATAGAAATATCCTCAACCTAAAAACAACTACTTTTCTACCTATGATGTTTAAGTCCATAAAGTTCATTCCAATCTCGACTGACTGGTGTATAAGCGACAATCCCAATAGTCTTTATTTTTCTTTCATTCACATTATTAGGGGTGCCACCAGTCAAAGCCTTTTAAAACATTACTCAGGACGGATGTACAGATGCTGATCCCTGATAATTAGCCACTATTGGGTTATCTCACCCCCTTGGCAGGATAATGGCCCATCACTGGAGTGTTCCACCCTCAGAAAGTGCACCCAAAAGTGTACTGCACTCATGTACAAGGATTTGGTAAAAGGAGAAAATTCAATCCTCCAATTCCAGATAGTAATCAAACATAAGATCCTCCACATCACAAATGCTGTATCATTGAGCAGGAAAAACTTTAGAATAATTCAATGAATCATTAAGAACCTAACACAACTAATTTGGCAGTAAACACCTGTGATTTATTCCAACCTTTACATCAAGTAACTTGATGAAGTCTTTTCCTTTCAAGTCACATATATTTCACTATAATATAATAAAACAGTCAGCCCCCCCAAATCAGCTGATGTTGGCATGACAATGGTTACCAAGTTGATTAATGTAATTATGATGGAATTTATTGCTCCAATTGGCTGACTGAAAAACATGACTGTGAATACTTAAAAAGGCGATGTATTTGAATAAGGAAACTATAGAGGGCTGTTATAGATGTTATGGAAAAGAGTGATAAAGAAATTGAAAAAGGAGAGAGCAGATATTTATGAAATGCAGTCAGTTTAAACATCCTCAGCACTGTATCATGCATGTTATCATAACTTATACAGTGTCAATACACTCTCATCCATGCTTTCATAAGATTACAAATTCCATACATTTGTCCATGTTTTCACATACATAGTCTCAATTTAATTTTATTTTTTGTTTTCATTAGTTTTTGTCATCTTTACACACTTTCGGGAAGACTTTCGTGACTTTGAGTAATCTCGGTACCATTTATCCAGTGTCTCGATATCTGGAATGCTCCAAAACCTGGCTATATTCTGGAATAAACTATTTAAAATGAGTACCAAGTAATTTCCGAGTCGAGCGGGAAATTTTCAAAGGGTCTGCCACCTATAAGCATATGTTTGGGCTTTTTCAATTCACAGTTTCACATAGATACCATACCCATAATGTTCTTCATTTCTTTTGCTCATTTACATGCACACACAATTCTACATACAAAAAGTACAAAAATAAATAAATAAATAAATAGTTATCATAAGGTATAAAGCTTTAGGTATCTACGGGTCCATGGTGCTCTAAGGATGCTGTTGACTTGCTAAGGTGAGTGTCAGTGGTGAATGAGATGCAGTTTGTACAGTAACTTATACTGTATCAATTTTGCTCTTTTAATGCTTTCATCATTGCTATTAATATACTTTTGTTATAGCTGTTTATATGCCTACAAATTCAAGTTTTAATGTTGCAGTGTAAAGTTAAAGCTACTTTTAGGGGTGAATTTAGTGATCTGAACAGTTTTTACAGTGAGTTACACAGGTTTTACTGTACATTTAATACATTTTAAGCCTGGCTCTCCAAATTATGAAAAAACCTTATCCAATAATCCCCAGGACCCAAGCATGCTGGATAAATAGTCCCAGACTTGTACAGTATATAAAAATTATTAGTCATCCCTATTGACTGGAAGTTAATTATGGTTATTTTGAATCCATGGAGAAGTGGATGTTAAATGTCTATAATATGGGTTACACCGAAGGCATAGTATGAAAAACTCAGTGAATGAAAGTAAAAGATGTAATTATATGTTAGCAACTGACATGTAATAGTAAAATACAGTAATGCAGTCAAATTACTGTATTGAAAAAAATATAATATAATAATGAAATGAAGAGAGTAGACCCTGATAGTCACACCAAGTACAAGCAGACAAGAAGGCTGTTATGAGCAATAGCTAGGATAAAGCAGAAAACAATCAAAGGACAAAGAAGAACACATATGACATAAAACTAGCAGAGTTAGTTGATTGTACACACAGGACAGTGTTGAGATGGTATGTTTAAGTGGAGGAAATACTGGACACATAAGTCTATCTGTGCATGTGGTTTAATAGTAGATGTAGCAAGAACTATAGGTATGAACTACTGGTGAAGTGTTTGTGTAGTGGATGGCACATATGATACATGTCGATGTTAACACATAAAGGGGTGCCTAAATAGAGCAAAAACAAGTGTGTAAAACATGTCCACCACCCAGTGTTAGTAATATTCGATAGTCACTTTTGCCTAAATACACAAACTAAACATTATATACATGTGAACTTTGCTATTTGTATGAAACACATCTCACATAGTTCAGTAAGGTGTGAACAACAGGTGAGAGCTAGAGTACAGTACTGTACAGTATATACAAGAGGAAGTGACTGAAAAATAGTGTCATATTATATTTTTCAGAGTTAGCAAAGGCGCAGGATGTAATACAACAATGCATCTTGTTCAGGTTCCCTTACTCTTTTGAAAATATGATGCTACATTTTGCTGTAAAAGACAGCCACATCAATGGAAGTACCTTCATATTATAATATAATGCGCTATTACAAGAATATTAACCCCGAGAGCATGGAGAGGTTTATGAATTTGCCAATTGTGGAATCCAAGGTTAACTTGGAATATCATATAAACTAAAATTATCAGGGAGGAGGGTATACAGTACTTTGTTTTTAATAGAATATGTAAATAACTAATGTATATTGCTGAAGCAGATTTTCTTAAAACACCATATCTTGCTTTTACTGATACACGATGCCTACATCCTCATGATCCCTTAAGTAGTCCATAATTTAAAGTCATACCTAAAAGGGCCTCATCATATCTAATCACCACAAACAATGAAATATCAAATACAGGTCAATATCCTTGATGATGACCAATGAATGCCAAACAATCTTTCATATAAAGATCTTGTGACATGTCAAGACAATACTTTAACTCCCATGCTGGTCTTGGTCTAACTGTCACTGAAGACTTGAGTTAATGCTGACTTTGCAAAATACTGTGCCTCCAAAACTTAAGCAAGCAGTTTCTTTAACAACACTTCTACTGTATTCTTCCCAAACTTATATTGTTTGACGAACAGTAAATCAATATCTGCTTGAATCAAACAATCTGCTAATGTATCAAAAATATACCTAAAGGACTTTATTTTCATTTCTATATTTGTTCCTTCTTAATTAAAGACTGCATTTTCAAAAAAATCAATATATGATCTTACACTGAAAACTAATACCCACTTGGGTAGGTGGATCCTAATCCTACTTTAAACAAATTCACTTTAATAGCACCTGCCTTCCCTATCCAACCTTTATTTCCATTCTCCTGTCCTTCAGATCTGTTAGGTATCTTACCATTTACTGATATATCATAATTTCAGCATTGTGAAAATTTTCAAACCATCATCCCTCTATTATTAAAAACTACTTCCACAGCACCGATTGTCACCATAACACTACCGAGATATTGTATCACATACAACACCCTCCTTTGAAACCTTTGATTTTTGTATCTAACAAATGTGAAACTTTCATTCAGCAGCTATTTTTCTTCTGTACAAACCTGTAACCCTCCAATATAGGACATGGAGGGACCTCACATTTTTCCTCAGTCAATCTTTCTTCTCTCCTAATAGTTACAAGCCAACTTCTTGAACAATGGGCTCCATGTCAAAAGAGTAACTTTGTGTGTCAATGCTGTTATGTGCATCTAGTTTTACAACTCTCCATGAGCAACAAAAGAAAAAAATACAAGCCAATCCATCTTCAGATACTCTACCTGCATCATCTGAGGATCATACAGGAGCCATTTGTGTCGTGTATTATGGCCTGAGATTATGAAATTCCCTTGAGGCCAAATTAATGCTGTAAAACATCTATTAAAGAGGCCCTCAAATACATCTAACCTTATCCTCCCCTACAAGCTACTCCTTCTAGTTTCCCAGTACAGTAAAATCCCAGGTGCCAGACAAAGAGTTTTGTGGTTAGTTGAAACTCACTCTTAGAATCTCCCAATAAATCCTACAATGCACAGTGATACAGACCGACCTCGCAAATTCGCGTCTGGGAAAAACAGACTTCTTTAACACGTATTCCACTCTACATAAACGACGTGGTTTAGAAATAATGAAAATATAATATAAAATTATAAAATAAGAAAAATGAAGAGCATGGGTGCACATGTGTCTGATTGGCCAACCCAGCTGCTGCATTTATTGTTACTTGTAATAAAGCTATAAAAGTTGTGGAACATATTCTCTACTTATAAAACTAAGTCTATTGGAAAATCGCTTCACTATAAAAATTTAAGGAATGCATCCCTTTCATGTATCAAGGATAGCCTGTACACATTAAACAACATAAATAACCATATGTTGTGTACAGTACTAAAAAATTAAAAACAAATTCAGATAAGTGAATATAGACTTCGTCAACCAATGTACAGACGTTATATTTAAATTAAGTAACTGCAGGTTCTCTCTCCCTCTGTATGCTAATTTTTTTCTTTTCCCTGTGTATGGTTTTTTCTATCTCCCTCTGTATGTTAATTTTTTTTTCCAATATAAGTTAACGAGCTCAAGGGGTTATACAAATTTGGAGGAGTGTTTTACATCCTGCAGGTGGTGTGAGAGCCAGAGAAGCTGAGTGCTGCAGCAGTATAGACAACAGCCAAAGAGCCAACACCACCATCACTCGGCACAATTCTGGACACGTGGGGTTAGTTACCCTCACGTACGTTTTGTGCGTAGGTTGCTCGTCCTGCCGGAAGTTCCTCTCCTTGTCAAGACTGTTGTGGGAGACTGTGAGGTGGCTGACGGTAGCCTTTTCTGCTCGACTCCACTGCCTCCCAAGGAGAGAGCTGGAGATACCTTGCGAGAGGTCGCCCCAGTCTGGGACACACAACCTCTTCCGCTCTGCATTTTATGAGAAGTAGTGAGTAACTTTCCTTTTTGATTGCGAGGATTGATCTTAGAGAGATTACGCTTACCTTGCACTTTGTGAGTGGATAAAATGGATTTTATCTGGTCTTCAAAATAAGCTTCCATACGTAGAGTCATTGAGTATATCTGAAATGAGTGGGTGACATCATTATAAGAGGGTGATAATGAAATAGTAAGTACCATCCTCAGGTTTTAATATATATATATATATATATATATATATATATATATATATATATATATATATATATATATATATATATATATATATATATATATATATATATATATATATATATATATATATATTATATCTGTACCTTGCATATGGTATATAAAATTCTAAAAAATTATTAGTAGTAAAATTCGATATTATTTTTGTCTATCAAAATATATAATATCAAACCTTAAAAGAAATTTACCAGTGAAAACCCTTGTGATGAAGAGAAGCCCTACAGCGTTACTCACCCGGGACCTCTTATTCGTGTTATAATTTTTAGAGTTAGTAAATATAAGCCTCATATCCTTGGCAAAGTCATGGGGTGTGGTGTAACCGTTGGCAGACAGTTCCTCTCGTACTGTTGTCAAGTCCATTGGAACATCAATTACTTGGCTGTAGTCTGGGTAACGATCCAAATCTACAGGATATCTGTGGGAAAACACAATAAAATATATAGAAAAGTATGGAAGAAATGAAAAGCAACAGTTAATGAGGATGTGAAAATATCCATAAAGTCATGTACACTACTAACAAAATAAGTAATTGCACAGTTTTAAGCATCTAAATAATTAGTCTTCAACTGTTATATATTCTTTTAAGTCTGAATCCCATGTCATAAGCAGGACTGGCAGGATTAAAATCAAGTGAACTAAATATTTCTAACTCAGAGCAGAAATGTGATTTAAGTTGTTTTGATTTGTACTGGTATTACCTATGAAACCCGAGACTTTCATTGATAGTATTTGAGATTTAGATCAGACACACATTTCCATTTTTTCAATCTTTCCAGCCCTCCCTCCTCCATTCTATCTTTTCCCTTCCCATACCCAAAGACTAGTTACACTGTATTCTCTATTTTACGTTTTTACTTTGTACATACAGGGGTATTTTAATATATATATATAAATATATACCTATACAGTTGTACCCCGCTTTCCGCGGTCAATTGAACCCACAGGGTACCGCGTTAAGTGAACAACAGAACATATGGGATTAATTCCAATAGAGACTGGCCCGACCCCCAAACTCCACTTTTTGACAACACACAACTATGTTGTAGTAAAAATATTATCTTAACTTTATGATGGTATGCACACAATTAATAATTAAGAGAAATATCAATAATATTAGGTTTTTTAACACTTACATTAGTAGAAAAGATGGCTGGGCACACGGGGATGTGGGGTTGGTTCCGAGGCAGAGGGCAGATTATTGGACCTCACCTGTATCACTTGTATCAATTGTATCACTATCCACCACAGAGGCTTGCAGGGCCTCTTTGTCAAACCCCTCAAAGTCCATATAAGTCCATATCCTCACTATAATTATCACTATCACTGACTTGGGCCAGCTGTGGTGGGTGGCGAGTGAAGAACTCGGTAATGTTTTGATGACTGGGTGTCCTTGTGCGCATCGTGCCCGCGCCGCTTCCCGCGTATATGAGTAGATGAACCGCGTTAAGTGAAAGTTCGGTTCTGGCGAGGCACCGCGTATATGAGAAATCGCGTTAAGTGAAACCGCGTAAAGCGGGGTAATACTCTGTGTGTGTGTGTGTGTGTGTATATATGTGTATATATATATGTATGTATGTATGTATGTATGTATGTATGTATGTATGTATGTATGTATGTATGTATATATATATATATATATATATATATATATATATATATATATATATATATATATATATATATATATATATATATATATATATATATATACAGAAAACTGAATATTTAAAGCTATTACTGGTACCCGACGATAGTAAAACTGGTTACAACAGTAAGAATGAATGAACACTGACTGAAGGGAGATTGTTTCCACTTGATTTCAGATTTCAGCCTCCCTGCATTGCAGTGGAAAAAGACTTCCAAGAGAGAGAGAGAGAGAGAACGGATTAAATTTGGTAGTTACTGTGTCTGTCAGTGATGGGAAAAATAAATATCATTTTTGAACATTACCTTAAATTCTAAGATAATTTTTCAAATCCTCTCCCACTAAGTAACAGGATAGTCAGGAACAACAGTCGTTTTTCTACTTTTGCCATCATCCATTCACTTTTACAGCTTTGAAAGCAAGTGAGTCCCAAAGGCATGACTGCCCGTGGACACAGCCACTGTACAGCATACTAAGCCTTCGGTACACAAGGAGGCAGCATGGCCAATACTGCACTTGACCACCTTCACTTACCCAAGTTGTATACATAGGTACCCATTTACAGCAGGGTGAACTGGGAGTGCCTAGCTGTAATATCCCTATAAACCCCCTCAGTATCATGCTCTCCCATAATTCATGTACTCTGCTGCTTCCTTGAGTACCATTCCCAGAATTATTTCAGGGCAGCCTTCATCTTATCCTTTCATCTTCCTCTCTCCCTTTTGCTAACCACCTCTGAAATGTACAGACTTTTTACCAATATTTCACTATCCATTCTTTCTGATAAACACAATCTCACCTGAAAGGCATGGAATCCTCTCTTTCAAAAATACTCCGTAGGAGATCTTTGCATCTCTGCTGCCAGGTGCGACTATCTGGAAGTGGTTGGCCACGGCCCCTCAGTCCCTTGCTGTGACCCCCTTTACTGTGGTAACCTCTAGATATGCCTCCATCTGCTCTATTTACATTGTCCTCATCGCTGTGGTCTGGGGAGTGGTAGTTAGCCTGAAGCTGATGATACAGTTGTGTTGGGTCTTCACACTTCCCATCTCTGAGAATGAAATTTAAAATAATGACTAGTATTCAAGGGAAATTTTTATGTAGTATATTCTTTACATAATATAGCATCATGGTCTACATTCCCTTTCAGTTTTCTGAGAAAAACCAAAGTTAAGTGAGCATGTCTGTAAGAAAGAGGAAAACTGTACAGAAAAGTGTCTGACAACTGAAAATCTACTTTGTGAAAGATTTGAGCATTCTAAATATGAAATTTAAGAATATAGACTTATTCTCTTTTATTTAATTTTTCACATACTATATGGTATTAACTGAGGAAAAATTGGACAATCAGGCAACTGAATCAGTGACTGTGTGCTTGTCTACTTGTCTTCACATTAGTTTGAGGACTAAGTTATATGGTGATTGTAGAAGAATGATGACACATTGAAATCCAATTTGCACACTCAATAACTCTGAGCGTTAGAGAATAATAAAGTAAATTAGTGTACTGTACAGTACAAGTATTTGCAGATACTAATGGTATAATTAAATTGAAACATGTAATATGGTTTATCACATGCTTTCAATGTACAGTACACATGTTCATGTTAGCTTCCACTTTTAAATAATTACCGTATCTATTTAACAGCAACCTCTTGGTCCCAAACTTATTGGTTGACAGATACTTTACTATGTAACAAAAGAAGTAATACCCATTTCATCTTCAAAGAAAAAATCTGTTTCTTCACTTTTATTGTTGTACCAAAGAAAATGAGTAAATTTTTAATGTAATGGCAAGAATGACAAGTAAGGCATTAATATGATGAAAGTAAGTATGATATTGCCATGATATGAATGATGAGGGAGGGATGACTAAAAACTTTGACTTTACAGCAAGTGACAGTCGATGGACAGCAATCAATACTTCAAGGATAAAATGCACATCTGAGAACATACTTGATAAGCTTTAGGCAGAGCTCTGTGACAATTCTAGCTTGGCGGACAATGTTGCTCCCCTTCTGGTTAAACTTCTCTGTATTTGTTGCAATATATCGCACATCAAATTGGACTGCGTTGATGCGCCGATAAAACCGATTATCTAGTCTACTCTGAAAAGTAATCAAACGTCAGTAGAGAAAACTGCACACAATAGTTGCATTTATGCCATAAACTGCACATCAATTAAGCACAATAAGTAGTAAAGGTCCAAAATTGTCAATGCACATTTGTAGAAAAGTATAGAGGTGCACCTCAGTAACCACAAGGAGGAATAAGAAATTCCAACAGTCACTTGTCAAAAAGACATTTTACTACCTACAGTAAATACTACATGAAGAGTCAAAGCCAATAATTGTAAGAATCCCTTTCCACATCTAAATAATGCCATATCTGCTATTAAAACCTGTTGACTACTGAAGTATTTTTGGTAAATACTATATCAAAGGTTACAAAAAATATTTTCTTATTCTTACAAGGGTTTTCCAGCTATGGCAGAGAGAGGATACAATCAAGAGCAACATGAACAAACTTTCATTTCTTCTTCTTGCTGCCTGACCAAATAACGAGTATGTTCTTATATGATGTTTCCTTTTTTAAAAAAGTCCGCAGATATTCATCTTGTTTACCAAAGCCATTTTATTTATCATTCCAGAATTACTCTCCTTTTAAAAATACAGTAATACCCCGGCTAGTGCTCAGGATATGCTCCTGGAAAATGGAGTGTTATCCAAAACAGTGCTCTGTGAGTCATTATACCATTGCATATATGGATATGCATTGCCAATGACATTATATTTTACCTATGAGATTTATACACGTAGTACCATATTGTGTGTGAAGGGTACAGGTATTAATAAACACAGATTATTGTTGTAACATATCTTTACTGATTAATTAAAAATAAAGAAAGAATATTGTGTCATGAATGACAGTCTTTTGATGAATAGTGATGACAGAAGTAGAATAAGTGACAGAAACAGCATGTAAGTAAAATGAAGTGGGAGGGAGGGAGGGAGGGAGGGAGGCAGGAGGCAGTGTATATTGTATGGCTTTGCTTTGGCTAATCCATCACCAATATTATGAATTAGGTGGTGATAATAGAGGTAGTGGTGAAACATCTTGTGGTAAATGGTGAGGTGGTAATGCGTCAATTGGTTTCTTTGGTAATACTGCACCTGGAGCACTGCCAGATGCTATTGAACAGCTGATATCTACCCACAAAATTGAGTGTAAAAACAAATGAGCAACAGTGTATCACTTAAACATAACATAACATTTCAAAATATGAAATGAAGCGAGACCTGCACATAAAATAAAATTGTAAAATACATTTATTAATCAACTGTAGTTATGGGTACTTACCAACACAGCACTAAACCAGCAACACATCACAACAGCAGTGGGAGACTTGATGCGTAAAATAGTCACAATAATATATATAAAAAAAAAAAAAAAACGGGGCAACAAGAAAGTGTCCACAGAGTAAGCGCAGCAAAATTTGTACTGTACTGTAAACAGGGAACTCGGCCCTGATTGGCCGAGTAAGTAAAAACAGAGCAGCTTCTGGTGTGTTGTTAGTGTTCGGACTCGTGGCCTTTGATTATCTTTATGGATATTTTTTCTTTCCCTAGAGCTCCAAGATGCAAGCAAGAGTGCTATAACAAAACAGCTCTATTTTTGAAGGACTTTCAACCATATTTCTATTCTAGCTAGAGGGTCAACATGTAGAGGAAGGGTGAAAATGGTGATATCTACCAAAAACGCATTTTGCCCGGGGTGGCGCTTCACCCCCTTCTAATGCTGAGCGCCTCATATACTATATGTACCTTTGTTCATTTTTTACTCAGTTACATGAACATACAATTCTACATACATATTGTGCAAAAACATAAAAATAAAAAAGTAAAAAATAATTATCATAGGTAAAACACATATAAAGGGAATAAACATTTCTTTATGCACGAGTTAGCGAGCTGGCTGGGGAGTGGGAAGAGGGAGAAGTGTGTGTGTGTATGGGGGGGGGCCACTGCTAGGAAATCAGCTGGGTTGCATTGCTATAGTGAGTGTTCAGGTGAAGCAGCTAGCGTCTATGCAAATGACAGTTGTATTAAATTTTCATTTGGCTTAAACTATATTGTATACAGATGTAGTTTGAAGTAGCACAATTGTTGAATAATATAAGAAAGGTGGATGGCATGGTATTAAGAATAATGGGAAAGGAGGTACAGGGAGTTGTGAGTTTTCTTCAACCTTTTGATTTACTGTGTAGGCCGTTACTTTACATCGGTGATAATATTCCTTAGGTTTTTAATTTATATATTGGTATTATTTTTATTTATTCTTCATATTTACTGGTACAGTATATATTATTTTAAGAAAACTGTGGCTACAAGAGAAAAATTACACACAAAAGTTTTGCCCTAAATCTTCCCTGTTGAAATGGGGGTTGCATCTTATATGCAGTAAAATACAGTAGCAGCATACCTCCATACATCATCACCTTTGCTTCCTTTAATACTACTGTATCAAGCTGGAATCTCCAATCCCTGAAACTTTCCAATAGTCAGAATTTCTTTTTTAAACATTCCAAGAAATTTAAGGAAAAATCTCTCCATTCCAGGTATCCAAATGAATTTCCGAGATGTCAGATCATACTTTGATGCAGGAATGCGTACTAGGCGTGTAGATGGGCAATCTGATTGAGTAACTTAAGCCACAGGCTAACACACTGTAATTGGCTAATACTGTCATGTGACTGCATGGCATGTCTGTGATTGGTTGATGCATCTCCCAGCTTATCTCCTCAAACCCTAGCATCATGACGTGTTTAGTTCATAGTCCGCTGCCATTGTACCAGGTTGTTCCCTTGCTCACTGCTGTTTTTGCATACTATCTGTGTTGTGCAGTACTGTACATTGCTGTACCAAGACATAAGCAGCTAAGAATACAGTCTTAAGAAGTAAACAGTGACTACAGTGTGTGTATACTGTTAATTTACATTTTTGAAGTGTGAGTACTGTACATACAGTTCTGTACATAGCAGAGTGAACAGTGTTTGCATACTGTAGCCTTGTGAGTAGTGTTTCTGTGCACTGTACAGTACTTTACTGCACGTGTACATTGACGAAAGTTGAACAAACTTGAAAAGAATGTTCTTGTGAATGTTTTATAGGAGTGTGGAGTGGGCTTGTCGACCATCTACAATGTTAAATATACCAAAGCAAAGCTGAGGAGGCAAAAACAGAAAGCTATGCCAGGTGCAGGTGATTGCTGTAATATAGTGATAATAATGTGTTTGTAAGTAGCTGAACATTCATGTGCCAAGAATTAGAGGGAAATCATTTCATTAAAATGGAAAACTTGGGGTGCCTCACAGTAAGTTTTCACCAATTTCATTCCACAAACATTTTCTTTAGAAAAGGAACCAGAAAGAATCACAAAACAATGCTCAAATAACAACATTTTATCTCATTATAGTCATAAGTGTTGTAAATAATGTATTTACATAAATATTCACAGAAAAACATGAAATAAAAGAGGGACAATAGAAGAGCAAGCATGAAGTAGTAATATAATAGAAAAATTTAAAATTGTAAGCCAGGTAAAAGTAAATGTAGTACAGTACCTCTAGTAGGTGGGTTTAGGGTTACAGTATATCAGTCCCAAGGAACGTAAGGTTAAAAAAATCTTCATAAACTTACCTTAATTGTGGTGAGATCCATCGGGTAGTCAATAATTAAAGCGTACATGGGATAAACGTTAAGATCAACAGGAACAAGGAATGGTTCAGCGATGGCTAGACTCATGATCTTCGAGAGACCCACGGAAATTCTGTCACATTCGAGGCCAGGGTCCCGCATTGCCCATTCTTCATCCAGCAGAGTATACATCAAGCCTTCTAGCTCTTCCTTTTTCACTGCCACACTGCCTCCAGTCTCCACTGCCTCCACTGAGTTAACACATCATTGTATCATGTTAAAAATTTAATTATGAAACGAATAACGACAATACAGGGTAACCGTTATACTGACATCTATCTTTTTTAAATTTACTAGTGGTGATAGAGTACTGATCTTGATGAAACAAAGCAGCATCTGAGTGGTTCCCTGCTTTAGCAAGCATTAGGGTTTATAATTATAAAAAATGGGCCTCATTTTATCAAAATGTGACTGTAATTGTCCTCCCACATTTGTACCTTGTTCTTTCAGCATTATTACATCTCCAATAGGAATTTTAGTTGCACCCAGCTATATTCATAGTTGTGACATTCTAGGAGCAAGTGTCATTGCTGAATAATACACAGATAAGATATTCAAGGTGCATGTATAGTCAACAAAAATAATTTCTGCATCTTTACGGTGCTATAAAATATAACACACTGGGCCAAGAATTCTGAACAACTCATTTATTAGGGTGATTCCAGTTATTTTCTCTGCATTAACTATATGTCATATACATAATACATTATATTAGTTACACAATGCATTGCACAATCAGAAATACCAACCTTACCAAATTAACATGGCCTCAGTCAGTTATCATTGCGAAGGCAGTCAGATCCAGAAGTGCAGATTTTTTTTTTGACTGTACGTACACATGCCAATTGTTTGATTTGTGTGATAAGAGAAAATAAACCAATATTGTATTAAGAAATTTTTACTAGTTGTTCCAAGTGTAACATTCGTGAGCTTGTGGAGAAGGTCAATGGCTGAGATATTGGGGAGGGTAAAAAAAAAAAAAACTATGCAATTCGAAAGTCATATGAAAAGAAGTTACCTCATGATTATAAACTACTTGTTTGTATTACTGTCTATAATTTCATGAAGTTCTCAAATCTATCAACTATAACTTACTGTTATCAATCACAACTTACTTTCATCATCTATGACTTCCATGTCCCATGGACTAAGTCGTTCTCGTTCTCCGTTGTCCCAAAGAACACGATAACACATGAACATAGAATCTTGAAACTCGGGTAGATGAGGCTCCTGGCTCTCTACTGTGCCCAGCCACCAGGCATCATCAATGATACACCGGAATCTGTCACCTGGTCACAACAACCACAAATTATAATGTAGACCATGTTTTTAATCACACTTGCTACAATATCTACAACAGCTTAGTACTGTACCTGCTATTATGATTCATGGATACTTTCTGCAATACAAAACAAAGGATATTTGCATTATGCAGACAGAAGTTATGATCCACAATATTAGAGAACTCAAGAAGTTCATTCTTTTCTTGGGTGTCCCAAGCAATTACTTTACTATTAATTTTTCTTTAATATAATGACAGTCTACATTGTAATGAACTGGTTAGCACCATTCCGATTAAAAGTATATAGGTACTTTTAATAAGTTTTATTTTACACTCTAGCAAGCCTTAATGAGTAATAATAAATTTATGGTGAGGTAGTGTTACACAGTTGACACAACTATATACTCATCTCTCATCACACCTAATCCTGTTTGCTTTTGACATCAAGGATCTTTCCTCAGTTATTAAAATTCAGTAAATGGTAATTATCAAGAGGGTTGGCATCCCTTTACCCTTCAGAATTTCAACATAACTTACATAAAGTTGTTGCATTCATCAATACTCAGTCAAAGAGGACTAAGGAGTCAACCAAAGAATGAAATTTTGTCTAACAACTTTCAACAGCCAACCACACTCTTACAGTCTAGAATGGGGTGATAGCAAATGTTTTAACATTTTCCCCACTTAAAACAGGATGGCCATAACCAAGATCATGCATGCTCACATGCAGGCACACACATGCACACAAAATTACCTTTCATTAACTGCCATATATTCTTTCTTACTGAGGTAATAATTGTATTCTCCTACGGTATTTCCTTTCCATCTTGTTTATCACTGTCACTTCATCAAACCCAGCATCATGCATCACCAGGAAAGACCTATTCTCTGCTAAGTCAGTCACTTACACTAGTTGTTCTCTATGAAGGTTCCTCCCCCTTACTTCTTGTGCATCCTTCACCTCACCTCTTCGTCTTTCACTTTTACCTTCTATCATTCACCTTTGAAGGGTACAGTACTCCCTCTTTACCAATCTTTTATTTCTCATGTCTAAATGTGTTCATACCATCTAAACAGACCCTTACCTGCATCTCTCTGACATTTTACCCACTTCTACAGCTCATTTCTGTGTCACTTATTCTCTCTATCTTTTAATAAAATGTAATTCCTTCAAACATGTCTTTCTGTCCCTTCTAATTTGATTCTTCTTTCAGCATCCAGAATAACAGGTTTCAAACCCATAAAAATTAGATCCTAAGGATTAAACACTTGGAAGCCTTGATAGTATCATGTCATCTGTGTACCAAAACAAACTACAAAATATGTGAGAGCCTCTGAACATCACAACCAAATAAAAAATAAAAAATCCTCTATATTCCATTTGCTATTATGATGTGACTCCGATTATTACAACCTGACTGCCATACAAGCATCTTCAGACACTAATCCCAGAATAGAATATCACATGCAGTACAAAATTTAAGACATTTAACACGAAAATGCAGACATAAACGTTGGTGAAGCAGAATAATCAGAATGTCTTACAAGACAATATGTGACAATTGGATACATGCAACAGCATTTAACTCATAGGACAAGAGCAAAGGTAAGTACAGTGGTCTTTCAATTAACGAAATTTCGGTTAACAAATTACCTCCCATAAGGATCTTCAATTCGGTTAACAAACAAAACTTTGATTAATGAAATCCTTATGAACAACACGTTTTGTTGTGAGCATCAGCTGATCAGCTGATGGGCTAGTCTGCCAATTCAGTAATCTGTTCTATGTTTACATTCGCTTCCAGTGGAGTAAATACCAAGAAAGTTGTGCTCTTTAATATTTTTGCATTTTTATATAAAAATTATTAGTCATTTTAAAATTTAGTTAGCATATTGATAATATATGCAGCACAGGGAACTAGTTTTTTGTGCACCCATCAGCCGCTTGACTCAGTAACCAGGCGTCAGTTTGGCTTTATTGACAGTGAAGTGAACATCTATTTTGTTGGTGTCTTGAATATTTTTGCATTTTTACATTGAAATTATTGGTGATTCTGAAATTTAGTTAACATATTGATAATATATAGCGCAGTGCAGTGTTCATTTAATTAAAATAATCTTGAATTACACCAAGTGAACTTAAAATTTTATTGGTGAAATTACTGAATCAAGCATGGGTCCCCTGAAAGGTGATTTCTACTCCATCCCCACTTCCTTCTCTTCTCCCTTCTCCTCCTCCACCCCCCATTTCTAATTCCCATCATCATCATCAAACAGGAACCTTCTACACACCTCAAAGTAAGTGTACTTTACTGCATTTTTTTTTACTTTGTATGTACTTTTCTGTGAGCTGGAACCAATTACCCAATATCCCATTGAAACAATGGATTCAGTTAACGAACGACTCTGTGGAACAAATTGCATTCGTTAACCGAGGGACCACTGTAACTGTGTACAATGGGGTAAGAGACCAAGAACATTATCTATATAAAACAAAACAATGTTCAAACAAACTCACCTGGCCTCCACTGTCTCCTTACAGCACTATCATATGTAGCCTTCAGAATTAAAAAATCCAGGACATCCGGCATGTCATGGTATTTGATAGTAAAGGAGTCTGAGGTGAGCTTTCCCTTGCCCAATTCCAAGATCCCCAGTTTAAGGCAGCACAAGCGTGGTGGCTTAATTTCATATTTTATTCCAATAATTTTTACGTATTCTTGGTGCTGAAACATAACAAAAAGCAATAGTCTTAAAATTTCTTAATTCACAAGATGAAAAATTGAATTATTTTACAAAACAAATTTCTGTAAATATTACCTGAAATTAAATAAAAAAAGAAAATGGATCAAACAAAGAATTGTCTAAAACCTAATCAAAGAAAACAGCCTTCAGAACACCCATGGACAAGCTATACATAATTTACAGGGTTTCCACCACTTTTACCACATGTATTATCCAGGCTTTTCCAAGGTAAAATTAAATGTTTCAAAACTCTTTTATAAACCAATCCATAACATTTTAACACAAACAACAAATAATATTCTTTGTTCCTTTTTGATGTTCGCAACTCCTAAGATGGTCCATACACTGTTTTCTTTCATAGAAAAGTTATCAAGAGCATCAATATAAAATCATTATCAGACTTAAATAATCACAAAAAACCTTTGTATTCCTAAAAGATGGAAAACATAAGATTATACAGTAATCACTATATTTCACAACAATTAATTCTAGCTGTAAACAAAAGTGAACTACTGTATTTTTAAGAATAGCTACAGAGTTCAGAGGTATATTTCTCTCTGCCAAAGATGAGAACTGTCATAAACATTATGTTTTAGAACTGATTTCCAGATTTTTCAAGTCTATTCACAAAATTTAGTAATGTTCATAGCTCTTCCAGGTCATAATTTTTTGAAGGCTTCACCATGTTTTCACAGTCAGTGGGAACCCTGAATTACAATGTAGCCCACACCAAAGACTATAAAAAGGACAGGAAAGCTCAGGCATTCACATGCAATGTTTAACACACGAACGAAAGCACACATTTGGTAGTGGGACGGATAGATGTTGCTAGTGTGGAGCACGTCATCTGCCCGTTTACACAATGAATATGACAATCGGAATCCGCACACGAGCGCAATATACAATTGAATGGACTTCTCAACATGACAAGTAAAGGACACCCGTGCATAATCTGCAAACGGAGAAAGGATACACATCCCGATTTTGCATTTCATCGATTCCCCAAAAATAAAGAAAAGTAAGTATTATAAATATATTTAAAAAATAGACTAAGAGTAAGATTGTATTAGACCTATTTATTACCGATGTATAATATGTTGAAAGTTAAATAATTTCCATGAAAGATGCTAGGGGCAGGTATTATCCTTATTATAATTTAGTAACTAAGTAATTCTGGATAAATTTCTTCATATGTAGTAGATGGCAGAGGATACTAGGCACACTTTTGAAGGGGAAAACATTTGAAGAGTGTTTGTTGGGGTATGTGCCGGTTTGGCAACAGTGTATCAGTCCGTCAGGGGACGGGAGTTAGTTCCGGCACAGACGCCATGCTGTGTGGACATGTCTGTCTTCCCTTGTCACCTTCGCTAATAAACAGACTATGAATGCGGCATTTAATTAGGGTTGGCACCCTAACAAAGAGCTAAATAGAAGCCACTGTGTATGCATTATTATTATTATTATTCAGCATCCTGTTGGGAAAGGTACTTGGTAGTGCGCACAATATGCTGAGAAAATATTACACCTAGTTGTGGTGTTTATGCCCGAGCTTTTCCGTCTTTCTTATAGTGTTTGCCCACACCCTTCTCCGTATACAATTCACAAAAAATCGAACAGAATACAGTACAGTATATCACAACATTTGAAGGCAAATATCATACTTACCCTGAGCTTATTTGTAGTTCTCATCCAAGGCAAACTCCGCTTATCATAAGTATAAAGCTTCCTGTTCATGACAGCTTCAACGTAGAGCATGTGGCCTTGCATAAAATAAATTAGTTCATCTCCCATTTGTGGGAAATATGGAGCTTTCTTGGGAACAGTTTCTGTTAACCATTCTGGTGGACGGAACTCCTCGGGGATTTCATCTGCACCTCCACTGATCTCTGAGAGGTTAGGTCTTGGTCCTCGCTGGAAGAAAAAAAAAATCACTACTGAGTGATAACAAGTAAGTCTTCACAAACAAGAATACAGTTCACTCAATACAATAAATAAGCCTTCTTTTTCGCACTTCTCTTTAAAATACTGTGGATTAGGAGAGACAAATGCGACAATACCGTCCGAGTGTCATCATCAATGCTTTTTTTTTCTCCCTATTTTTCACACTTGCAAGAGTTAGCCATGACTACCTGATGACAGCTCTCCATGCTGTGCTTTCTCTTGCAACCTCTCTTCCTAGGATAATAGCTGATATAACTTCTCACAACCTCTCCCCATGTCATTCTTGGCCTACCTCTAGTTCCCCTCCCCTCCACATTTAGACTCATGTACCTCTTGATCCAATTAGTCTCCTCCATTCTATCTATATGCCCTAACCATCACAGCCTACCTCTATGCAAAACTTCACTAATACTTTCAATACCCAGCCAACCTCTTAGTTCTGAACAAGGATATCTTTCAGTGTTACATTGCACATACATCTCACCTTTCTCATTTCAGCTAGCTTTAGCCTGTGTGGGTCATCATCGTTAACCTTCCACTTTTCATTGTCATACTTCATCACACTTCTCCCACCAGTTGTATACATCTTTTCTTTCACACAAAAAGAAGGTCCTCCTGCTGTCAATAAAGGCAGTGACCTATATTAAAGCTAAGCTTGCCTAGTACATTACAGATAAGAAAGATAAAAATATATTTAGCCTTGTAATAAAAGATGGGCATATGCCCAGTGCTTAGAGCTGGGTTCAACAAGATTAATGACCGGATTCTGGTAATTTTTTTCATGGTTTGGGATACATGCGTCCGGTGCTGGACTCCAATCCGGTTTGAAAGGGAATCTGGATTAAGCGAGTCCAGGTTAGAGGGAGCTTACTGCATTGTATAAAAGGAAGGAAGACATGAGAGAGAGAGAGAGTGTGGGGGGCAGCAGCACCCTGGTAAAATCTTAAGTAGGAATATCAGAGACCTTAGTATTAACATTGTTTAAGAATTTAAATCAGTGTAAAAAATTAAAGGCATTTTGGAATATGTATCATTAAAAATAGTGCTTTACACACCTTTCTTTGAGACCGAGGTACAGTCCATAAGTTACTTTTGTCATTTTCCTTATTTTTCTCCTCATCCTCCTCATCATCATCATCATCATCATCATCATCATCATCTTTTTGTTCTTTATTATCATCTTCGTCACTGCCAACTTTATCCTTCTTCTTCTTTTTCCGAGGGCTCTTCTTTTGTTTGTGAACCGTTCGTTTGGGGGGCTCCAGGTTGACCCCAGCTTCAGCAGTCCAGTCTGAATAGTCTGTTGACTGGTCATCTGAGCTGGATGACTCTTGGAGTTCATCATTTACAACTTCTGATCCTGATGAACTACCAGAGCTACTAGAGCCACCAGCATTTTCTACATCCTGCATTGAAAAATGTATAAATGATTATTCACATAAAATGCAGAGTTTTCAATAAATTTTTACAGTAGACAGAAGGCCCAGTGAGGGCTTAAAGACTGGGGATCAAAGGGGCTGTGGTTTATATATGGCAGTGTAATTAATTTAAGATAAATGAAAGACTCCATTAACTGGTGGATGAACATATTGTAAATTGTATTTAAAACCAACTAGAGTTAAAAAAGGATTCAAAAATCAGATAAAGATTGTTTTTTATAGATACAATTTAATCTTGTATGAATGTCAGAGGAATCAGTGACTTTGCAAGGCAGCTGGTTCTAAATGAACAACTCTCATTACAAAATTACTAAGACTTGAGTTAAGGACGAAAAATTCAAACATCCCAATCACAGTACCGGGTAACCCAAAGTCACTGGCTTTCATAATACAATACTGTACAAGTTTCTTATTCATGTGTGTGCATGTGTGTTTAGAACTTGGTGTGGTGTAGTGTATGAATGTTAACTCATAAAACCCCCCATCATAATAAAATTAGGAAAATTTACAGAAATATTAATAACTTCCAAACAAGTTATATAAATCAGAAGAATTGGTTTACAGACACCAAACAACACAAAAAGATATACATAATGTTATAAATGTCAGATTTTGAGTTTGTAGAAATAAAATTAATCTTTTCATACAGACCTCATAATCATGATGTTCATAAGGACCTCCTCCAGACTCTCTTACAGATCGCGTTGAGTATGAGTGCGTTTGTTTCTTCTGCTTCTTCCGTAGTTTCTTGTCAGACTCATGATGTTGCTGGAGAGGAGAACGTACTGGTTCTGGCTTTTTTTTACTTTCTTCATCATACATTTGCAGTTCCATCTCTCCTAACACTCTTCTTCTCTCTAATGACTGTTTAATATCTGATACATATTGCCGTTTCACAATTACGCGTCGGTTCCATTTGATGTTGGGATCCCGCTGCCAGTTACCAGTGGACTGACGAACGCCTTCCACATCACCAACTCTACGAGCCCCAACACGACCTGCTGCTGGGAAAAGAAACAAATTTATTCAAATCTTTAAGTGCATTTCTTGCAAAAATACAAGAGTAACTTCATGGGATGGATGGAAAGAGGGAGGAAGGGTAAAGAGAAAAAATCATTCTTCCAGATTCATCCAAACTTTACCTCTCCTGCTCTCTTTTGGCCACTGCATAATGTATGTTGACATGAACAAGAGTTCCAAGTTTACCACAACAAAACATAATTTTGACATCAAGGATCTTTCCCCAGTTATTCAAATTCAGTAAATGGTAATTATCAAGAGGGTTGGCATCCCTTTACCCTTCAGAATTTCAACATACAGTAACTTACAAAAGAAATGTTGCATTCACCAAATCTCACTCAGAGACCTAGGTCGGTCAACCAGAGAAAAATTTTGTATGCCTAAACCACTTTTAATACCCTGCCACTCTTACAGTTTAGCATGAGGTGATTAATTTTTTAACCCTTTTCCCGACAAAAAAACAGGATAGCTATATTCAAGAGCACACACACACACATGCACGCACGCACGCACGCACACATGCATGCACGCGCACACACACACACACACGAGAGAGAGATAATCGGATCTTTTTAATATAGATCAATTTCTTTGTCATAAATTCGGATTTTTATTTTGTAAACTGGGAACTGCCTGTATTGAATCATGTAATGAGACAGAAAAATTTGATGGATAACACAAACATAACCAGCAGTCTCCCTCATTAGGTTGTAGGACAAATAAATGCAAAACCTAAAAACCAAACCAAGAATGTGGTATATGTCCTTACTGGCTCGAGGTGATAATGGGTCATGCAGAGCAGCGACGGCATAAGAGTGGTCATTGGGTGGTCCACCAGAACTGGCTCGGCGCTCTCCTCTTCTACTGTTACTACTCTCACGTCTCTCTCTAACCCCACTGGGCCCTGGCTGCTCTCTTGTTTCAGATGATCTTCTACCGTGAGCCATTCTCTGGTCCTGCTCTTGTGCCAGACGCTGAATCATGTCATCAATACTTGGCCTCGGACCAGATATATATTCTGGGGTTTGTATAACTGGCACACTGTTGTCAACATCTATGAGAGCAATATCAAGCACCTCCTGGTCACCTACAGAAAAATAGGAAACAAGATGAACGATAATTTTTTGTCTTGACATCTTTAAAGGAGCAATGGAATACAAAGTTATGATTAGGATGGGGCACCAGGATTACAGTTATGTATGAACCACAATGAAAATATTTTCTAAGTTGAAATTGTAATGTTCAAAAGGGAAATAAGCTGTCTGAGAAGAAACACAGTATATGGTATGGTATGGTTTCAGCAGCTATTACAACAAAACACAAGTGAACCAAATACAGAGTGATGTAGTATTATCTGAATTATGACTCCTTATAATCTCTTTCTGAAGATTACAGTAATTCCCATACCAGTATCTTGTATGAAGTTACATCATGAATTAAATGAAATACCTTCCCAAAGTCACAAGTTGCACAAGGTGTTAACAAAATACTTATGTAACAGAAAGGAGTACATCACAGCACATTGTTAAAAATCAAAGCCAGGAGCAAATCTAGAGAGTCGGTGTGTACTCATAGGTATTGAAATGTACAGTACGGGTTCACAGCCTCATAACATACAATAAGAAATTCTTTAAGACACTAGCACTTTTTTCACTTCAACACTAGCTCCATTATTTCAAAATACTTTTTTTTTTTTTTATTATAACCCACTTTCAGTCTGAACAACTGCTTCCTGGACTGCAGTTGCTCAGACTCAAGGTGACTCATGAAGCAATAAAACTCTGAGTGCCATGAATCATTAGTTATCAACTATGTAGATGCTGTAGACCAGTCTAGGCTTTCACCAGCTGATCAATTGTCTTTGTTTATTATTAACTTCAAAACATATTTAATGCTTCTCTAAGAAATTAAACTTTAAAGACATATCTAATTTTCTTACACTAAAAGCAAAGAGGATAAGGTAAACAATTCTTAACCTGCCAGAGAATGTTGTGACAACAAGAGTATACAATTTGGCACATTGGTTTATATATTCTCCAGGTGTGTTGTATAGCAGAAAATGGCTGTAAAACAATGAGGATGACACTCAAACTACTCTTTTTCTCCCCTTCACTTTTCAGGTATCAAGCCCTCTCCTTTGTTAATATACACACACCATTGAGAAACTTAGTGCATCACACACACACCATTGAGAAACTTAGTGCATCACACACACACCATTGAGAAACTTAGTGCATCACACAGACACTTACCATTGGCATTTAACAGAACATTGGGTATGAGTTGATCATGTCTACAGCTCTCTCTTCCAGGTACAAGCCGCTGATACTCAGGTGGGTAAGGGTCACCATCCATGTTCACAAGGAATGGTGGAGGCATCAAGTGAGGAGCCATTTGTGTTTGTTCATCTAATACATGGTGGTTGCCATCACGCATCAGAGGACGATAATCAGTGTGGAAAAAAAGCTCTTTTGGTATCTGAAACATAATATTCTGAATTTGTGACATATTTTGATATTTATGTTTTCATGACAGCAAAACTTTTCATCACTGTTCCTACAACTGTATGGGTTCACCTCAGTTTTCCTTAGTCCTTCAACCTGGTGTTTGACCGAGAGCTGAGCATCATAACAACCTGGCCCAAACCTTTAAATTCCATTCTCTCCTTGCCAAGGAAAGTGAATCCTCTTTTTATCAATAACTAGACTCACTTATTCATCTCCATCAAAAACCTCTGACTACTTAGTTTCTAATACAGATACAGAAATTGGTTCCCTGTTGATACCGTAGTAAACAAAAATATACACTGTCTTTTCACTTTTTATTAAATAACTGTTGCTGTTAAAAGTTGTAATGTTCAGTATACTGTATGTCATATTTTCTGATTGGTCTCTTGTACATTTTGTTAAAAGAGCGCCGTTGAAAAAGCCCGGAAGTTTTAAAGAAACAAAACAACTATAATCATTTCTATCATAAAAAACATGGTCAGCTAACCTACAACACATTACCTGTTGGAACTTTTCATTATGTCCAATTCCAAAAAGTGCGAGGTGGCCGTGAGAGTCTGTGGCAGCTATTGTGAAGCCATCTGGGGACCACTTGGCATCAAAAAGTGCCCCATAACCTTGACCTTCAATGGTATTCTTGAAGTTCCAGACAAGAGTGCCAGTGAAAATGTCCCACATCATAAGCTGACCTGTTTGGGTAAACACAAAACAAAAAACTTCACTTCGGAAATGTAACTGGTACCAAAAAATATAAAAATTATTTTAAAACAAGGTAACAACATATAAAGCTTTATACATGCTTATCATATTCTATGCATAAGTATGAAGCTACCTACTGTAGCTTAAAGAGGAGTTGTAGAGAACAGACAGCCAATTTTACTGGTTTACAAAAGCTGGTAGGAGAGCATGCACCAAGGATGATATTCCTTAGTTAGAGCGGACTTTTAAAATATCACTTATGCCTATTAATTGCTTTCATAATACCTGCTTAAGGTGCCTATGCCTTTACAGAATTTATGTGACCAATAGTGTATTGTATTGCAACTGCAACTGGTATTAGGGCTGTGGCCAATCATCCACTCACAAAATTCTTGGCTTTTAGTTCAGATTGCTTCAAGAGACAGTGCATGAAGCAAGAACTGCTGACAACTTAAGATAGTGTTGTGGTAGGTGAGGCAGTAGGAAGCAGACATTAGTTTTTGTGTGCTTATGTAATGCAGGACAGGAAACCTTACCACATAACTATAACTATTTTCTGTACTGTATTAAGTTTGGTGCCTGTAAAGTACAGACAATTTGGGATACAGCAAATAGAGCTAAGATTGCAATAGATAGCTATGGTAGATATGGATAGATATGAGTTAGATATTTTGAGTTTGTGAATGTATATCAGAACACACAGGACAAAGTTTATGGAATAACATTTATTTTTTCTGGCTGATATAATGGTGTGCTTATATTTTGTTCAAAGAAAGCAGCAAACAGCTTTATATCACATAACCCATAAATGAATGATAACAGCAGGTTTCAAGTCATGGTATGGTAAATTCATGGTATAGTGTGCTGTGCCATATATGAAGCTTTAAATGCAGAGGAAAAATATCAGTTTTATCCAAAATTGCAAGAAGTGCTGAAATGGAGTTCCTCTTGGCACATTAGGAATGGGAATGAAGAATGTTAAAGAATTCATATTTGTGGAATATGCAAGAAGAATAGTTATCAAGCAGAAAACATTTTGAGGTCTTGGATATACTTCCTCCATCACAGTTATGTCATGTAGCATTGTCTTAAAAGAAACACAAGGTAGATAAACTTATGATACTCATTTGAAGTGTTTTAATATCTAACAATTGTTCATCATTCAGGGATTAATTTTCTTGTACTCTGAAATACGAAACACGGAGAGAAAATATATTTGTCGTAATAGTGCTTAAAATATCCTAAATAAATGGGTGAATGAGGTAATATTTACCGTCATGAGCAGCAGTAAGGATGAGTCTGGCATCGTGAGGATGGGCCTCAATTACATAGGAATTATCTTCATGACCTCGAAGGATGTGCTTCAGCTCTCCCGTGGAGCTGTCCCACACTCGTAGCCACTTGTCACTGCTGGCAGTGATGACATATTCATCTGACTGGTTCCACCCAACCATTGTTACTTGCAACCGACGGATATCTTCAGTAGGAGGACTGAGTCTGTGAGAAGAACTTTGCATGACACTAAAATTTTAAATATTATTAGCATCACAACGATGTAGAGGCAAAATAATGGTCAAATGTAATAACTGTGTACATGAATGAGGGACACAGAGTAAAAGAGAATATAGCTGAGGTTTTTTTTTCTTAACTGTGTAATGGACTAAGGTAACTAGTACAGTAGCTACATACAATTATGTGCCCTCCAGAGAGTAACATAACTGAAAAGTGACCTCAAGCTAAGCCAGCCTGGTACACCATGGATCAAAAAATAATGATGAATGAATTAGTTATATATACAATAATAAGAAGTGAATGCCCTATAATAAAATTGCAAGATGTAAGTGGATGGAAAGACATGAAAAAGAACAAAGTTCTACTGATGAAGAATAAAGAAGGGGGAATAACAAAAAATTGACTAAATGAAACTTGCACAGGGCTGTGGTGGCAAGATGAAGGACACACATTTGAATGTAATCGATAATTGCTGATGTATTGTCATAAGAAATATATTTGGTCCTACAACATATAAAGGAATGAAAAATGAACTCCATATGCTGAAATCAAGCAAGATCAGATACATTCATCCTCAGCTAAAATTTGCCTAGAGTTGTTAAATTAGCAGGCTAAAGACAGCTAGTCCACTTTTTATACCAATGAAAAGAAGTATCCTGCAAGTAAAAATAAAAACGATTTTCTTTGATATGAAAGTAACGAACATTTATGAAGCCACTATGACTAATGACACAGTGCAGGCTTAGAATTGTCAAGTTATACAAAAAGACAATGCACAAGGTAGAAACATTCGTACTAGAAGCAGCCATTGTGGCTGATGAAAATGGGATTGCTGCAACCAACAATACTGAAGGTGTTTGCTTTCTACTCAATTCCTTTGGATAGCTGCAAGGAGACAAAAAAGGCTTCCTTGTTGAATTTCCTACAGCAAATGCAATGGAGTAAGCTAGTGAATCAAGAGATTCCTATTTCACTTAACCTACAGAATTTGCCATTTTTAAGCAGTACAAAATAAAAATTTAATATATAAAATAAAATTTAAAAAAGCTTAAGTCAGATTATCTTGAATGGAATTGCCATCTCATTCTCTGAAGATGCAATTATTATGGTTATCATCAGAAAGAATAAAGAAATAGAATACCGTACCTAACAAAGGGCAGTACAATAACCCTTTGCAAATTTGTAATAGGTACAGAAGATGTCTGTCCAAGATGGCTGGATGTATTTATGCTGGACTAAATCAATGCAAGATAACTGACAGATTTTGAATTACACTATACAGGTATTTCTATTGCCAAGTTTCACTTTTGCTTCACACTGTCCAAAATAGATTACACACCAACCTATGCCTTCTGCCTTGAAAAATATGAATCAAGAACTTGTGCTAATAAGTGACCTTACTGTGAAAATTACTTCATCCTCAATGTACCTCTAAACTCTTGTGATGGTCTCAATGTCAAAGGATGGCTGAAAATACTACTACTCAAAAATATTATAATGCCCTCACTGGGCTTGTTGAGGATAGGTCTCTCTAACCCCTTCACTGTGGGACACCACTTTAAAATCTATGTGAAATAAGGTGATCCATGCTGACCAAATTTTTAAGGATTTTGAATTATGATATTCTTTGCATTAGTTAGGTAATATGAGTTAGGCCAAGAATAACATGGGGAGAGTTTGTATTACTTAAAAGATGAGAACCAGATGTAAGGGGCTGTAAAAAAATGCAAAGCATGGATAGCTGCCATCAGATGGCTAATCCTTTCAAGTGTGGAAAATGACAAAATGCGATGATGATGATGTATTACTGATATCAGGTTGTTTGTGTCAGATATTCATGATAAGAAACATTTACTTATTTCATATTCCCAGATTCTCTAGAACAGGAATAGGTACTAGTGGACGAGGGAGAGAAGGTGTCTGAATTATCAACCACAATACAGTATATAGACATCAATACATTTGGAGGAGTAATTGAGACTCACCTTTTTGATTGACTTCTAACTAATCAGATTGGTAGAACATGGATAAGAATAAATTATATTCTGAAAATCCTTACCCTGGTAGTAAGCTGGACATGTTAAGTACAATATTTTTCCATTGCTGGCGCTCATACTTCCAGACCAGTGCAGTGCCATCCCTACTGCCAGAGATAAACTGGAGGCCTTTATGACACCACTGAATACTATCCACACGATCTAGATGTCTTTCAGTTTCAATCAGCTTCTCTACCCCATCTTCACCCCCAAGGTGATACACCCTGGCAGAATGACAAAACACCAAGATTATTACACCAGAACCACTCCGTTATAACACTGTATACTGCCTTACTGACAAACAATAATTACAATGTTAATGGGGAAAAATTGCGCCATGTGTTGAGTACAATGCAAGAGGAAAATTAATAAGAGGTAATGACAGCCTTTTAGGAGTGTAAATCATAAATAAGAAGCACCAAGAGGATCACATGGCCATTTTAAGTTAAAACTAAAAGGAAATGTTGATGATGCTAAAGTTTTGGACTACTCAAAAAGTGACAAACATATACTGAAAATGTACTGGATGTCTGTTGGAGTTGTCTAACAATTGCTCAATGGATACTGTTGGAACATATAATGGAGATATAAATTATGCATTAAAATTTTTACTCGTCTCAAATTTGTGTGGGATGGTGCACAGGATAAAGAAACCTTAAAGAGGGAGGGTAAATAACAGGGGAAAGTAGTGAAAGACAAGTGCAGAAAGTAACAGGAGAGGACTGTGACTTACCTGACAAAATGATCTGCACCTCCCAGAGCCAAGAAATGTCCTCCTTGACTAAAAGATGCACAAATGAGTTGGGCATTGCCAGGTCGAACTCTCTCATTAACTTTCAATGGCTTGGAGCTGAAATTATTACCCAACATATGAGACAGATAAAGAATAGCTAAATCTATAATAAATCTTATAAATGGGTCATTTCTCAATGCATTTGTGAAAGTACAGTAGTGTATACAATTCCAATACAGTAGTTATTGCACTATGTCAATTAATGAATTCTGTTGAGATATTTCATTTAGTATGGTATACAGTGCAGTAGTTCTTCCACTCACAAAAATCATAAAATTATCATTTAATAACCTTTGGCCAGTTTTACTCTTTCACAAACAACTTCAGATATTTGTTACGCAATCTACTGTGTGTGTGTGTGTGTGTGTGTGTGTGTCACACTAAATAGGTATAATGTCAAAATGGCAATATATTTTCTTATCCAAAATTTGAACTGGTCTGTACATAGACATAATCATGTAGACAACCCAAATAAAACTATATGAACATCATTACTAACCTAATCATGATATAGTTTGGTTATACAAGTATTATGGTAACAAATACCTTTAATAAAAAAAGCAAATTTAACAATTTATAAAATAATTTCCATAATTACAGCAATAAACACAAGTTATTTATATTTGACAAAAATGTCAGATTTGTTTCAAGACATAACTTCAGAGATATTATATATACAGTACGGTGTTACTAAATACAAATAACTGCCAGATAAGTGGTAGTCTACTGAACCAAATCACTCCAAGTGGCACTTTGCATTAACAAAACCCACCTGGCAAGAGTATTTGGCAGGATAAATCAAAACTTATAACAAATGGACAATATAAATGTCAATACTGTACTCAAGATAAGTACACTATGTAAAAATTCTATCAAAACAGTCTAACTTACTCAAACTTTACATCACAACCCCTTCGAACATATGTCCAAAATGCTACACAACCATCGCCGCCTGTTGAAACTAGAACACCTTCACTGTCAGGAGCAGGACAGAATTGCAAGGCTGTGATCATTCCAGTGTGGCTTGATAACACTGCTATCTGTGGATTATATATAGGTATATATCAAGATGTTATTAAAAAATTTTGTGAATGAAATTAGAATTGTATGTGAGAAGTAAGTTAAAAGTGAATGTGAACAAGAGATGAGAATTAATAGAGAAGACAGAAGAATCATGACAGCTTGAATGGAGATACAACAGGGAAAGTCAAGGGTACTAAACACCTGCGAGTGAATATGCTGTGAATGGAACACTAATTGATAAACCAGTAACAGAAGAAAAGAAAGTAAATGATGCATAAAAGAATATAAGGTAACAGAGAACTCTCAATGAAAGCAGAGTTGAGGATTTATAGAGGAATTCTTGAGTCAACATCATTATATGGGAGTGAAGCATGGACTCTGGATATAAGAGGAGGAAGGACACATAAAGTCACAGGAACGAGATAACTGAGAGCATTAAATGAGAAAGACATAATAAAACTATTGAGAAATAGTGAAATTAAATGGAGATATGGAAATAAAATAAGTCAAGAGATGACCAGAGTCTATGAAGGAGGTACAGGGAAACCTAGAAACAGATGAAGGAAATAACCGTGCTAGAGGTGATGAGGATGTTAATCTAAGAAGTAGCAGAGAAAGTGAATGATAGGCGGGCATGGCATTGAGTGGTTTACACAGAGGTCACAGCAATTATAGCAAATAGATGAAGGTGAGCGATGAGAATTTATTTTTGCTCTTGATTCCACCCACCCTGCACCATAGGTGGAAAAGGTTTAAAAAATCATGTTAGATACCTTACAAGTCTAAGATAAAAATCCACATCCATGGATACTTTTTCATGCAATGGTCAAAGCTCAAGTGCAGCTGCAAATTACTGTACTGTACTGACATTACCTACATTGCATATTTTACATAAAGCTGTAAATTAAACAGCTCTAAGTTTGAGCAAGCCCAAACAAACCCCAATGAAAACATTTTCCACAACACAAATTTATATTAACATGAATAACTTTCAAAATACTGAGAAAGGCAATGGCAGTGCTCTTTACCCGAAGCCTTAAAATAAACCCTGGGAATATATGATACAAAAACAAGTATGATACAAATAACTCAAATTTTTCTCTTACATAAACAGTAAGGGTGTTGTTTTGAATAAGACCCGATCTCTTATACTTCCCAACTTTAACCTCTTTGCAATTAAATCCATACTCCTAATTGAGATAAGTAAAACAATGCTAATATGAGCATCATTCACTAGATCAAATCTCACAGCACAAATAGCAATGAACTCACAGGTGCGAGGGTCTGTAGACTCCACACACGAATGATCTTATCACAGGATCCAGCAGCAACAAGTGTGTTCTCACTGTCAATGGCCAAGTCGGATATCTCTGCAGAAGCTCCTCTCAGGGTAGCCAACAACCGCCCATCAAGAATACTCCATATTTTAACCAAGGTATCATCTGCACCTGTGATGATATATCTGGAAAACAAAAATAAAAACTTCATAATAAGAAAGTAGACTGCCAAATGATTGGAAAAAATAAACCAGGTAATAATCTTGAGGTTTTGTTAAGAAAGGTAAAAGCCATTGGTGTAAGATCACACCTAATAAATACTAAACACTTATAGAGGCCATCATCTTTGTACTTTATCAAAACTTTAAATTTTTTTGTATCACTGTACTAAGAAAAAAAAAATCAACATACTTCCCCGATCGGTCAAACAGCATGCAGTAAACTGCCGACAGATGACCAACGGAGCGCTGAAACAACTGTGTACGACAGTAAAATTTGTTTGTGACCACATGCTTGCGGTTGACAGTGCCTGTGAGCTCTCTCCCGACAATGGTCTGGGTGAGGCTGGGAGGCCCACACACCCGCACGGGTTCCAGAGGAGGAGAGCCATGGTGACGCACCAACACATGAGACAAAGTTCTGTAGCGTTTTATCAGATCTGAGGATAAAAAAAAGTGGTGATAATATACTGTACAGGTACTGTAAATGGCTTCCCATGTTCAAATGATTATATATATATATATATATATATATATATATATATATATATATATATATATATATATATATATATATATATATATATATATATATATATATATATATATATATATATATATATATATATGAGAAAAAGGTAGATTGGTGGGATTTGACTAAGATTTCATTTCTTATTTGGATGATGTAGACAACATTACAAATAGCAAATGCTACAAGGGTAAAGAATTTAAAAGGAAAATATTCTGCAATGCCTATGTAGAGAACAGCAAAGGTGACTGCATCTAAGGACCAGAGATTTAGTATAAAATATGTACAAATGTTGAAGTTAACATGCACTGGTTTCAGACTTAACCTCTTCTTTACCGAACACTCCTTCCAATGTAAACAAACTTATCCTCCCTCATACCTCACCCCCCCCCCCGATTGCACAGTGCAATAGGAAGGTGTTATAATTATCCCTGCACACACACTGTTTATTCTATGATAATTATTTATATATCTACGATCAAATAAACCCAATAAAATGCAGTTCAAATGATAAAATTATTAATATTGTCATTTTTTTTATGCTTTCATCTATATACAGTACAGTATTATACTTAAATGTTCAATGTTCACACCTGTGAATTGGATAAATATACTGTATACAGAACATGTGAAAATTATTGCATACACAGTAATGTTATGTTTATTTACGTTGTGAGTGATGTCGAGTTCCTGCAAAAAATGTCTGGCCTTTTATCTGTCTGCAAATGGGTCTGATTTGTGCAAGAAACGATGAGTGGGGGTGGAGGGACCAGGGAGGGAGGTGGTGAACCACTGCTGCCACTACTACTATCTTCAAGAATGTCTATCTCTTTTCAGAATTATAATCACTGTAATATTCCTCTGAAGAGTCATTTGAAAGATTATTATCACTTTCTGAATAATTTTCAAACTGATCTTCACTATCAGACATATCTAATGATACTGAGACTACAGTGAATAAAAGCATATCCCACTCACAGAAAACATAAGAGAATACTGGCCATCAGCATGGCATCAATTACATATTTGAAAATCTAAGGGGGGGGGGTTATTATACCACAATTTTTCAAAACCTATTACTGTATCAGGAAATGGAGCAATGTGTAAAGAAGTGAATCAAGAGTAATGGAGCAAAAGTAAGCAATAAGAGAACAATGTCAAGGGAGGAAGAGGTGAGGATATATGAGAAACTATTAGCAGACATAATACCAGTGTGCAGCATTAACTCTGGATGCAAATCGGAAAGTAAGAGAAATGATGTATCCGAGAGCAATAACAATGATAAATAAGATGCACAGAAGTGAAAAATACAAAAGTTAGAATATGTGGCAATAAAGAATTAAAACTAACCTTATAAACATTAGCAAGAGTGTATACTTCAGAGGTACAGTAGAAGGTTGGAGGGAGTAGAGAAGATCAAAGAAATAAAAAGATATAATGAAGGAGGTATTAGGAAAGACAGGATGATCATCCAGGCAGCAGAAGTGACTATGATTAATAAAAGAGCATGGTACTGAGTGGTTCAAAAGGGAGTCATAGCAGTTAAGAGTTAACGGATGCTTGCTGTTGATTCCAGCCACCCTGCAGCAAAAGAAAAAATATGAGGGTGAACAAAATTCTTCTTTTTCTGCTCACCATCCAACTTATTTTGTGGAATATCGTATAGCACTTCAATCTAAATTCCCTGTGATGACTTAATGCCCCCAAATGGTTAAATTACTTGGGATATCTAACTTGGAGGTGCCATCAATACAAAACAAACAATATTTACCTTGTTCTGTGCGTAGAAGTGACTGTGAGCCAGCGCCTAAGAGAGTAGATGCTGCAGAGTGAGGAAGTTTCACTAACTGGTTGATGGCCGGACCAAGGCGTGCCACCATGCGTAATAGGTGATCATTTGCAATGTGTCGATGTTGCTCATCCTGTAATAATGTAATATTCAGTTTTATAATTCATGAGACATGTAAAAAAAAATAAAAATAAATGATTACTGGCAAATTTTCCCTTACTGGGTCTAGTGTTGATTTGTTTATATTCCCACCTTTTATCTATCAAACAGTCTTGAAGAATTAGTGTGCTAAATACAGATCTTAATTTTGATAAATATACAGAAAGGATCAAAAAATAAGTGCTACTATAGTTTGTTGTCTACCAAGCTGGAGTTGTGTCTACCGGGATATTTACACTGTAGCATCCATTAACCTAACTTAACCTAGATTACAAGAGTTTAGGTTAGGTTAAGATGGACTAAGTTCGGTTAGGTTAGTAGATGCTACAGTGTTAATATCCCGGTTGACCACCTCCAGCTCGGTAGACTGCATACTATAGGAGCACCAAAAAATATTTAGCTATTGGTAAATACATTTCCTCATTTTGCATGCATTCATTCTTTTGTTCCCTCCTTAAGGCAAATAAAGATTATTCGCCCTATATTAAATTACATGAAGGTCGACCAAAAATGAGATCGTTCAGTTCATTCTCGACTTACATTATTAATGTTTATTTTCCCTTCGTTATTATTCATTTTCAATCATCAATTTCATTTATTATTCAAGAGAAACAAATACAGAAGTGCGCATTTTTTCTCCAGATCAATCCTTTTATTCTCTCACTCCTGCTTTGTTACCGTTATGTCCACTTAACCTCATTCGAGGACCTTAATGAGTAAGTAAAGACAATGGTTACATACTGCAAATCTTCGTCATAATTCATGACGGATAAACATTACTAAACATTACTATACAAGATATGTATATACTGTATACAGCATATACACTGCATTATAAACATCCCCCTTGTCTTTGTTAATGCGATGTTTACTTCAACCTTCAGCTAATGACTCTTGAAAAAATGTATAATTACAAAGTGAACATTAATTCGGTTCGTAATTCAAGAGCCTATATTATACAGCAAAAAGTCAAAAATGACACTTTTATTATGATCTTTGCCTAGAGGTGTTTCTTTGTTTGGTCCTTGTTGCTCAATATTGATCCCTACGGCACGCCCCGCCCCCTCCACCTCCACCAATGAAAACCCTCGCACAGCTTTAGGGAGGAAGGTGTCCCGGACTCTCATTGGCCCTGAGTTTCATCACTGGCTGGCTGGTTGGCTGGCACGCACCCAACCTAACGGGTCCCAACGTTTATTTTAATTCAATAGGTTTTTCACATATTTAAGGATTTTTTTTCGTCTTGATTCTAATGAGGGATATAAAAAGAAGAACATGTGAAGGAAAATAAGGGGATAAGATGATGGTAATGAGGGTAAATATATTATTATAGTAATGATGGCAACTGAGTGGTGGGGAGGGGGGGGTGTGGGAGAGAGAGCCTCCCCATAAACATAAAACCTTCCAGCTACAACCTTCGCTCTCCCTCCCCCGGCCGCTAATTATCCTCCTCATATTTACCAGTTCCCCAAAATTATGAATAAAAAAATAAAAATATATATATTTTACAGTTTTAAGGAATTGAGCCAAAAATGCTGATGTAAATTTTTGATTCAACTTACCACTTCTTCAAATGTGTTGTTACGTTGTTGGCCCAACCAGTCGTGTCTTTTTGGCAGCAACTGAAAAACAAAGATAAAAGATAAAAATGAGATTAAAAAAAGGAGGGGTGAGGAGGGGTGGTGGTGTGGGGGCGACCCCCCCTCACCCCCTCACCGGCACCTCCAGTATGTACACACAACCACGTGGTCCACATCAGCTGACACACACCACAACAACACTCTCAAACTTACCTCATTTTCCTCGATTTCTCGCCTCAGCACCTGAAAAGGAAGAAAAACTCGTCAGATCCAGCCAGTTTACGATCTTGTGTTTCATTTTGACAAGAAATAACCTTACCTCATAAGCTTCCTTGCACGGACCAGTAGATATATACTTGGCGATCAAATAGTACAGTTCTGCAACAGAGAAAGACTCTTGGTTAAACCGCGAAATTCACCTCTCTTTCAAATATCATTTCACGCGTCCATTCCGCAAGTAACTCACCGATTTCCAAGACACTGTATCGCTTATTCACTGCACTATTACACCGTGAGGTTGACGGTACCACATCCATAGCAGAATGCACGGAAATATGCGGAAAACCCGAGGTCACTCTGTTTTACTTGAAACCTGCATTTTCTTCCTCTCTCTCCCCGCTGTCTGGGCCGCACAACACCTCGTGACGTCATGAAAGCCACCGCTCCATAAACTAGTCCTGTCTAACACACCTAATTGTACAATAATTTAGTTATATAGGACCGTAGTTATGTATTAATGCATTTACATAACTAATAAAGTATGTATTTTAATATATTAGAAGTTTATATCAAGTTTGATTCATTAAACAGGTTGTGCGGACTTCGATACGTTACAGTTGAAGCATTCACCGTCTTTTAATTTCGCGAGAACGAAATAAATTCTTCGTTTCATATATTTTCTCAGCACATTGCAATATTTTATTCCATATTTTTTATATGATAACATTAGTTTATAATTTATCTACAATTTTCATGAGTATTGTAATGTGAGAGATGTAACTATTTACCAGATTTAAATGCCTGAGACAATCATGTTATCCTCCAGGGTACAGATTCTCAAAGATTCTTAAGTTGGATATTCCTCATAACTCAAGATGAAAGAATTAAACTAAAAAAAATAATGTGCAAAAATATAATAAACGCATAGTTAGACTGTTTCAATTAATTAGTCAAGTAAATTGACCTAAAGAATCTTCCCCAAGATGATGTGTTGATTCGGTGTTCTAACATTGATATTGATATTAAGAGTGAACATATTGCATTTAGTTAGTGTCAATGAAAATTTCAAGTCATTCGTAATTGCTTCTTTAAATTCTGTAGCTGAAGAGAATAAATTAGGATTTTTTTACATCTTTCATTGCAAGTTAGGTGTGACAAATTTCATCAATTTAATAATGTCATCGATACCTGTAAAAAGCAAAGATAGATAAATATAGCCACATATATTTAATAACGTACTAAAATGAGTTTAGCATCAAGTAGTTACTCTGCTAAATCGAAGTAAGTTTTATCAGTTAAAGAGCACACCAGACTCAACATGCCAATATCTTCAACAGAAACATAACTAAAAAAAATAATGGCAATTATAAAACAAAAAAAAATCATACAAATAAAAATTCAAACTATATGAATTTTGTTGCTAAATGTTATAAATGAATTTGTGCTAAGGAGTAGCGGGTATGGCAAGTCCTCTGTGTGACACCTGCTGAAGTCCAAAAACAATTAAACTTAATAAACTTAAATATCTTAACTTATATATCTATAGTCAAATAATACAACCCTCGTTTTAGCATTTATTTTAAAGATTATATTAAAGTTTTGCATTTCCATTATGAAAAGATAAACAAAAATAATATTCAACTCACTACAGTATAACATCAGCATGCCTTTTAAGTTATATATTTCCATATGTAAATATATGACTTTGATACGAGAATTTTTATTACAAACAAAATTAAGAAATATACTCTTCAATATCTTCAAATAATGAATGTTGAGGTTTATTATAGTTCCTCCTCATTCTTTAAAGCCCATTACGTTTAGTGGTATTTCTCTTTCCAGGGTGACAGCTGAGGTAACTTTGGCTTAGGTGAGTAACTGGAATGTTTGCCGTTTCCTCACATTCAATCGATCTAGAAGTTCCAAGTTGGCATAGTGTTATCTGTGGAGAATGTAATTTTATCTGGGGAACGTTCATATTATGTAAATGGAATCAAGAGTCACTCATGAAAACGTGTATGTTGTCCATTAAACGATGCTATATTGTTTGGCTTCAAAACCCCCGACACTTTATTGATAAAATATATCTTCCTATCTGTAAAACAAAATATGAAGGTTCTGTGTGTTATTTTGGACCTTTTGTTTCGTCATGTGTTTGTGCCCTAAATACTAGTTCGTGTTCTTCCAGGTTTTTCAATAAAAGCTATGGCAGACTGTTAGAAAATAGGATTTCCAAATTAAATCTCCAGTTATATGTATTTGGTCAATTTATAGTAGCTTACCGTTCTTTCTTTTGGTAGAAGAAATGTGTAAAAAAAACATAAATTCACCCAAAACCAACCAAACCTAACCTAATCAGGAGGGTCCACCCCCGTGATTAGGTTAGGTTAGATAGAACGATGCACTAATATAAGAAGACCATGTGTTTTGTCTTTCATCACCCCGTTCATTAATACTTCCTGACATCCACAACCTTGTTCTTTCCAAACCGTGCAGGACATGTTTTGGTGCAATATAAAACAGTATGGGCTGAATCACTGGTATCATGTTAATTTACCTTTGCTTCGTTATAAAGAAAAGAAATGTAGCCTGTACTGTGTTCAGCTAGTTTGGGGCTACTTTATAAGGAAACCACAGTATTATTTGGTAATTCGTCGGATCGTGACTGTCAGCTGATTTTCATTGAAAATGAGTTTAAAAATACAGTACGTACCCAGTTATTACCGTTTTTATTAAAGGTTCCAGTATTTTGTTATGGGAAAATATAAAAATGGTTGAAATTATGTGCTAACCAAACCTAACGATAACTTAATGTAACCTTACCTAACCGCGGGGCAAACCCCCTCAGATTCCTTGGATGACCAAAATTAAAATATCGGTAATACAACCTAGCCTAACCTATGCCTTAACGTGCCTATATCTAGAAGACTAAGCATTTACACAAGAAAATGAACAGAAGTGAAAGTAATCAGCGTACAAAACTGTTTGTAATAACAAATACCTGTACATCATCTACAATAATTAATACCTTATGTACCTCCAACTTTACTTGGCTTAGCATAGCTGTTGCTCACCTATATACCTTGTCTCTTTCTTTCCATACCACATTCTCTCGCACATTCTTTTTCTGTATCTTTGTTTCTCTGTCTCACCCTTTTTTAGTGTTACAATACTTATAATTCGTATTAGTCATTAAATAACTAGAATTTAACTCAAGATACAGTACAGTATTGTATTGTATTGTACAGTACAGTACTACACTTTTGGAGTTTGTGTCCATAACTACTACTGTATGTGTTATAGTATTGTCAATATATTTTTTCACCAAACTTTACAACTAAATTTTCTCTTGACAGATGTAGAGGTTTCACTGCAAGATGACTTGGATTGTTGAACAGGACCGTACTTGGGCAGAATGGGCTGCCCTGAGGGTTTTACGAGTGGGACCAGTACCCAACCATCTGGCCATTATAATGGATGGTAACCGCAGATTTGCTAGAAAGGAGCACAAGGACACTCTTGCTGGTCATACACAAGGATTTCATAAGCTGACAGAGGTGTTATGTTGGTGTCGAGATCTGGGAATCAATGAGGTCACAGCTTATGCCTTCAGCATAGAAAATTTTAAACGGTCAAAACAGGAGGTTGATGGATTGATGGATCTTGCTGCTGAAAAATTTGCAAAATTGCTTGAAGAAAAGGAGAAGTTAGCCAAGCATGGAGTTTGCATCAGAGTGATTGGTGATCTAGACCTTCTTCCTCCACGCATCAGAAAACTTACAGCAGAGGCCATACTGGCCACAAGACTTAATACAAAATGTTTCCTCAACCTAGCTCTTGCGTACACTTCACGGGAAGAAATAACCTCTGCCATGAATCAGCTTTCACAAGGAGTAGACAAAGGAGAACTTCTGACCAGTGATATTTGTGAAGAATTATTAGAGAAGTGCCTGCACACTCGAGGTTCACGAGATCCAGACCTGCTGGTGCGCACCTCTGGAGAGGTCCGTCTGTCTGATTTCTTGTTGTGGCAGAGTGGTTTTTCCTGCTTATTCTTCACAAAAGTTCTATGGCCAGAATTTACCATCTGGCATCTTTTTGGGGCAGTGTTCTATTACCAAAGACACTACCACACTCTCACTGCTGCACGACAAGAGAGTCTAGCATTAAGGCAATGTATTGTGGAGGAGAGTGACATTGAGAACTGTCATGTAAAATTTGGCGAAAAGGTTTCACAAGAACACATTTCTGCTTATACATCTGCAAGGCAGGAACGAGTTCAGAATTTCCTCTCAAATTTACATAAAATAAGAATTGATAACTTGCAACAAATAAGTAATGAAGGAGAAGATTAAAATTGGAAGTTAAATTTATTGGGCTGCTATGTGGAATGTGATGTTGCTGTACCAATGTTTTATCTACATTTCTATGATGTTAAACAGGATTATTTAAGGGTAGACCTTGTTGAATATTTTACACTTAATGAATACAGTATCTCTCCAATTGATTTACTGATACTGAAGTTTTCCAAGTAATTGATGAGTTACACAAAACTAGTGCCTTGTAGATATAAGAAAATGTAGTATGAAGGATTATTGGCAAAACAAAAAAAAATATATATATATACTGTAAAGCTTTGCCAAAATATATAGTAAACTACATTAATTGTATAATTTGTGAAATTTTTAGCTCGCAGATAGCCGAGGTTAAAGATATAATTTTTTCCAACTGGACCAAAGTCAAGGTTTATAGAAAAGGGTAAAAACTGTTACTAACATTTAATTGTGTGCAGTTAAAGTTTTGTTATTGATGATGTTAATAAATATTTATGATGGTGATTTTATTATTATAATAATCCACCTATTCTAACTTAACATGCTTTTCTGTTCTTACAATATACAGTACTGTAATTAATATGATTTTAAAATCATCATTGTTTTGTTGCCATTTTCCATGCTTGTATAAGTTAGCCAAAATTAATGTACTGTACAGTACTGTATCTGATGGCAGCTGTTGTGTAAAATCAGAACAAGATGTCCCCTCCCTCCGCTCCCACTACTACAAACCCAGGGCACCAGCACAGAAATTGCAATAAAGACCAGGGATTGGGTACTGCTCTGATGACCTGATTGCCATCAGGCATTTTGAAGCAAAATTGTTCAGGTGGATACCCTTCTGAATGCCAATCAACAGGGTGGGAGCAGCTGGCAAGGCAGGTCACAACTCTCTTGAGGTAATCAAATACTCCCTGTACTACATTTCACAAAAACAGTTGACTTGTCGACTAAACTTTGCCAATGTTAGCAGCCTTATCAACTGTCATGTCAATATTTTATGACCATTTTCCACACTTGTATGGGTTAGCCACGATTACTTGGTGGCAGCTTTCCATGCTGCAGTCTCTTGTTGCTGCTCTTGTCAAAATTCTTACTCTGCAGGTACCACACATTGAAAAGCATTACTTTCTAAAAGTACCAGCAATGTCTGTGAAGTGTAGATGGCATGTTTATGCCAATAAAACGCTGGCAGGTGGGACACAGGTCGCTTTGAAAAGTAGGTCGAATGCCTATGCCCTGGTCGCTCATTGCCACAGGATGCTCGCACATGGGACATAGCCTAATGTCCAGTTCAGTAGTGAATAATGTATCGGTTATGGTTTGTGTGGGGGGGTGAGGTTCAACCCAACAAGATATTGAGAAGAATACAAAAAGAAAACTACAAGGGGGAATAATAATAATACACATCTTAATTAAATGTTTACTCCTTGAACATATAAATGACACAAGAAACAGGAGATTGATCATGAAATCCCAGTTAACAGCTGAATACAGTGTGGGTGGCTCTAGTTACAATCTACTGTCCATGGGTTGAAAGCTCAGGAACAGAACCAGCTAGTGCCACATACTGGTCATCTAACTATAGCACAAAAATAACCCTGACTCGGATAATCCTTCCCTACTGCAACCATGAGACCCAAAAGAGCATCAACTGGAAGCACTGTTTTACCCCAATGATGAAGGTTTGGTAGCTACACCTATGTGCAACTAGAAGTGCTCTGAAATCATCACTTACTCAACCATAGCCCCATGACCTAGGATCAGTCCCCTTCAGCTCCCAGTTTGCTTGATTATTCTCAGGAGAAGAGGGCTGAAGTGTGAGGTGCCAGATCTATACTATTCATTAGGATTTCAGGATCAATCTCCTGCTTAGAGTTAAAAGTACATCTCTGACAACTTCATTTACCCAAGACAAGGAAATAAGGAGGATGGATGATATGCTGTACAGGATATATAGTATATATATATATATATATATATGCTGATAACCACAAGAAAACACGAAGTTCCCAAGTGCTTTCGTGTAATTCCCATCTTCAGGGGTGAGTACAGACTAAGGAGAAATACTTGACAAGGCTAATATATACAGTAGAGGAGAGTGAGATCAAGTCCCCTAGGGTACAGCAGGTGTCCACAATGTTCCGGTCATAAGGCAGTGACCCTTATTAATTCCCCTTGTCAAGTATTTCTTCTTGGTCTGTACTCACCCCTGAATATGTGAATTACACGAAAGCGCTTGGGAACTTCGTGTTTTCTTCTTTCCTTGTGGTTATCAGCATATACCTAGATCACGTGCACCTACAGTGATTTACTTGCATATACAGTCAGTTCTGCTATAACGCGATAGTTGTGTTCTTGTAAAATATCGTGTCATAGAAAATCGCGTAATAGAAATAACAGGGCTTATGGAGAAAATAGGGTTAGGTGCAGATTACTCAAAATCGAAAAAATTTAGTAGTTAGCCTAACACAATGGATGGCACAGTCTAAATAAATGTTACATTCATATCTAATAATGAAATCATACAGTAAATAAAACACTTTACCTTGACAAAATATGAATGTAACTTGATGGGGGAGAAGGGTGATTTTGAGGTTGATAACATCGAGCTTCTCTTCAAGTGTTATATCCTTTCTTTTATGATCATCACCGGGAATTCGATCACCAGAACGCTTCTTGGAGATATTCTTCTTTACCATATTCACAGTTAATACCACAAAATTGGAAAAATAGTAAGCAAAAATCGCGTTACAGCAAACAAGCGTTCGCGTTATACAAATATCATTCCTCTATTCATAAATCGCGTGAGAGCAAATTCACGTTATCAAAACACGCGTTATAGCAGAACTCACTGTATATATATATATATATATATATATATATATATATATATATATATATATATATATATATATATATATATATATATATATATATATATATATATATATATATATATATATATATAAAGCTGAGAAGCACAATTTACACCTTTATAGAGAGCTGACTACCCAACCAAATAATGAAAAAGTATTAACTTTACAAGATCCCAAGGGCCATTTGTGTACCAACAATTGACTGGTCCAATTTCTATATTTTCCTGTTTGAAAACTGTGAGCTTAGAGGGTTAGGCTAATAGAATCACTCGGGAATTTGTCTCTGGGTTAGTAGTATTACTTAAAGCTACATCATGCACTATGTTAACGTTATTTACAGTTGGTTCACTTCTTGCCCCTATTAGTGGGAGGACTGGTACATTACTCGGAATTCCCCATCTTCCTGTACCCTGACTTCTTGGCCTTTTCTGATCTTTAGCTGTGAATATTGTGGGTTGCTAACAGTGGTGGGCACAGCTAAACGAAAAGTTAGCTTTGCTAACCGCTAATCTGTGAACTAAAAAGTTAACTTTGCTAATGCTAAACAGCTAAAAAAATTAGCAGAAGCTAATGCTAACCGCTAACTTTTATTATATGAATTTAGCTTCTTTTTTTTGGGGGGGGGGGACTCTAAAACCCTTAAAAACAAACCTAGAGAGCTGAAAATTTCATATGTTGTCTTGTAGCTTAGACAAAGAGTTTTCCAAAAAGGTATAGCATGCCAAGATCAGATGATGATCAAGGTGTACACAAATAATTAAATGAACAAATGAAATTAAACATTAGTTTACATTCAAGTTTCAACATACACTTTATAATCTTTATTTACTGTACGAAAAGACAAAGTATTAAACGAATCCAAAAACTATAGTACTGTACAGCATAGGTAGCAAATAGCATCATGCCAAGATCAGATGATGATCAACTTATCAAGGTGTACACTGTACACAATTTCACAAATAATTAATTTGCATTCTCATACAACCTATCGGCATTATTCATGTAAATATGCAATACCAACCACATACACATTATACCAGTGCATTTTTATATAACTTATTGTTGGTCTTAGTTATTATGCCAGTGCATTTTTATATAACTTATTGTTGGTCATAGTCATGTAAATAAACAGAAAAATCCAAACTTTAATGAAAAGTAAGTTTTTAGAAAATTTTGTTTGGCGCACACCTTGGATGACATCCTGGTTATGAACTTATGCAGTATTTAGCATAAACACATATATATTGACACAGAAAAATCCTAATTAAATTAACAAATAAATGAGAAATGAAATTATACATTAGTTTACAATTACATTCTATGATTCTTTCAACATACACTGACAGTCTTGTCACGTTTACACGCACTAACACGCAGTCAGCCAAGCGTGTTTGACTGGCTGTTGGAGACACGCGTCGCGGCGTCACACGCTTACAACAGACAGGAACAAACTTATAAATTTTGTTAGCGGAAGCTAATTGGTCCGCTAATGGTTTCCAAAGTAAGCGAAAACGCTAATCCACTAACGAGAAAGTTAGCTTCGCTAATTAGCGGTTAGCAAATTAGGGGAACCGTGCCCACCATTGGTTGCTAAGTACAGTAGTTTTTTCAGTTTGTCCCCGAGCTCTTTGCCGATATTTTATTGGTGAACTGTCAGGGTGGGGGTTATGTACACATTACTATTCTGTTACTTGCTTGGGGTTCCAGTATCCCTCTTGTGCTCGTGTTTAGGGATGGTGATCCTTACTAACTGCACTGTGCTTATATTAAGTCATCTTTCCATATTCGTGACGTTTAACTTGTCTACAAAGTCAACCCTATTTCTCAGCATGTTTGACTGATTGTTCATTTGTCTTTCTCTTTCCTCACCAGGTTTTTTATGATGAGGTTGTTCCTGTGTCTAACTCTTCTCAAGTTTACTTGTATATTGTTTTTTTTTCCTACCTTATCTATCTTGATCCTGACTAGATTAGAGCATTTATTTGTTTTGTTGCTTGGTTCTTAATTTCCCCAAATAACTTGGCGTCATCTGCAAACATTTGTATGGAGGAATGTAGTGTCAGGCATGTCATTTATGAAACAAACAAACAAACAACGGGCCCAATACAATGCCCCGTCACAATCGGGGTACCACCCGTTTTGACGGGTACACGTAATGATTTCATGCCATTAATCACCATACACTGCTTGTGGTCATGGAGAAAGTCTCCAATCCACGCTAGTACAGTTTAATTTTTAGCCTTTCATGGGGTACTCTGTTGAAAGCCTTGGCAAAATCTGGGTATATATTGTTATTACCACCCTGTTCCAGAATTTGGGTCCAAACATCCAGTACCTTGAGTAATTGTGTTAAGCAGGAGCGCCCCATCATAAAACCATATTGGCAATCCTTTACAAGGTTGTTTCGTAGTAGATGTTCCATCATGGCATCTCTTATAATGCTCTCAAATACTTTACATACTATGCTGGTCAGGCTCATCAGTCTATAGTTATTCATGGAGTGATGATTGCCCTTCTTGAAGATAGGACTCGCATAAGCCATTTTCCAATCACTGGGGACCTTTTGCTTATCCAGTCATTTACAGAACAGGATCTTCAGGGGTTCAGCAAGCTCATTGCACAACTCTCTTAGCACTCTGGGATGCACCATATCAGAGCCGGGACTCTTATGAACCTTTAGCTTTGACAGTTTATTTCCTATAACCTTTCCTCAAACGCAGGAAGATTGATCGCATCATCTCGTTAAGATCGAAAAAAAAAATTGTTCAATGCCTCAGCTTTCTCCTGGTCAGAATCTGCGTAACTACCATCTTCAAGCATCAGGTCCGATACTCCTACTCGCATTTTTAATTTTGACTTTGCATAGCGGTAAAATGCCGTAGGATTTGATTTGACCTCACTTGCAACCAGCCTCTGGAACTCCTTTTTAGCCCTTCTACACTCTGACTTTGCTTGGTTCCTGGCTCTTGCATACATCCTCCTGTCCTGCTCATCGTTTAACCTAACCCACGCCGTGAATTTCTGGGTTTTTTTTTCTTAACTTTGTCGACCGCAGCATAGTTCATGTGCAGAGGTCTCCTTGTATTCTTAGAGGCACTGGGTTTGGTCTTGGGTATATATTTTTCGATCAAATGGTTCACTTTACTAGCTATGATATTCAGCGTAGTGTCTGCGTTCTTATGCCTTAGTGAGTCAGGCCAGTGGATACCCCTCATCTTGTCATAATTTCTCTTGTAATATTTGCACCTTGGCATGGTTTTGTCATGAACTAAGTAACAGTTAAATCTGAATGACAACATTGCATGGTGGCTGGTGCTAACTGGGGCTAGATGTTCCAGTTTGGCCACCATACCCTCCTCATTTGTTATGAATGAACTGATGAGTAAATTTTCATTTTAGTGGTGCCATTTTATTTTACAATGGAATATGTTCTTAAATTCCAATGTTCATGACACTAAAAAGGCACCATTTGAAACTAACTTGCAAACGCTAACCTAATTATGGGTATTGTTTTAAAAAACTGGCCTCTTGTTTCTCTTTAATATTCTCACTAAAAAATAGAAGTACAGGAAAGTAGCGCTTAACAAGCAACATATATTGTTGAAAAAGTGCTCATTAGGTGAATATTCAGTCAACAGGATCTGTTTTCCCATAGGATCCCATATTTGACCCAAAGTCCCATGGTACTGTCTAAACTTGGATGTCCAAAGAATTTCAACACTAAAGCCAAACCGAATAAGATTAAACATTGTTTTAGTATACAGTATATCTGTAGTATTGTACTGTACTTACCAGAGTTGAAAATAAATGCTGCTATGTTGGCCTAGCATTGTTCGTTAAAGCTGTAGAGAACACGGTGATAAAATAACACGGCCAAGTTCTATAGGCTCATGGGATAGCCAGGCTGGGTCAGCCAACCACTGACTTCACCTCACGAGTATAAAGAATATGTCTGCAAGTGCACTTATCTGGCTGGCCACTCATGAATCAACAAAGCATGACTAACCTCACTCCACAAATGATAATCCGAGCTGGGTTCCCTTGTGATTTTGCTCGTTAAATGAAAAAAAAAGAAGTATGTTCATTAAATTTTCACACCCTAAAATATTAAACTCATACTAAATTCTTGTTCATCAGTTACTCATTCAATAGGACATTACTGTACTGTAATGTGTTACTAGTATCTGGAATCTAATTTTTTCTCAGTTATACAGTACAGGTACTCCCTGACTTACGACAGGGTTAGGGACCAACATCCAGGTTGTAAGTTGAAATGGTCGTAAATCGGAAATACTTAAATAACACATAGAAAATTTAAAATTTGGGTCTCTTTTTCTTCTCAGCACCACAAAACACTCACTTTTAAGCTTGCCAGCCATTTTAAAGTGAATTACAGATGAAAATTTGGGTCTGTGTACTGACTTTGGGACTCAAAAATACATAATTTGACCACATTTTGGTACGACTGAGGCAGTCGTAAGTCGGGGACTACCTGTATATATGTACTGTACAGTACTTAAAATGAGTCCTAATTTATTTTAGTTTGCATCAAGGGGAAAATTTTTGTCCATAGGAAGCCATTAGGAACCAAGCTTTGAGTTCTGGAAAACTTTTCAGGATTGTAACCTATTGGTAACTTAAGAGGGATGCCCACAAATGTATGACTAAATGCAACCTTGTGTACAAATGAGGGTTTACTCTATTAACATATCTGATCATACTAACAAATTTTTGGTAAATTTTAAATGTTGTACAATATGTGGGGAACTGGCAAAACTTATTGCATGGGAAAGTATTATAGACTAGATTTATTGTGATATGTAATATTTTAAGAACAAGAACAACATTATTTCAGCTTATGCTTGCATTAGGAGGCAATGTATTTGGTTCAATATATTTTCTACAATCATTTTGTTTCAAATTAAAATTTAATATGGGGTACATGGCATCAGAAAACTAGACCCTACATGTAAGAAAACACTGAGATGGGAGCTTTAAATAAATGCCATATCATCCACAACTAACTATGGTTGAAAGTGGCAACAGTACAAAAAGTCCATAGTTTGGTAAGTGACAACACTAACCTGCCATGGTCTCTGTTAATTTCAGAACCCTGCTATGATATAAAAATAGGTTTCTTATATTAGTTTGCTGCAAGAGAGTCTCATGGCCATGGTATAGTGGGGGATTTACTGTTGTCAAATTTGTACACTGTATCCCAAAATGTTTGAAGTCTTTGAGTATACAGTACAGGACAAAGGCATCAGATTTCATGAAATTATTGATAAATTATATGCCTGGTAATTAAGATAAATGCTTTCCTTTGCATTCACTATTACTCCTTTTTACATTTTAAAGTTTGTTTAGAATTAGACCACCAGAGGGTGAACAACCTGCCAGGCTCACTCTGGACTCCTGCAGCTAACACCAAATGGCCAGGCCTCTCCAGTCTTACTGACAACTGTGTATCTTTTGTACAGTTCATGTTACTGCCATGATACTGAAGACTGGCGGCCTGGAGTGGCACATCCTCAGACGAGATAGTAGCAGGACTGTTGTTGTTGGAATAATGAAGGTTTGTGTCTGAGTTTCCCATCATACATACAGGTAGCTCACCTCCTACAGCACCAATGGGTGAAACCTCCTCTTCAGCATCCCTACACTCACATAATTCAGCTGGCTGGCAAGGGGAGAATTGCTGTGTGCCACACTCTGGACTCCTGTTCTGTTGGAATATTTTATGACTATCTTCACTGGACACTACACTGCTCACTTTGTTCAAGTTTTGTTGTCTTTCGGCATCACTGCAACAACTTTTAGTACTTTTAACTTCATTACTCTGGTCGTTATTAAATTCAGTAGTTAATGGTGGCTCTGATAAATCTAGCAGGTGTCCTCCAAGACCATTAAGCCAATCAATGTCACCCACCACCAGCTGAGCTCCATCTGGTGTTGTCATTCTGTGGAACGTACAGATTCCTTGTAAATAAATCAAAGTTGTGACTTTAAATATTCTATAGTAACTTTTGTCAAAACACAAGTTTAATATTTGGAAAAGCATTATGGGCATATAAAGAATTCAAGAGACTTATTAATGATGATGATGCAGCAGTCTCCCTTACCCAGATTATTTGTTGAATGGCTGGTCCAGACAAAGGACAATTATCTTCTATACAGATAAAATGGGATGGAAGATACAGAACTCGCCATTAGAGGCTGTAGGGTCCATGGGCAATTACAACTTTTGACTTTGATTAGTATCACGCATTTCAAGCCTATGAAAATTACTCAAACGTTTAATAAACCCTTATTTCATTTGATATGATAAAACAAATTAATCTGTCAAATATTTAAGAATTACTTACTATCCAGCCACACATTGGTGGGGTTCACTGTATGCCTTAGACTTTTTCAGGTGAAAAATGCTGGAAAAGATGTTACTGTGACAAAAAGATACATACAGCGCATATATCCTAGTTAGGCTAATAAATACCAGAAAGAAAATATTGTATAGTACTGTACGTACTCTAAAAATTACTAATAAGTTTTACAACGTACTTGGAGTGTGGGACTGCATGTGTGCCTGCTGTTTCTCCTGTGACAACATCCACAACCACCAGAGTTGATGAGTAGAGAACACTGCCAATTGTCAAGAGAAGAGCATATCTGTTGCCAAGAGCAAGTAGTTTTTTCACTTTGAATTTCAATATTATATTATACAACAGCTTAAATGTTTCTATCTCATACACACATAAATTTGCATGTTTTTCATCAATATCTTGTTTAATCAATCCCACATACTTCGTACTATACTGAAGACCTGGGGTAAAGAAATTATTGTTTCCCTCATTGAGACGTATGCATGATTTTAACAAAATTTCATCAATGTTACCAATTTTATCCATTAAACAGACGGAATTGAGTTCAGAGTTATCATTTGTTATATTTTCAGTGGTGTTTAATTTATCATCTGAATTTTTGTTACTACTGGCAGGCCAGCTTATCTTATTGACATTATCTCTAGTCATACAAATAATCTCATGATAGAAACTGCAAGAAAGGTCTGGCAATAAAATAACACGCAAAACCCAATGATCTTGATTGGGTAATGACTTGATAACTAGACCAGTCGACAAGCACCACAGTTTTATGCACTCATCAGCTCCACCACTGACTAACAGGTCCAACTCTTCTGAAAAGTCACTGCTGAAAACAGGACCAGCGTGCATCTTAAACTTGCTCCACAGAAGGAAATACTGGCCAGGACTGTTACCCAAAGAATTATCTATTACACACGAGACTTCGCTCATCTTGCTGAGGTCCCAGGCAGTGAGGATCCCAACAAAATGGCCACAGATAAGGAGAGAATTTGGTCTGAATTTGATGCATGAGACAGCACGCTCTACTGGGAAGGCCAGCACTGGGATGTTGAGTTCTAGTTGCCAGATGTTTACATAATCCTCTTCTGATACTGAAAATAAATAATACAGTAAATTTATTTAATGTTTCAATGTTATTTACAAAAGTAGAAATAGAAGAGTGATTCGGAAATCCCTTTATCTTGCAGGAACTTGAACCAGGTTAGGTTAGGTAACTTCAAGGGGGCTCTTGAGTCCTCCCACTGGACCTCCCAACATCAACTTACCGGTAGGTTAATTTGTTAATCCTTTCCCACTATGCCATAAGCTTTGAATGCAAGGGATACAGCACAGCAGTTGTTAAAGAAAAAATAAATAAAATAAAATAAAAAATAAATATTTAATCATGATTACACAACTAAGCACTCACTTGCCATGGTGACCAACTTTATTATCCAAAAACTCAAGTAAACCAGACTCTGCGCCCCCCCCCCAAAAAAAAAAAAAAAAAAATTGAGCAATTCCAGGACTAGTTGACCACTCATCTTGCCCCAGTTTCTGCTAACTAGTCATAACATCAAGATTGATATTTGGTTCCACTAGGAAAAGATTTTAAGCTCAATTTGTAGCCAATACCCTTTTAAAAGCAGCTCCCATTATCCTATGCCAGGAAAACCTAAGAGGGAGGAAAACGTGTGACACAAAACACTGTAGAGTTAAAAAAGGCATAGTGAGATGACCCATTGTATTCACTGGGTAGGGAATTCAATACTCCCTGCTGTTATCCTTCATCCTCTTGGAAGTGCACCCTTCAGAATTCAGAGCCATCCATAACAGAGAACAATAAAGATGGAGTGCCGGACAATGTACTGTATCCCCTAAGGGCCTAAGAGAACCATGTACTGTACATGCATGTCACATCTGACTTAGGCTGATGTAAGGAGGTCCTATTTGAAGACTTCAAAACTCCTGAAAGTTGTCCAGTATTAAAAGAACCATCTGGTAGAGGATGCCAAGCATAAAATATAAAATAGATAATTGTTCATTTTGAAAATTATTTTGTTATGCTAAGGATCATTAACTAAACATCAAAATTGTCTGTGGTCAAATTTCTGACATTGATTGTAGCTTTCCTTTAAATTATGTCAAAACATCAACTTTTTCAGTTATGTTTCAGACTTTTGTGTGAGAATCTGTACCAGTTCCACATACACATTATATCTCATCATCAGTGGGGGGATGGGACATGCATCAAACATAAATTTTATAAAAAATCTTTCTTAACATAAAACACAAAAAATAATTGCTTACAGAGAACTTTTTAATAATACAGCAAGTCCTCGCTTAAAGTCGGGGTTACGTTCCTAAAAATGTGACGTTATACGAAACAACGTTAAGAGGATCAATTTTCCCCATAAGAAATAGATCAAATACAGGAGTTACGTTCCTGAGCCTACCCCATGAAATACATTACATATACAGAAAATAATTGCCATTTCTATAGAAAATAGTGCATACATATACAACTACTAAGTTTGTATTGGTACTCATCGATGGGCAGAGGTGGTAGACCGAGTGTGTGGTGGGTAGTGAAGCAGAGGAGGCAGATGGCGAGAGGGAAGGAATATGGTGGGAGCGGAGGAGGGCGGTGAGTCATTGAGACTCTGTGCCGAGCCGAGAGAGTGGCCAGGCGAGTGCGGATGATGCGCAGTAGAAAGTAGTGCGTGACGACGTAAAACTAAGTAGTATCAGATCACCGGGACGTTAAACGAATTTTTGGTCTCTAAAGTTTAGCGTCGTAGTACCGGAACAAAGCTAAGCGGGAAGACGTTATGCGCGGACACACTGTACTGTAACTACATATCTCTACTGTATACTCAAGCAATCTTTTGAATTTTCTAATCTCCTTCTCTCAATGATTCTCACTTCCTCCACATCCACTCCTTACACTTACATTTTCGTAATCTCTTTCTCATTCCCAGCCTTTTCGTCCTCCCAGCTTGATAACCAGTATTTTCCTCCACCACCAATTGCCTCTTTTTGTTACTGTTTTCTTATCGACCTTCCTGACACTATCAAGCTAATTTTATGTAATCTGCAACTAACCTATCAACTAAGCTTTCCTTATTATTGGCTTCCTTTGCAAATGTTACAAGCCGTAAAAGGTGACAGGTTGTTGAATGCATCATGAAGTAACACTTGAAAATTTTCTGACTTTTTGGAGGGGTTTTCACTGTTTATTTTTTTCTGTCAACAGGGACAATATTGAGTTAATTTTTTTATCCTTGCAGTCTCTAACCACTCTGGCTATCTCTCAAGTAACTTTATGTCTCCTGTGCTCTATTCTAATTCAATCACTCTTCCTTATAACTACAACACATGTATCCTTCTTTATCTTCATTTCTTTGATACTGTACAGTCAACCATCTCATAAAATCTTAAAGGAACCTGAGGGGGGAAAAATTTAATTACAGTAATATACAATTTTATGAGACTTGAGAATTGGCATTCTTTTACAGTACAGTACTACCGGTAGATAGAAATTAACCTTGTGTATAGGTCGGCTTGAAAAGTTGAAAAAATGTAACCAGTCTGCTTCAAAATGAGGAAGGTAAAAAGATCTTAAGATTTAAACTGTCTATCAATAACTTCTCTTCTAATAATTTTCCATATGGTATGGCCAATCTGCAATTCATAGGTCTTAGGATAAAAAACCCTATACATATACAGAAAAAAGAGGAACTTAGAACTAGTCATAAGCAGCACCAGTACAAGCTAGTGAAAAAGATCTCTCAGTTAGATAGTGAATTAGTTAAGACTAGTGCAGTATAATATCCTACAAAAAGGTGATATTACCTGTACAAAGGAATCCATTCTGATAATCCACAGCCTTTACAGCCTTCTTACAGTTCTGAAGCTGCATGAAGCGCTCACTAAAGGCTGTGCCATTTTTAAGTGAGAGTTGTTGCCGTAATGATGATACATACGCTTGATGCCAATTAGCGCCACAGTGAACTTTCTCAATGTTTACTCCGAGTTCTTTGCATTTCTTGACCCATATATGGTTGTGGTTCTTGATAATCCTGAAATAAGGATAATTATTCCCCTGTTATAAATAGTACAACTATACCTTTCATAAGTAAGAAGGGAAGTCACACATGAGTGGATGTCTAGCAGAACAAATCTGTGGAAATGTACCAAGCTGGAGGTGTACAGAAGATGAACTATGACAAAACATCAGCCTAATCTTGGTCTGTCTCAGCTACACATGTATCATTCATTCCCTTCTCCCTGAATAATGGAGTAACTAAATCTGTTCTACCAGTGTTCATCTTATTCTTAACAAAATTCTAGCTTGGAATATTTTGGTATCTTATCTGTATTTCCATTGTGAAGTGTTTATATGAGTTGAATTTGGGTTCCTCATTTCAATATACAGTACATGTATAGTCTTTTTTTTTAGTTGACAGTACTAGGCTAAGAAGCCCCCCCCCCCTTTTTGCAGCTCATTGGCTCATACATAATGTTCAATTTATATTGATACATCGCAAATAATTCCATATACCTGTATGGTATAAGTGTTCAGGATACCTAGTTCTGGCTCACTTTAATCCCATTCTTTATTATGGAGCAAGATTGTGAGATTTAAGATTAGTAAATAGAAAAGGAATATGTAATAACCCTTCCGCACATCATGACAAATCATTGGGTAGCACTAGTTGCACTGGTAGCATGAATTGCACCATTAAACTTATACAATTTGTACAAAAAGTTTTCAAGATTATTGGGCCAAATTGTCGCGCATCATAAATGAATGCTTGACCTTGCGAGTGAAGCTTCCAGAAAGTACCAAAACACTGGAGGAATTCTGCTGTCCATTAGTTTCTTCCCATCAGTTGTGCTGGTAGGTCACATTTGTCTCTATATCTACAGTATATCCTCTCCCACCCTCCCCATAATTAGTTGTACAGGTATCATAATTCCAAAACAACTGTTGGAAAGCTCATAAAATTCCACTTCTATAACTATATTATACCTTGGTAGGTTTGAGAGAAAATATCTGAGATATGATGCTCGCAACACAAATATTTTTTTTATCTGGAGTGAAAAAATAGCATCTTATTCTTGTCTTTTTTCCTGCACATGTTAAAACCAAAATAATAACAAAGCCAGTGATGCATAAATCATGTAAAAATACAAAAATTAAATCTTGTGGGATAAATTGGTTGCAGAACGAAGATGACCAGACCTCACATGAATGGTTCCATATGACTTTTGTTGTGGTCACGGAAACCTAGAAACTTGCTGAATGCTGAGAGGGTAAATAATGCATGTACAAAAGTGCTGTAATAATCTTATAATGATCAAATTATCATCTTGGTAATTATGTGATATTTGCATTGCATATACAGGTACTACCAGGGTGTAATACAGACTCTGCAAAACATGAAGCAGAACTACTCAAGTGGAGTTCAAAAGCAGCAGAAGATAAAATTAAAGGAATGGATATACAGTACAGAGATATGGAATACAGTTCTTGTTGTTTTTCCAGCTACAGTAATTAGAGTTGGTATAGGAGCCCCTTATGGAATTTTGCAAGGGGTCTCTAAATCACTAAGGCTGCTCCTGACTGAAAAGATAATACATACCCATTCCATTCTCTTGAGACCTGAGTTGCATTCAAGAGGCTGGGTCCATCCACAAACTGTAGTACAGCAATCTGTAACTCTGGAGGAAGCAGCGTCAGCAAGTCTGGGGTGTCTTGGCCAGAGATAAAAGACACCAAACGCCATTTAACATAACTGATGGAGATGATAACAAAAACACAATTACACACAATAAAATGAAAACTACTAAACAATATAGACTAAATAAATTTGTCACATGCACATAAGAAGTGTACTATATATATTCTAGGTAGCTATCATATTTACTCTTCTCTCATCTTTGTGTGAGGCAAATTAAGGGTTACAAGAAACTTCAGTGTGTCATATGGCAACTTTACTACCAGGTGAGTGTTCAAAACAATAGCACTGCAGCCCCCAGCCACTGAATCCACTTGAGCTGCACATGTTTGGCCAGTCAGGAAATGTTGAAAGATTCCCTATAATGATTTCTGTGACAATCCTTCAAAAGAACCTTAAACATTAGTGGAAAATGTCCTGCAAGTACATCCACCACGAAGGACCATAAGGCTATTATTTTGGATGTTAAATTAGATGTAATTAAAGACTTCTATCAAAACCTAATACAAGTTTCAAACTTCACCAGAACCTGATGCAACACCAGTATCAGTTCAGCAATGCAGGAATCCAGTCTGGTATTTTCAGGTGATGAAGCAGGTAGGCTTAACCCACCCTCACAGTTACCCTTCCACTCCCCAACTGCAAATGTCCTATCCTAGACACATAATCTCAATTTTATTTTGTTGAGTACCAATGCATCTGCATTCATATACAGTACTGTAATTGCTTATTTATGCATTTCCCTTACATTCTCTATTAATTTATTAAATTTTTGTCCTTACTAATTAGTTACAGTAAGTGAAGTTTATGGTAGATTAAGGTCTCTGAAATTTTGGCCCAGGTACACATCCCCAAAATAAATCAGCGACTTACTGTACTACAGGAACCCCTTGAGTTAAGGAAGATCCAGTTTCAGAAATTAACATTAATAAAATTTAAATACCAGTAGCAGAGAACGAGTTTTAATATATAAAAAAATAATAATGTTTGATCGTCTGGAAATTTCCAGTTATAAAAGAGGGGAAAATATATAAAACATATCAATCTGTAGTATTTCACAAATCACAAAATAAATACACAACACTACTGCACACTGTGCAAGGAGTTAAACTACTCTATAGTTCTCTCTTTAATTTCCCTCACCACCAAATCCCTCTTACTTAATATGACTTCACTTTCATTACAGAATATAATAGAGTATTATTAGAAATTTTATGACTATTATTTAATTGCACTTATCAATAATCTTAGTGCCTGCCTTTTTGTTGAAAGATATACGGTACTGCAGTAGGGTAGAAGCATGGAACCAATCCTATGGGTGGGTACTGCTTTGGTACAGACTGTACTGTAATTTACTATCCACCAAAACAAACTTTCCTATAAATTCTGGAACAGAGGAATGTGGTCAAGCCACACCTGACTGTACACAGATTCTAAAATGTACTTTCATACTAAACAACATAGTGTTATTGTTTCTGAATTAGTAAAATGAATTAAAATACGGTACTGTAGCCATATCAAACAAACTTCATTGGAATAAAAATTTTTATATTTGTCAAAATATGTCAAGAGTGAACCTGGAGGCAGCAGTTACGGTGGGAAGTAAAAGAGCTTGTTGGCCCTCAGGTGGGAGTGTAGTTACGAGAGCCGTCACTAGCTTCTGTTGATCCTGATGGTCAAGTTCTTTGACCTTCTCCAATAAACTGTTCATCTTGACAAATCAATCTTCTTTATACCTGAAATTTTTTTACAGCATGATTACTATGCATGTTCACCCCTACAAGAATATAAAGTTACTTAAATCTTACACACACATAAGTACAGTACATTTCTCCAGGTGTAATATATTATTTCAACAATTTCATATGCATTATGTTGCCCTTAATAAGCTAGGAATGTGAGCCAGAACCAGTGTGTGTTTGTTGAGTATTCAGGTGGTTTTCAGACTCACTAAAGATATAAGCATAAACAAAGAATCTGGCCTTCATTTCTGGTGCTAACCGCCCTAATCTAACCTAACCGAAACCTGGCTACTATCCTAAATTAACCCACAATGAACTCTTTTTTTTATATAACTCTAGGGCTATGGTCCAGGACAAACTGCAAAATCTTACCTAAATATTTTAAGGTTTGTAACTTCACCACCCCAACAATTAAGGTATTACTATTACGGCACCTCACCAGGGGCACAGTCACCAGTATGATGCACACAACAACGGGACATGATACTTACACACGGTAACATGATGAATACTGAACATCAGGGAGACAATGAATATCTTTGTGACATTTGTGTTTACTGCCAGGCGTTAGTGGTCAGCTGTTTGTTATTGTGGCGGCGAACATCATCAGCAAACACTATGGGAAGTAAACACTATCAGCCAACACTAGAGGAAGTAAACACTATCAGCAAACACTAGTAGTATTAATTAACAGTCGGTAAATTTAGTCATAATGGTCAACAGTACCATACTACCATTTGTGATAATAAACTTTACATATTTGTGGTAGCAAGCATTACAATCTAATATCCGTGATAGTAAACACTACCAGTCAACATTCACTACAAAAAAAAAGAATCTTAAGCAAACAATATTCTTGATAGTATACAAGGAGCCAACACATCAGGAAGTAAATTTTACCAACCACTACTCAGGAGGCTTTTTTCATATTTTCTACCACAAATCAACTTATTTCTAGCCGTTCAGGCAGCTGGTATGTTCTTTTCACTGTCCAGTGTTAATGCAGGAGAAAACCGGAGAAAATCTGCAATGTTTGGCAGTCACACTGGATAACACTTGACACAGAGCTGTGCCGGAGATCGAACCCGAGACAAGTTAAGAGGCACGCTGTGACTGCTGTACCACCAAACAATGCTAAGGCAACAGTTACCAGCACCAAGCATTAGTAGTCTATTACCATTCAATACGAGTACCAAAAAACCCATGACCCAATTTCCAAATACTGAATATTGTTTCTTTGTGTATAACAATAACTACTACAGTAACTATAAGCCTCTTAGTTCACATGATAATACTAGCTTCCTCTAGCTTAAACATGAGTGAAGTGTACATGAACGGGTTGTATATAAACGGATTATACACAGATTATTATGTATATGAATGAGGCTGTATATGAAGGATGACCATACAGTCGCTGGTGATGGTGGTGGTTGGGAGTGTTCGCTGCCCACACCACAACAAACACAAGGGCAATATTTACCAGTGTTAAAAATATAACAGTAACAGAGTTGGTACACTGTTTATTTTATCAAACGAATAAAACAATAAAATACACTCAATTCTAATTTAAAAATCTTCAAAACTGTTTTTAAATTAATTATCATGCAAAATTAGGTTTGGAAAGTCTCTTAAAAAAAATATAAAGTATGGATTAGCGATACTGTTCGTAGTGTTAAGTCAACATTGGCCATCTTACCACTAGGTACCATCACAAGCCAGGCACTCAGAGGTGTATTGAAGACAGTGTGTGTGTGTGTACGTTTAATATATATTGTCCCCTTCAAGCAACAGAACTTCATTATGGATAACTCATCGTGGACAGCTCCTCCGGGGGCTGCCCAGCCCATGGGGATACAGTCAACAGCAGGGGCAGTGCCCATAATGAATGATAAAGGTGAGTGTCCAACTGATGCACAAGGCAGTTGTTTTGGTAAAATTATCGTTTCGGTCATGCATCTATTTGGAATTCGTTCAAAACACACAAAAAAAACCCATCGAAAAAACATAATTTCAACCCAATCCAACCTAACCTAAACTTAAAAATCCGCTGCATGACCGAAATTATAATAATACCCTTGTTTTACTCCATACCATTCAGAACCATAACTAATGCGGTAAAACTCTGGAACATGGGTCCAGGTTAACTTGCAACTTTAATTTTTCTATAGCGGATAACTAATTTCTCACCTCAAGAATACCCCAGGATGCATTGTTTGTCCTTCAACTGTTGCCTAACACTTCCCAATAACAGACCAAATGCTTCTCATCGACCTGTCCATACCCTAGCTAATTAACCCTATCTAATATAATGTAAACTAATCCAGCTAAACCAAACCTAGTATAGTGTGTTCGACTGTATTTGGTTGGTTCGTCTTACCTGCAGCAAAATATTTATTGTAAACAGTCATTAGGGCTCCCAAAACCTGCCAACTACCTATCCACACTTTAATTTATTGCATTCACCACACTCATGTGACCCACACTTGTGGGTTAGGGTCATCTCGTACCCAAGACAACTCGTACCCAACTCACGAGATAAGTCGTATCCAAGATTATTTACACCCAATTAAAAAATAATCCATACCTATTAGTATATATACCATGCAATTTAGCTTTATCTATGATTACAAAAAAATATTATATAATCTTGTAGGAAAGTGCATTGAAAGAGAAATGTAATGCAGGCTTTAAAATGGTTGCATCTCATTACATAAGTATGTTATTCCGTCACAAATATTACACTACAAGTATATATTTCACACTATGTGGTTTAGAGTAACTTTATTGCAATTTACAGATTTCAGGCTAATAGATTTAGCAGTTTCAATTTATAAACCGGGCGACGTAAACGTTTAAAATGGTCATAATTCAACAAAATACTGTAAAGACATGCATAAAAACAGATTGATTTTCCAGCACCAGCTTTTTACAAACAAATCAGTTAGTGTACAGTACAGTATATATATATAAATTTTTTTGTTCCTCCATGAAACAGGTGAGGTGTCAATGAAGAAGGTTAAAGTGCAGCGCTACGTGAGTGGTAAAAGACCAGACTACGCTCCTGCTTCTTCAGATGAAGAGGAGGAGGAAGATGAAGATTTCACCCGGCCACGAGGGGCTGCCCCTCCATCCCCTCCTCAGCACAAGTCGCTCACAGAAGCCGAGATGGCTGACCCCAGGCTACGACGTCTTCTGGCCACTCAACAAGAGGAAGAAGAAGAAGAAGAAGAAGCCAGTGATGAAGAAATGGAAACAGATGCTCCTCATAGGCGAATAATACATCAGGTGCAGTATATAGCTAGCCACTGTAGCCTCAAAGATATGTGGGTTACCTTCAGTGGTGCTTTCATACTTTAAGGATAAAGTCTATCTGGAAAGTAGAGTGTATATGGATTATCACAGAGTAGGCACAAAAACTTTTATGTATGATTTGTTCATCACTTGGTTACAAAAATATATTTTTCTTGTAACGAGTAAAATCATGTTTTCATTTGCAATACTATTTACAGTACTAAACTTATACTGTACTGCATCTCAATATTTCTTATAATATGGCTCCTGAATAGGAAATAAAATTATGAAGAAGTTTATTTTTTTCAATCCAAAGACACATTTTATTGTATTGGTGATACTGTATTTGTACATGTACTGTATATTGATGGAGACTAGTGAGGCCTTGGGATCCTTGACAAAGCTGCCAGCTGCACTGATGACTTCATTGCCATAATTATGACAATTTAAAGTTACCTGTTAGACTTTGCATTTATACGAGCTAAACATGATATTGTCAATGCATTTACAGGTATTGCCATTAATACCAAGTCAGAATGTTAAAATTGCTATTGAAGGGTATGGTCTGAAAGGTGATGACCAGATTCTTTGTATACTGTACTTCAAATCACACAGTTAAAACTGTCTTGTGCTTGGTGGAGCTTGTTTTACATATAACTATAAACTATTAATCTAACAACTGATTTTATCTTTTTTTTTATTTCTTTGGATGTAAACAGGCAGAAGTTGTAGAAGTAAGTGAGGAAGAAAAAGAAGAAGAGGCAGAAAAAGACGAAATGGAGGAGGATGAAGAAGAGCAAGAGGAGGAAGATGCAGAAGCTCAATCTATGAGACCAGAAATGAGAACCAGCCATCGTCTGGCTGAGTCTGACAGTGAATCAGAAGGTGAGGTGGACGAAGATGAGTTAGCATTGCGTCGTCTCAATCTCCGTCAACGAGCACTACAAAAGATTCATCAAGAGGAAGAGGTGAGTGCTTCTGTGTTGAAAGAAAAATTCTTAGATGTGAACAAGATAACATTATACTGTAAAATGTTGAAAAAAGTAAAAATATAGCAATCAGTCTACAGTCTACCATGGCTTTCAGACCTTTAAGTACAGTAATGTTTAAAGTTTAGTTCTTATACTGACCATATACAGTAAAATCCCATTATTACAAATACAGGATGTGATTTAATATAAGTATTTTTTTAATGGCAAATGATTGATAACTCTAATACTGTACTGTACAGGTGCAGTGTACAGTATGGGGATAAAGAGGAAATGTTTCAGAGAGAAATGGCAATTTTAACTTGTTACTGTACTTTGTAATGACAGTGGCAGGACCGAGGTGAGAATCTTGAAAGAGGAACAAAGTTATTAAGGGGTGTGCACACTAGACCTGTTGTTTCACGGTAACTGGGATAGTACTGTACTTGGTAGAGGTGGATTGTGGAACAGTGAGACACAGATGGGTCTGACGTTTTTATATTGTGTATACCAAATTTTTAGACAAAATCGTTTTTAAAGTCATATACGGTACTCTTTGCATTTCTTTATTATTTTCTTTTTTCAAGAATACTAACCCATGACTTTTAATAGTGGAACTGTTCAACTTTGATTATGATATTATAACTTACCATTCCAGCAGAATTATTAATTAAGATTTTCATAATTGGTCATATTTGTTTCCAGTTATTGGGTAAAGAGGAGGAAGGCAGTGAAGAATCATCAGAGGAGGAAAGTTCAGAATACTCTGAGGAGACAGACTCCGAGGAAGAAGGTCCAAGATTAAAACCTGTATTTGTGCGAAAAAAAGATCGTGTCACCATACACCAAAAAGAACAGCAGCAAGTAAAGATAAAACAGGTAAAGCTATGTCCTTCATCTTACCATTTTTATATATACAGTAGAGTACAATATACTGTATATGCATTTGACAGCAGTAAAACACATGTTGCTGTTACCAGTGTGCTGTGTTCAAGTGATGCTTCCCCTTTTCCCTAATAAAGGAGAAGAATGCTAAGTTACGGTTGTTTGTAGGTGCCTATATATCCTACACTTGAATAGCTGTAGAGTGAATATAAAAGGAGGTGCATGAACAGGAAGAAAGTTTCAAGGTGAAAGATATGAGAGATGAAATGTACAGGAGGGTTATGTGTAGTATAAAGTTTTAACACAATGTTGTTTAAAAAAATTTGTGTAGCGTGTGAATGGCCCACTGGGGTTGTAACACATTAACTTTGACTGATAGGGTTTGAAACACAAGGCAAGATTCACAAATCTTTTCTGTAGGCACAGTTGTGTCTTTCACACTAGTGTGATAACTATAAAAATACCATCTAGCAAGTGCATAAATATATCACAAGTCATGTCTTCATCCTTGTCCAATATATACATGTTAATCTTTTAACAAATATTTCAGCAAGAAACCGAGAATCGAAAGCGGATAGAGGAACGTCGCCGTGAAACACTGCGTATGATAGAGCAGGAACATCGGCAAGCAGCTAATTTGCGTAATGCTGTGGATAGTAATGACCCCATGAATGCCATTAATACTGATGACGAAGCTGACGATGCAGAGTATGAAGCCTGGAAGTTACGTGAACTGAGAAGACTGAAGAGAGACAAGGTACTGTACACCTTTTTTTACCAAGAAGTTGCCTTTAAAGTAGTAGTTTTTACTTATTATAATTTGTTCTTTTGAGTTTCAATTATAGTTGAGTGTGTTGGACTGAGGTTTTCAGCACAAAATCTTGGCTCGGTTAATTGCTGCAGGGGTTGTGTTAGTTCCAATTTGTAAAGTGGGTTGACAATAGGAAGACCATCCAGCTGTAAAACTTGCTTCAACTTCACCTGTGGTAACTGGAACATTATAGAAAGAATTCCAGCTTACCTACGCAAGTGTGGAAAATGGCTGTAAAACACCGACGTTGATGGACCAAGATTTTTATAAATTCTAGTATTCAAGTTTTGTGTGATGTAGGTGCATTGATATAAGTAATCTAATGAAGAATAACTGAGTTTTGCATAGATGCCTTTTTTTAGTTTAAATAGTCCTGTATATAAGTATTACTATAATTTCTTACACATGCTGTATATTTGGCCTTTCAGGAGGAACGTGATGCAGCAGAAAAGGAACATGAAGAAGTTGACAAGCTAAGGACCATGGGAGAAGAAGAGAGAAGAATTGAACTCAGAAATAATCCAAAGGTTTGTAACTGGAGGGTTCATGAGACTGTAGGGGAATGGATTCTTTGCACATTATTGGTAAATGACTATATTGATGGTGGATCATTTAAAAAATTTAAATATGTAATAAGTGAGTTGTGTACAAGTTTTTGTACAGTGTATTAGGAAAGTGTGGGAATAGTTTTAACAAATTAATTTCATGGTCGCAGAGGCATAAAATGCTTTTTGTGACAAGCTGCACCTAGCATCATCCAGATGCCTATGGGTGTGCTTGTCTGTAAACATAAATCGTGGAAATATTATGAAGCCTTTGTTTTAAAATCAGTTTTGATGAAACATTTAAGAATTTTATTCTGGACAAAATCATGGTTAAAATTGCTTTTGAGCCATCTGTGAGCATTTGAAATAAACCAATATATTGAAAATGTTCATAGAGTAGCTACTGCAGTAGTAAAGGGATTGTCCCTGTTTGCCTACTGAAGTGTTTTGTCAGAAGCCACAGGCACACTGCAGTGCCACTTGGTAGTCCATCACAATTTCTTGAACATCACAGTTTGCCTACAATATAAGTATTTTCTCATTCTTTATACTGTATTGTATCTCTGATTTGTTCTGTTTTTACATCTTGCTGACGAAAACTGAGGGATACGTATTATGTTTTAACTGTCCTTGGTGCTGATTTCCAAGGAATTATTCTTGGTCTGTTTCATATTTCATCAAAATTGACAGGTGGCTTATATATTTACTGATTTTATGGACAAAGTCAAAATTCAAGGTCTCTATTACCCAAACACAAGAAAAAATTTTCCACTTTATCTTCTGCCATTAAATGAAATGAGATAAATATTTCTAGTTTCCAGTTTATGCCTTTCTTCCCTCTCACTTGCTAAGTCAATCCTCAACCTCTCCACGTATGTTTTTCTTTCTCCGTACAAGCATACAAGTCACTTTAGCAGGTGTTCAAAGCCTATATGACTTGTAAGGAGGGAGTTTGTAAAATACCACCTTAAGGCATCCTAGGGTAAATGGAGCAGGAATGGTGTACATAGATAATGATGATAAAGCAGTTCTATTTATTATACATAAGATAGAGGATAATTATGAAATTATGCTTTATATGTACTTATTAATTTATACATTTATTTCTTCACTGTGTAGATAATCACCAACAAAGCCCAGAAAGGAAAGTACAAGTTCCTTCAGAAGTACTACCATAGAGGAGCCTTCTTCTTGGACCAGGAGGAGGACGTATTCAAGAGGGACTTCTCTGGTGCTACACTGGAGGACCACTTTGATAAGACAATTTTACCTAAGGTAAGCAAGAAATGACTTCATGTATAATTTTTGGACACTTTTAGCCAATCTTTTGTGACCTGAGTGATGCATGTTTTCACAAACTGATGGATAGTTATATACTATACTGTATAGTACTTGTGAAATGTCATGTAACTAATGATGAATTGTTGGTAGGCCTTGTTGTCTCTTTGCAAAATGAGGAGACTTGTGAGAAGACTTCATCTGGCATCATCCAGATAACTGTTTATCTGTGCAGACATCTCTTGTCAGCATGTTTGTCCCGTTTGAAATTAAATTTGACTTAGTAAGAATGTTCTTGGCAAAATCTCTGATGGGTTTGTATTAACTTCTGCATAAGACTTGCTGTAACTTGAGAACAAATGAAGCGTGCTGTATTAGTTTCTTATAAGATTTGATGTACATTTTCTAATCCATTTAATTGTAAAAGGTTCTTTGATAGACAGGCGACTACCACATACCACTGTATCTTATCATAAATTGTTGTTGCAGGTGATGCAGGTGAAGAACTTTGGACGATCTGGTCGCACCAAATACACACATCTGGTTGATCAAGACACTACCTCCTTTGACTCCCCATGGGCTTCAGACTCTCAGATGAACCACAAGTTCTTTAATGCAAATGCAGGAGGCATGAAGCAAGTATATGATCGACCTGCACTGAAGAAACGAGTGGCGGCTGCAGCAACCAACAACGCCAATCCAAGGAAATAAGGTGGTTCAACAATGGCATCAAAACTTGTATATTTTTATTCCAGTGCTGCCAATAAATTTTATGAGAGAAAATTTTTTATAAAAAAGTTGAAATGCAAAGTTGCTTGGAGAGCAATATTTAACAAAAAAAAATCTTTGTCCTTGAGTTTCCAAACAATGACCTTTGATGAAGACAGGTGGGAAAAAATAAATGGAGTAGGTTTCCAGGAAAATCGTAAAGACAGACTGACACTGATGTATCAGATTATAGAGGTGTAGCTATCACTGTTCCTGAGATAATCCAGTGATATAACAAATTCACATGCATATGAAAGCCACCAAATATGATTTTTCTGATCACTACAATTAGTGGTAATAAGAACCATCAGTTGTTATACTGTATATGCAATAAGATCCTTCTACAGTGGTCCCTCAGTTAACGAACGCCTCGGTTAACGAATTACTTTCCATAAGAATCTTCAATTCGGTTAACGAACAAAAATTTGATTAACGAAAACATGTCAACATGTTTTGGCTTGCTCATCAGCTGGGAGGTTACTCCGCCAATACAGTAATCGGTTCTAGGGCTTACATTCTTTCCCATTGGAGTAAATATCAAGAAGGTTGTGCTATTCAATATTTTTCCAAGTTTTATATTAAAATTATTAGTAATTTTAACACTTATTTAACATAATTGCAGTACAGAGGACTAGTTTTTGGTGCGCCCATCAGCCACTTCACTCACCCACCAAGGCGTCTGTTTGTCTCTCTTCAGTGGAGGAACCATCTTGCTTGTGGCTCTCTTGCAGTATTTTTACAGTACAATTATTGGTCATTCTGAAATTTATTTAACATATTGATAATATATAGCGCAGTGCAGTGTTGATTTAAAGAAAATAATCTTGAATTACACCTAGTGAACTTAAAATTTTATTGGCGAAATGATGGCATCAAGAATGGGTCCCCTGGCAGGTGATTTCTCCTCCATCCCCACTTCCTTCTCTTCTCCCTTCTCCTCCACCCCCACTTCCTTCTCTTCTCCCTTCTACTCCACCCCCACTTCCTTCTCTTCTCCCTTCTCCTCCACCCCCACTTCTAATTCCCATCATCATCAACCAGGAGCCTTCTACATATACACCTCAAAGTAAGTGTACTTTACTGCATTTTTGTTTTTGTTTTTTTACTTTGTATGTACTTTAAGGTGAGCTGGCACCAATTACCCAATATCCCATTGAAACAATGGATTTGGTTAACAAAATTTTCGGTTACCGAACAACCTTCTGGAACGAATTGTGTTCGTAAATCGAGGGACCACTGTATTTAGCTCTCTTTTTATACACAATATTAAGCAGAGTTTTCTATTTTGGACACTTTATCCCATGCAATTATACAAGAAGAAAATAATTTGAGCAAAAACTGTGTATTCTCTTATTTAGACTGAAATGTTACAGCATGTGAATTATCTCATTGATATTTTGTAATTATGGCATATTCTTAATGTTTAAGAAGATGACACAAGATTTAGAGATGTATTTGTATGAAAGTTGTAGTGAAGTTTGAATACCGTGTAAGTGATGAATAGCCCTTTGTTTCTTGTATGAGATTCCCTTCATCAGTACTTGATTAAGAAAATACTTTACTAATGTATGAACTTTAATCTGCACAGGCTTGAAGAGTGAGATGTGTAAAAAGAAGTTTTTATTAAATGATGAATGGAGACAGATTTTGAAGGAATACAGTACATTTTTTTTTTCAAGGGGATTAGCCCACACGGGCACAGGTCACTGACCAACATCAGGGCCTGAGGGGAGAAAATGTAATAATAATTATAATAAAGAACCATAAAGAAATACAAAAATTTAAAAAAAAAGATAGTGAGAAACAATATTTGTATGTTGTGTTGTCAATGGTAAGAGAAACAATTGAGACCCTGCAATTGTGTGTAAATGAGGCAAAAAGTCAGATCAGCAACATGTGATTGCTTCTCAATACTTATTATAATATATGAATTTTTTCATAGCCTATAAAAATTTTTGGTTATCCCCAACCTAAGAAGTTCAAAGTAATAGACAAGGTGTCATCTGTCTGTACGTAAATGACTTGGCTACCATGTTGGCCTGCCCACTTGTTGCAGATGCACTTGTAAATAGCATGGAATAGGGCCCCCAAGATGAAGGTCTATTCCTGCATGACTGGGCCTGGGGATCAAGGGTAATGCTTTTAAGGAATACAGTACTGTAGTTTGGGATGGCCAGAATTAAGTCTCGGCATGAAGGGGCACTTACTACCAGCAGATGAGCTCTACCCATGCTGATGTTACACTATGGAGGTCAATTTTGCAGTTTGGAGTTTGGATGTTATTGTTGCACTTGTGGAGGTTATTGTTTCAGTGGAGGTTGTTGCAGCAGTGGAGGTTTTGTTGAATAGAGATATGGTTGTCATTGGAAGTATTTGTAGCCCTGTGGAGGAGGTTGTAGCACTGGAGATTATTGTTGCAGTTTGGAGGTGGTTGTAGCACTGTGAAGGTTGTTGCTGCAATACTGTCACACCCAATCTTCCCTTCATACTTTATGATTGAATATTACACCCAATCTTACATTCACACTTCATTGTTGACTGTTCCACCCAATCTTACCACGAGCCAATTGTTGTTAATCCACTTCAATATTTTGCCTGTGATGCCATGTGCCCATAAATGTGGCACTTTGTCAAACACCATAGAAAGATCCATATACAGTTTAACATATTCATCAGTAAACCTTGGTACACATTCTATAGTCTGTTACCATTCCAAGGAAAGCGAGTAAGCTTGTCAGGCAGGGTTTTCTCTCCATGAAACCGTGTTGTAATGTCTTGATAAGATTGTGCTCAGTCAGGTGTTGGGAAGAAGGTGACCCTCATAATTTTCTTAATAAAAGTTTGTACATGTGATATTAGGCTGATTGGCCTGTGGATTTCTGCTGCACTTTATCTACCCTGGGGTAATATTGGCAGATTTCCAGTCCTTTAACACTTTTCCTTGGTCCAGAGACTTCCTGCATAAGTGTCTTATAAAGTGCAAATTTTGTTTTCCTCTTCCTTTATCACCTTGGTCTGTGCATAAAAAAGGGTTACCTTCCAAGAAAAAGGAAATGTATACAGTACACTGTACAGTATGTATAAGTCATTTTAAAAAAAAGATGATGCACAAGGGAACTTATGGTAAACCAACACCCTAATGAAAAGGACATTAACTTCAATTGGAGAAAAAGGCTGCTGAAAGGCTTTATATGGCAAGGACTGATATGGACACTTTCAGCAGACACCAGAAAGAGGATGGAGGCCTTTGAAATGCGGTGTTACAGGCAAATGCTAAGAATAAGCTACACTGACAGGAAAACAAATGAAGAAGTACTAAGATTGGCAAATAATAATAATAGAAATATTAATGGGCAAAGTTGAGGGAAGGAGGACCATGAAAAGGCAGAGACTGGGATGGTTGAATGAAATAAAAAACTGGGTCCTCAGAGAGATTCAAAACCTCAGAGGATTAGTAAAAACAACCTGAGAATGTTTAGAGTGGAGGACTGTGATAGCCAACCCTGAGATTTGAGGATGGTACTCTGATTGATTGAGGACCTAGTAGACACCCCTGTTGTGATACACCAACACCCACCTTGTAGTGTAGTGAATCCAGGTAAAAAAGTCACAGGTAAAAAAGTCACAGAAAAAGAGTCACAGGAAAAAAAGAAAAGTTAACTATCGAATTCTCACATTTTTTAAGGTTAATATGCCAAGCCAAGCCAACCCAACCTAACCTAACCTTTATTACCGGCCACCATAAATTAATTGTGACTTTTTTTTCCTAGCCAAAATTGTGACTTTTTTTCTGTGACTTTATTACCGGCCACCAGTGTAGTACACCAACACTCCTCTTGTGGTACACCAACACTCCCCTTGTAGTGTGGTACACCAACACTCTTCTTGTGGTACACGAGCACCCACCTTGTGGTTTGAAGAAAATTATGCATACAAAAATTTAATACCACTGTATTAATAAATAATATTTGGATATTACTTTTGATGAAGTTATATTACATCCATAATAATATATAAGATGACAATACTATATTATTATCAGGACAGTATAAGAACCTTCAGTGGTGTTAATCTCATGGTAGATATTAACATTACACTTGATTCATAAGTATTATAACTAACCTGATTCTTTTTCAAAAGTCTGTTGTACTGTGCACACCAAAGCATATTCAAATAGCTAGTTACAAAATTGCCCACATTTATATTTTGCAAATAAGCAAAATATTAAATCTTATAATGTGGCAATAAGAAATACATTTTTCTCTTAATTTTATTTCTTAATATTTGTTAAAGAATCTGACATAGGCTAAAATAAAGCTTACATTAAATATACCATCAGGATATATACATAAACACATGTCAGTAACTATAAGCACCAGTGTGTTGGTTACCTAGTTGACACCATTTTGTAATTTGTACACTAATAATCTTGTGATGAAACACTACCAGGAGCAAATTTTCTCAGCAAGGGGTTTATAGTAGAAAAAAGCAGAAACTGTTATGATGGACTGCTGTGGTTTTGATGTTATGAATATTGTATTAGTAGAGCTACAAAACAGAATGATAAAGAATTTTTTTTTAGAATAAATTTTGTTGTTTAATGATTCACTATGTGTACTGTAGTAAGATGGGGATATGAGAGAAATGTTCAACTTGTTTCAGCCCTTTCTTGTTGCTTTATACACGTATCTTACACCACTCTCCCCTGCTATTTATATTACCCTTCATCCACCACATTGGAAAATAAAGAGGCGTAAAAATAACAGCTACACACTTGGTATACAAATTGACAGAAACTTTTACTTGATTGAGGTATGTTTTACTATTATTTCTGTCATCAATAATGAATTACAAAAATCCTCTCTACATTAAACACGGATACAATACTTTTAATTACTTTTTTATATACGTAGTACTGTACACTATACTAAAATTCATCAAATATAAAACTTAAGTAAAAAACTAAATATTAAGGGAATCAGTGCAGACTTCAGAGGCATGTAGACAGGGCTGAATGGAAGAAACATCTCTGCCAAGGCATGTATGAACATACAGTTATTATAAGTTCCATAAACATCAAAACCTTCATATTTCGAATGAATTTTTAATGTATGCATTTTCACCTTATCATGGCAGAGAAAAAATTTAGATATTAATTACTAATTAAATTTTATTAGGGATGACATGTTGCTGATGGATAATATTAAGTTATGTTAAGTGATATAAACACAAATACTGTGTGTGTGTGTGTGTGTGTGCCGTGCTGTGGTAGAGCAGTATCACTGCAGAACACATCAACAGTATTACAGCAGTAAGAAGAATTGCTGCTTTACTCTAAACGGAGGGAGAGTCTGTGTTTACTATTACTAATGGCCATCCTGCATTAAGGGAAGAAGGGCACTGAGAGTGTAAACCTTTAATGTTGTTATAGCTGAATACTGTGGAGAATTTCTCAATTTAACTGTTCTTCATTGTTGCAAAGAAAACAAGAGCTATGATATACAGGTATTTGTATATAAATAGAGGTTGACCAGTCGTACCAAGAGAATTGCTCCTTCCTTCACAAAATTACCTTGAACCTACAGTTTAATACAACAAATTATGACACAACATACAATTAAATTATGTGCAAATATTTCTAAATCTACAAGACATATACAGTACTACATACATTGTTGGATGGAAACTGATTGGTGAGGGGGGACAGGTGGGTATGTTGCCTAATTATAAATGTACTGAAGATATGGTTGCAGATCATATGAGCTCCAGTCCTAAGAGGCCCTTATACCACAAACCCCAGCCTAATCAAACCAATATGCTCAATACTTGCCAACTATGCATAACAAAGACATAACCTACCACCCAAGCGGCTAACAAGCCGATCAGTGGCGAAGTGGATAAAGTATTAGATTTGGGACCATTAGGATTGAGACCCATTAGGATTGGAACCATTAGGATTGGAACCCAGTAGGATTGGGACCATTAGGATTGGGGCCACCTAAGACTGGAGCCCACTTGATCAGTTACTCATACATGCTAGTCATGTATACAGTATTACCAAGGATGATGGTATTGTTTCCAGTACTGTAAAAAAGTAACAGCTATGCTTCCATATTTATTTTCATTCAGATAATGACATACTAGCTACTCAAGTTTCTGGTAAATTTTGACATGCATGTAGGCTTTTCAACATATTACTTTATATACTCTTGATTTAAATAATTTCCACCTTTATAGTTTATGTCACTCTTCCCCTTCCCCTGCACCTTTAATTAGATATTGACACCCATGCAATGTTGCAAATAATATGATGTGTATTACACAAAAAAGGACCACTGGGACTTTGCAAAAACCTAAACATGAAGTTGAACAACTTATCTTGACATGAACTAAACTTATCTTTGTTATTACTGGGTATATCCTCCAAAATATTAAATTAAATTGGAAAGTCCAAGAACACTTAGTACACAGTTGTTCCAATGAAGGCAGATCTGCCAAACAATGTTGTGACAGCACAGAGAGTGAGCTCTGAACTCATTCAAAACCAGACTTGACTTGCAATGGCGAAAGTTCAGATAAATTCTGGAGCCATTGCATGGCCAGTATACTTACAAACAATGTGCAATTGATACATGACTGACTGCCCAAGTGGCTAATAAGCCGACCAGTGGCAAAGAGGATAAAGGAAAGATAAAGTAAAGATAACACTTCTAATAATAGTGGACAAGGAGTTACAACAAGGAGGCAGCGCTGCATCGTTAAACCGTCTTAATAAAGTAAATATGATTACCATAAACAGGCTTAAGCTTTTGGCTTAATTCAAAATTACAACCAAAATTTCATATACTGTAAGTGAGAAGTGAATAAAAGATTAAGTGATGACCAAGACTAAAGCTTTTAAATTAAACTGGAAGTTGCAAATATATTTTTCCATTTCTGAAGTGTCAAATATTTTTACAAATAATTTACATACTATATTTGGACTTGCACTTTATTTGGTGCGAAAAATATTCAGTACTAAATCCACAGCTGTACTGCATGTACAGTATAACATAATTTGCTTCATATCCAATATAGTTTTGTTTCTTTGTTGTTTCAGTAAATGACTGACAAAAGCAAATACAAAAAACTTTCTCCTATCACCTTCCCCTGGCAATGACAGTTAATGGGTCAAGGCAGAAATTGATCACATTAATGCTGTACCTTCAGAGTATGTGTCCATCATCTCTTCAGAAAGATGTATCATCATCATGTTCCTACTGATCCCTTTGTCAGATGTAAGTGCAGTATTGTACCTATTATCATGTTCATATTTTAGTTAAAGTCATGGCTTCAGATTTACTGCAATTGTCAATTATCATTAATTTATGTTTACCAAGCCCTTTAATATCACCGCCAACCGTCTTCAATTGTATGTCATCCAAGAGTAACAAGAATACAGTACTGTACTTACTGTTTGTGACTCATCAACATTATGACAGAAAACTCATTCAACAATAATTTTTTGCTACTCTAATAGTTCAGATGGAAGCTACTGTACTTATACTACCAACAGACTAGATTCATTCCAACCAAATATAGACAAACCATCACCACAAAATAGAGCAACTGTACTACCAAAAAAATAATATCTACTGCTACTAACTCATTACTGTCAATATAGATATGATGTACAGGAAAGATAGCTCTCCATGATAGTTTGTCAGGGGCAGATCCTGGGTGGGGGCCACTGGGTGCCCACAAACCCCTTTCATAAATGACCTATAAATTCATAAAAGAACATGCAGTCTCACTTAAATCAACTACAGTTAAGCTTGGCTAATCAATAATCACTAATGTAAGATATGTCAACATAATAATAACCCAATTTCTAATGGGAGTCACCCTCCTTGTAGTACAATACAGTATCTGGTGAATCTCCCATTAAAATTCCCTGGATCCACCCCTGTTTGTCATGTTTTATAAATAGTTAGTTCAGCAATACCCCGGGTGTCCAGACCTGCTCACCTCCACAACTACGCTTGAACATTACCACTAATCACAAAACATAACATAAGCTACTTTTAAGATTTTAAGACTACTTTACAAAGTTTATAGTGGCCTTAGTAGGCATTTCAGTAACACACAAACACACTATGACTACAGTACAGTATCTACACTGTAGTTTGGACGATCAAGGTTCTTGCTGATCATTTTTTGTATAGCTAATGCTAGCACAAGCTAATCATTACTGTTTTGTATGATTCGGCATGAAACACCACATGCCCTTTAGCTATATGTTTGAGGGTACTGTACTATGACTTCTGTCAAAACTATCAAAATACTGGCATAAGATCTAAATACTATGAGGTTGGGCCATCATTTACCTATTCACATCAAATTTTATAAAAACTAGAGGCAGAACCTGGTGTGCATGTTTGAGTCTTCATCCATTCTTAGGTACATAGCCGATTCTTGAATACATGTTATGTGGTCTAGCTTGGTGTCCTTGGGTCCGCTTGTAGCCATATCTTGATGGTTTACGACGACGATGAATGCCGTTGATACCTCTACTAATACTGTTGTCCTGGGTATTATTTATGTCTGTATCATTTGATCTTGAACGAAGTGACTTCATACATGTTCGGTAAGTATGACCACGAAGCCAGTCACAAGTTCCATCAGGACCACGAAGACACATCTGTGAGGAAAATTTATAATAATCACATTACATGTACAGTATATGTCATATCAAAAGCATGTGATTAAATTAGTAAAATAAGGTTAATGGTAAAATATTTATCATTTACAAGGTTCTCAATCTAAGGCAGTACAGGTGTAAAGTAATATAAAGTTATTTCTTCTGTTCAAAATAGCTTTATGCTTACTGACATCCTCTTCTGATGTGTACAGAGTGTATAGAGACAACACACATATGGGGACAGCTCAGTACATGTAAAAGTAAGGACCACATAAACAGGGGAATTATGAAAATCATTGTCAGATTGTGGCCTGAAAA